AGTGATTCAACTATCTTATAAGTTACAGTAAATATCCTAATAATGACACCCTCTACCCTAATAATGACACCCTCTACAAGAGTGATTCAACTATCTTATAAGTTACAGTAAATATCCTAATAATGACACCCTCTACCCGGAGTGATTCAACTATCTTATAAGTTACAGTAAATATCCTAATAATGACACCCTCTACCCGGGAGTGATTCAACTATCTTATAAGTTACAGTAAATATCCTAATAATGACACCCTCTACAAGATAGGGAGTGATTCAACTATCTTATAAGTTACAGTAAATATCCTAATAATGACACCCTCTACCCGGAGTGATTCAACTATCTTATAAGTTACAGTAAATATCCTAATAATGACACCCTCTACCTGGAGTGATTCAACTGTCTTATTAGTTACAGTAAATATCCTAATAATGACACCCTCTACAAGATAGGGAGTGATTTAACTATCTTATAAGTTACAGTAAATATCCTAATAATGACACCCTCTACCATTCAACTATCTTATAAGACAGTAAATATCCTAATAATGACACCCTCTACCCGGAGTGATTCAACTATCTTATAAGTTACAGTAAATATCCTAATAATGACACCCTCTACCCGGAGTGATTCAACTATCTTATAAGTTACAGTAAATATCCTAATAATGACACCCTCTACCCGGAGTGATTCAACTATCTTATAAGTTACAGTAAATATCCTAATAATGACACCCTCTACAAGTGATTTAACTATCTTATAAGTTACAGTAAATATCCTAATAATGACACCCTCTACCCGGAGTGATTCAACTATCTTATAAGTTACAGTAAATATCCTAATAATGACACCCTCTACAAGATAGGGAGTGATTCAACTATCTTATAAGTTACAGTAAATATCCTAATAATGACACCCTCTACAAGATAGGGAGTGATTCAACTATCTTATAAGTTACAGTAAATATCCTAATAATGACACCCTCTACAAGATAGGGAGTGATTCAACTGTCTTATTAGTTACAGTAAATATCCTAATAATGACACCCTCTACCCGGAGTGATTCAACTGTCTTATTAGTTACAGTAAATATCCTAATAATGACACCCTCTACAAGATAGGGAGTGATTCAACTATCTTATAAGTTACAGTAAATATCCCAATAATGACACCCTCTACCCGGAGTGATTCAACTATCTTATAAGTTACAGTAAATATCCTAATAATGACACCCTCTACAAGATAGGGAGTGATTCAACTATCTTATAAGTTACAGTAAATATCCTAATAATGACACCCTCTACCCGGAGTGATTCAACTATCTTATAAGTTACAGTAAATATCCTAATAATGACACCCTCTACCCGGAGTGATTCAACTATCTTATAAGTTACAGTAAATATCCTAATAATGACACCCTCTACCCGGAGTGATTCAACTATCTTATAAGTTACAGTAAATATCCTAATAATGACACCCTCTACCCGGAGTGATTCAACTATCTTATAAGTTACAGTAAATATCCTAATAATGACACCCTCTACCCGGAGTGATTCAACTATCTTATAAGTTACAGTAAATATCCTAATAATGACACCCTCTACCCGGAGTGATTCAACTATCTTATAAGTTACAGTAAATATCCTAATAATGACACCCTCTACCCGGAGTGATTCAACTATCTTATAAGTTACAGTAAATATCCTAATAATGACACCATCTACAAGAAAGGGAGTGATTCAACTATCTTATAAGTTACAGTAAATATCCTAATAATGACACCCTCTACAAGATAGGGAGTGATTCAACTGTCTTATAAGTTACAGTAAATATCCTAATAATGACACCCTCTACCCGGAGTGATTCAACTATCTTATTAGTTACAGTAAATATCCTAATAATGACACCCTCTACCCGGAGTGATTCAACTATCTTATAAGTTACAGTAAATATCCTAATAATGACACCCTCTACAAGATAGGTAGTGATTTTAAGACGTAAATAGATTGGAAATAGGCTAAAATGAAAATAAAGAATTAAAAAATTTCAAATCTAGATTATGACGTATCATGATTAATGAAAGTGTACTGTATCTGTCATTGTTAAAACACTAAGGCATAATTCATTGGTAGGTATGTAAATTATACAAGTATGTAAATATGATACGTAGTTTATGGTGATCTCACCTAAGTATGTAAATATCTGCTAGAGGGTGTTTTTTCAAGACTGTCTTCTCATCATACTGAATTTGGTTAAAAAGGAAATTTATAAAGTAGTCACTGTTTTCAAATTCATTATGAATTATTTGGCCTAGACAAGTTATGAAATATCGGAATCACAAGCAGAAAGTGAAATTTTTGTAGATCATTACCATATTTATCCTATGGTAAACCCTGGAGTCTGAATATATAACTGTCTCAAAGTAGGAAGATAGGCTTATCACAAAGACACAATAGGTGTAGATGGGCTTAATGTTACTACGTGGAGGCTTGCTTGATCCTGAGTGTGATATAGATTACATTTTCAGTAGAAATAAAAAAGATTTTTAGTGTGTCTGTTTCTAAGGTTTGCAGGCAATGAAACATTGTGAATGCTGTCTCATATCTCAATGTATACCTCATGCAGTCCTTAGCTATCCTTAGTCAAGTCTTTGTGAGTTTGGAATCACATCATTTCGTTTTGTTACAAATTTGTGTGCTGATAAAAATCTGTCTCTTTGTAACAGTTACATTTCATTTACAAAGAAGACACTCCATCAATATATGTAAAGCTAGGTGAAAGCTTTCATCTTATGCACTGTGAATTGTTAATTGTGTGAGAAGGTCTGCCGGGGTCAGACAAAGGTGAAAGTACACAGGTTCTGACCACTAGAGACCTGATTAGTATTCCATACATAGAAAAGGGGGATATGGTGATAAATCATATCCCATATCAAAGAACCAGTAGGGCTGGAGGATGGTGTGGTCAGTCAGGTTTACAGTGGTCAGAGAATGCTGGGGTCAGTCAGGATTACAGTGGTCAGAGAATGCTGGGGTCAGTCAGGTTTACAGTGGTCAGAGAATGCTGGGGTCAGTCAGGATTACAGTGGTCAGAGAATGCTGGGGTCAGTCAGGTTTACAGTGGTCAGAGAATGCTGGGGTCAGTCAGGATTACAGTGGTCAGAGAATGCTGGGGTCAGTCAGGTTTACAGTGGTCAGAGAATGCTGGGGTCAGTCAGGTTTACAGTGGTCAGAGAATGCTGGGGTCAGTCAGGTTTACAGTGGTTTACAGTGGTCAGAGAATGCTGGGGTCAGTCAGGTTTACAGTGGTCAGAGAATGCTGGGGTCAGTCAGGTTTACAGTGGTCAGAGAATGCTGGGGTCAGTCAGGATTACAGTGGTTTACAGTGGTCAGAGAATGCTGGGGTCAGTCAGGTTTACAGTGGTCAGAGAATGCTGGGGTCAGTCAGGTTTACAGTGGTCAGAGAATGCTGGGGTCAGTCAGGTTTACAGTGGTTTACAGTGGTCAGAGAATGCTGGGGTCAGTCAGGTTTACAGTGGTCAGAGAATGCTGGGGTCAGTCAGGATTACAGTGTTCAGTCAGGTTTACAGTGGTCACAGAATGCTGGGACCAGTTAGGTTTACAGTGGTCAGTCAGGTTTACAGTGGTCACAGAGTGCTGGGGTCAGTCAGGTTTACAGTGCACTAAAACCTTTACCACTCTCCCTGTTTGTGAGCCTTGGTGTAAATGGATCCAGGCTTTAATTAATCAGTAAAAATTAACCCGTTTGTCTGCTTATTATGTCGTGTTTATAGATATAACTTGAAATACTTTGTAAGGTCCATCAATTCACATGTAACATCAAACCATCGACAAACACTTAAAATATCATATATGGTACCTTTTCTGACTGTTGCACTATACAGAGTTGTGGTCCTTTGTGTTCATTTTGTTGATATCAATGTTTAGCCATAGTTAGAGGGCTAGAGATTTCGGACAAAATCTGTCTCTGATCCCAGATATTAATATGACATAGAGAATGGTTATTTAACATACCTTACAGGTAATGATAGGTCTTTACCAGTGATGGAGGTGGTTTGTTAGGTTGATTAATATGTAACCAGAGGGAGACTTACCTATATTGATAAAATATTACCAAAACATGTGTAGAAAACAAAACCATTTCTATAAACATAAATATCCTGGACAACAGCAATTTATAGAAATTTCATAGGAATTAATAAGTTATTGTTTTGGTAAAACCTTATTATTACCTTGTTTCACATAGTGTGATGTTAACCATAATGGTCTAAGTTAATCGGATATTCTGCCTCTGGTTGTGTTTTGTGGAGATTAAGTATATTCAGAGCTGTCCATTTATCACAGTAATAGTAGATTAATTGAGCAGGCATTGTAATTTACATAATAATCTCTCTTTCCCACAGAAATGTTATTGACATCAATTTAACAGAATTAGGTCAAAGAATCTTCAGCACAAGAGTTTCGTATAAAGGGAGGTGATTTAGCTTTCAAAGGTAGTCTGAATAAAGGGAGGCAATTCAGCCCACAGAGAGACATGAATTCTTAAAAGGGAATGTAGTTAGTCTGACAAAGATGATTTAGTCCTCATGTATCCTTTACAAAAGGAGATAATTCAATTCTCAACTTTTTAAATTTTGTAAATAGTTTTCACTTAGATAAATTTGTGTATAGAAAAGGACTATTCCTACCTTTAAATGAGATTTTAAGTCAGAATTAAGAATATAGGGTGAGTCAGATTGGTGGAAAACTATATAATTCTTAAAGATGTAGGAAATCCCTGCACTTCCTAAGTATATGTATATGATTTATTAAATCTATGTAAGGTATTCTTACAGTACCACTACTCTCATCAAAGTGAACAGAGCTGTGTAAAAGATACTTCGTTGGGGTAACAACCATTTATTTTGAACACTCCTTTTTGCCTAGCTGTATGACAATGCATTGTATGGGATTAAGAATTCTTCCTTTTTTTATGTACTTACAGACAGGGGACCACAGAAATGATGTGTACCATGTTCTGGAGACCATCCCTGAGGACCCTGCTGAGATGATGGACCAAAAGGATGGGACTCTGGCACCTCCCTCTAGTAGGGATGGGGCAGAAAGTCCGGAGGTCATGGGTCAAAGGTTACAGGAACAGGAAATGGTAATTTTTCTTTGTTTATGTCAGTGGTATAAAGTAATGATAGAAGAGAGTTTTAATTTCAGTGTGTTTATAAAACAGCTGTCACATCAGGTCTCAGCTTTCTAGAAATCTGATCATTAATATAATACAAACCGTGATTATTCTATTACATAATATATCTTAGTAAATGATTTAGTTGTAGATATTGTCACGTACCTAAAAACATCAATGGAAAGTTATCTCCAAATTCTTTATTTTAATTCTGTTCTATCTTCTGTGTGTGCTCCTTTTTAGTGTATCAGATTTCGTTCATGTAGTAACCTATTTTTGATGTTTTCCTTTTTTTAGCATATCAAGACTTTAGAGCAAACAGCAAGTGAGCTGCAGATGAAGATTAGCTCTCTACAGCAGGAAAAATCTCGTCTAGAGGATAAAACATATGATGGCTCAAACAAGCTAAGCCTTGAGGAACGTGAAGCACAGGAAGTGCTGAAGGTCAAGGTATAATTGATGGAAACCATGGCAACATAATACTCACATTACTGAATTTTTATTTTTGTTTTGTTTATAAGATATAAATTATTCATTTTTCTTTCATGCATATGTAGATGAACTCTTATAAGATAAAAAATTCTGAAAAGTTAAAGATAAATGAAGTGATATCATACAATGCCATGTTAGGATATTCGGATAGTATGATTTATCCTATGAAATCAGTAATTGTAATCTGACCTAGTCTTCGTGGTTTGGAAGAATAAAACTCATAAATTGAATATTTAGTTACAGGTTGAGATAGGTGCTCACTGGTTTTTTTTACATTACCTGTAAAGAACTCTATTTTGCTCCTTTTGTTCAAACTATGATACATTTAAGTTTTCTGTGAGAGATCTAAAGGCTTTAGTTACCCTGAAGGTGATGGAATCTGAGTTCTCAGTGTCATTATAGAGATGCCAGGGTCACAGTCCCAGTTTTTTTCAAAGCTGTTTACATACAATGCATGAAGCTTACTGCATAAATCTTCAGGATTTCACCTTTAAATTTCCAACACTGCGAGTTGTAGCTACAAAAGGATCGCCACAGTTTCTTACATTCTATAATTAGAAAACATATTGATCTTGTAAACCTGCTTTTTATGTAAAGCTGAAATATCCTTCATTGTTAAGATAGAAAAAAGCTTTATAGGATTATAACACTTATATATATATATCTAAATATAAAGACAAAGTCTTAACACGGCAACTAAAATTCTGAATCACAATCACTAACATTTTCAAGCAGCAATCTCCATGTTGTAAGACTGGAAAACGTTCGTGATTGTGATTTGGTATTTCAGTTGTCACGTTGATGTTTTGTTTTCATATTTGTGTGTATGATACACATAAAGTGTTTATTTGAATTATGTATATACTGTGAGATTGATATACATTTAATGTTTCTTATCAATCATTTTACAAAATTCATTAATGGATTAAGAAATAGAGGATTAAACCATTTTAAGCCCTCTTCCCTGATGTATGTAAAGGTGATGGTATGTTCTGTTACCTTGGTGATGGATTCCTGTGATTGACAGCAGCAACCTAGTGAACAACCAATCAGCTAGCAGCTTTTAGGAGAGTGGGTAGTTCTATTTCCTTTTTTGACTGCGTCAAAATTTCAACAACTAATTTTTGCAGGATTCAATCTCACAAAACAACATGGAATGCAGGGAACTAACACATGGTAACCACGGTAACCAAACAAATGGATCAATTTGTGATCACAGAAACCAAACAGACAGTAACCATACCAACCAGCCATTCATTAATCAGCAAGACATTAACTGTAGCCACCAAATTAATGACCAAAACACTAAACGGGTAACGGGGGAGACAACTCCGCATAGGAAATCAGACAAAACATTTGCCTGTGGCATCACTCAAACTGATGAAGAGAAAAAACAAGATGAGAGGGGAATGGAAAAACAGATAAACAGCCAGACGTTTGATCAGAAATGTATCCAGACAGATCTTGTAGAAAAAAGAGATGTTGAGATGATGACTGTACCAATTAAACAAAAAAGCAAATCTCCTAGTCCAGGACGACGATCCCCCTCACCAGAACAACAGCCACCACCTGTAGAATTGACCAATTTCAACAGTCACATCATCCAGCTGGAGAAGGACCTAGCCAAACTACGTGACCAGAACATTACACTTCGCAGCCTCCTTCTGGATAGCAGCAGTCTAGACAGCAGTCTTCTTCAGGAAGACGAAGACGATGATGGCACTGAAACAATGGAAACCAAGATGGCTGAACTGCTGGTGATCTTTGAGGCTTTACAAGAGCGTATTTACTGCTATGAGACTGCAGAGCGACAGTTGAAAGACAGATTGAAGCTGATGGAGAGGAACATCAATGATTTAGAGGTCAGTGAGGGGTCAACAAGAGATCAGTTGGAGGAGGCAAAGAAGTGTGAGTATGAGGTCAGGAGGTCACTCTCTGTTGCCCACCTCAAGGTCAAGGATCTCAAAGAAATTATACTGGACAAGGACACCATGGAAACAACTCTGGCTGAAAAGGTAACGGCTTACAGCATGGAATGACCAGTCAGCATCCAACGCATGGCGCATACATACAGCAACAACTTATCAAAAGATTTGTTGTTATTGAGCATGTCTGAAATGATTAAAAACAAGACGTTACTTTCTATAACTGAAGCATGGGAGTTTTCTACGTCAAGACTTTCATCCGAATGTAACAAATATTCTGGTCAATATTAATCTACTAACATATATACATGAGAATGCAAATGTTTTTTAATCCAATATTTTTCTTCCAGCTCTCTCAAATCTCTAGGTCTGGTTGTAAGGTCATGGTAGTTTGTGAGTCTGGTTACTTAAATAAGGAAGGAAAGGTAATTTGTAGACCATATGGAAGGTTATTTGTTGATCATTATAAAACGGTTGTTTAAAAGTCATTGTATAAAGGGAAAGAGAAAGTTATTTGTTGGTCAGTGCGAAGGAAAGAAAGGCTGTTTGTTGTTTGCTATATAGATTTATGTTGAAAGTCATTTGTGAGTAGGGCCATGATAGTTGAGTCAGTAGAATATTGGCCTACATAACCTAAGGTGAAGATGACAGGTGCGTGGCTTGACACTCCCACATATAGCCAATATGACAGGTGCGTGGCTTGACACTCCCACATATAGCCAAGATGCTAGGTGCATGGCTTGACACTCCCACATATAGCGAAGATCCTAGGTGCATGGCTTGACACTCCCACATATGGCCAAGATCCTAGGTGCATGGCTTGACACTCCCACATATAGCCAAGATGCTAGGTGCGTGGCTTGACACTCCCACATATAGCCAAGATGCTAGGTTCGTGGCTTGACACTCCCACATATAGCCAAGATGCTAGGTGCGTGGCTTGACACTCCCACATATAGCGAAGATCCTAGGTGCATGGCTTGACACTCCCACATATAGCCAAGATCCTAGGTGCGTGGCTTGACACTCCCACATATAGCGAAGATCCTAGGTGCATGGCTTGACACTCCCACATATGGCCAAGATCCTAGGTGCATGGCTTGACACTCCCACATTTAGCCAAGATCCTAGGTGCGTGGCTTGACACTCCCCACCTATGGCCAAGATGCTAGGTGCGTGGCTTGACACTCTCACATATAGCCGAGATGCTAGGTGCGTGGCTTGACACTCCCACATATGGCCAAGATCCTAGGTGCGTGGCTTGACACTCCCACATATAGCGAAGATCCTAGGTGCGTGGCTTGACACTCCCCACCTATGGCCAAGATGCTAGGTGAATGGCTTGACACTCCCACATATAGCGAAGATCCTAGGTGCATGGCTTGACACTCCCACATATAGCCAAGATCCTAGGTGCGTGGCTTGACACTCCCACATATAGCCAAGATCCTAGGTGCATGGCTTGACACTCCCACATATGGCCAAGATGCTAGGTGCGTGGCTTGACACTCCCACATATGGCCAAGATGCTAGGTGCGTGGCTTGACACTCCCACATATGGCCAAGATGCTAGGTGCGTGGCTTGACACTCCCACATATAGCCAAGATCCTAGGTGCATGGCTTGACACTCCCACATATAGCGAAGATCCTAGGTGTGTGGCTTGACACTCCCACATATAGCGAAGATCCTAGGTGCATGGCTTGACACTCCCACATATAGCCAAGATGCTAGGTGCATGGCTTGACACTCCCACATATAGCCAAGATGCTAGGTGCGTGGCTTGACACTCCTACATATAGCCAAGATCCTAGGTGCATGGCTTGACACTCCCACATATAGCGAAGATCCTAGGTGCATGGCTTGACACTCCCACATATAGCCAAGATGCTACGTGCGTGGCTTGACACTCCCACATATAGCCAAAATCATAGGTGCGTGGCTTGACACTCCCACATATAGCCAAGATCCTAGGTGCGTGGCTTGACACTCCCACATATAGCGAAGATCCTAGGTGCGTGGCTTGACACTCCCCACCTATGGCCAAGATGCTAGGTGCGTGGCTTGACACTCCCACATATGGCTAAGATCCTAGGTGCGTGGCTTGACACTCCCACATATAGCCAAGATCCTAGGTGCGTGGTTTGACACACCCAACCGTGGTCATTTATGTTTCTCTGGAAGTTGAGATACAGACTGTTCATTACTGATGTGGTTGTGTCTTTAGGCAAGACACCTTTATTGGAGCGGAAATGTGATAAGTCACCATATGTTATTTAGTGGATAGCCACCATCTACTACAGGGTAACTACATCTTATAATGACCTTGGCTGTTCATAGTGTAGTAAATACATCAATCATATCATCATGATATAGTGGTATCCAAAAGGTCCTTTGTAATAAAGAATAAAGAGGTATGTTATGTTGAAGATTGTACATCAGAATATAGAGGTCTGTTGAAGATTGTACGTCAGAATATTGAGGTCTGTTGAAGATTGTACGTCAGAATATAGAGGTCTGTTGAAGATTGTACGTCAGAATATAGAGGTCTGTTGAAGATTGTACGTCAGAATATTGAGGTATGTTGAAGATTGTACATCAGAATATTGAGGTACATTGAAGATTGTACATCAGAATATTGAGGTATGTTGAAGATTGTACATCAGAATATTGAGGTCTGTTGAAGATTGTACGTCAGAATATTGAGGTATGTTGAAGATTGTATGTCAGAATATAGAGGTCTGTTGAAGATTGTACGTCAGAATATTGAGGTCTGTTGAAGATTGTACGTCAGAATATTGAGGTATGTTGAAGATTGTACATCAGAATATTGAGGTACATTGAAGATTGTACGTCAGAATTTTGAGGTATGTTGAAGATTGTACATCAGAATATTGAGGTCTGTTGAAGATTGTACGTCAGAATATTGAGGTCTGTTGAAGATTGTACGTCAGAATATTGAGGTATGTTGAAGATTGTATGTCAGAATATAGAGGTCTGTTGAAGATTGTACGTCAGAATATTGAGGTCTGTTGAAGATTGTACGTCAGAATATTGAGGTATGTTGAAGATTGTACATCAGAATATTGAGGTACATTGAAGATTGTACGTCAGAATTTTGAGGTATGTTGAAGATTGTACATCAGAATATTGAGGTCTGTTGAAGATTGTACGTCAGAATATTGAGGTCTGTTGAAGATTGTATGTCAGAATATAGAGGTCTGTTGAAGATTGTACGTCAGAATATTGAGGTCTGTTGAAGATTGTACGTCAGAATATTGAGGTATGTTGAAGATTGTATGTCAGAATATAGAGGTCTGTTGAAGATTGTACGTCAGAATATTGAGGTCTGTTGAAGATTGTACGTCAGAATATTGAGGTATGTTGAAGATTGTACATCAGAATATTGAGGTATGTTGAAGATTGTACATCAGAATATTGAGGTCTGTTGAAGATTGTACGTCAGAATATTGAGGTATGTTGAAGATTGTATGTCAGAATATAGAGGTCTGTTGAAGATTGTACGTCAGAATATTGAGGTCTGTTGAAGATTGTACGTCAGAATATTGAGGTATGTTGAAGGTTGTACGTCAGAATATTGAGGTACGTTGAAGATTGTACGTCAGAATTTTGAGGTACGTTGAATATTGTACATCAGAATATTAAGGTATGTTGAAGGTTGTACGTCACAATATAGAGGTACGTTGAAGGTTGTTTATACATCAGAATATAATGATATGATAATAATCATTTGTACATGAGACTAAAGAGATATGTAAAAGGTGTTTTGGACAGCATTGTTGAGAATGGCTGACATGTGATTCAAGACATTTAATGGCTGGTTCATGCAGCTTGTTACATGACACACAGCAAACAGGCATGGTTATGCATGCAGACTTATTAATAAAAGTCTCATTTCTATTATACTTGCATTGTTACTGTGCTGTTTTACTAAACATATAAATCCTGAGAAACCTTTGGTGTTTCAACAGGAATGAGGATTCTCATAGAAAATAGTGATCAGATGCATGCATCGGAACAAAGACTTTCTGTGATTATCACAAATATATACTTAACGGTTTCAGTTAGACATCAGCATCCAAAACAATCATCTGAAATCATGATCGTGTGAGATCAGAGGATATAACGAATACACTGCATGAGTGTGTATATCTCATCTTGTATCATCTTTCTTCATATTTTACCCATGTTTAATTGAATGTGAGTTTGTTATGATTATGTTGACATGTATATTTTGTTGTTTATTGCATGACTTAGAGCGATGTTTTTGATAAATTATGTTCTGAATCGATAAATGAAATGGTTACATGGTGGTGATTCCGAGTCCAGTTAAGAAATCATTTTTGAAGTTTCATAGAATTTACACTATCCCCAGATTTCTTGTACTCATTTTAAGTCAAAATGTCCGTTTATATTGGAATAGTTTTATCATTTGTTACAGACCAGGATAAAATTTATGACAACATTTATCATAAATCACATGACAGGTTAGGGTTAGTTTATTGATAAAGTAAGTACAGGTGGTATCTAATTATTTATATGTAATATTTTGATTAATTTATTCATTATACACTATCTAACCATAATAAGAACAAATTCATTTCTTTAACGATTTAGATTGAAGTTAGATTTTAGTCAAATATGAATGAGTTCTTGTTACAGGGTCCTCATGTCAAGTGACTGCTTTCGCCCAAATCAATGCTATTTCTGTAGTTAAATAATTTTTGTAAGAAAGTTGATCAAACTTGATTACAAGTACGTACTAGTGAGACAAGATTTCAGATATGCGGTGTTTCTACACCAGGGTCACAGGTATTTCCTAGTTCTGTGTTCAGTTTGAGAAGGAAATGTGTAATCTGTTGTTGATTGTATGGAGATTGATACGATTGTTTCTGATCGAATTATCAACCCCTATACCTGCGTGGTCAACCCCTATACCTGCGTGGAAATTTTTTTTGTTTTGTGTCAAATATTTCGTGATTCCTATTATACGATTTTTCAGTTTACTTCTAAATTACGGTGAGTTGAACACATTCTTAGAAATCTTTAATCAATGCTTAATGTCCTAAATATGATTTCTTGACTTATTTACTATCAAATAAGTCTAATTTCGTAAATATATTCATTTAAATAGACCTATTTTTTCTAAAATAAATTATTCAGTTCTAATTTACTGCGACTAGTTATGTCCAGAGTTTTACAGATATAAGTTTTCTCTCAAGTCCTACCACTATTACCTGGATAATAGTTTTCTCTGAAGTTTAACTGATACTAATTTTTCTGAAGTCTAAATCACTGATGGTAGTTTGTCTTAAGTCCCCTTATTCTGCTTTTCTATCCATTAATAAAAACTCCTTGTAAATTTAGATATATTTTTACATGGAAAGTTATCTAGCTCGAGACAATATTGACGTGTATATTTTTTATCATTTGTGCATTGCTGTAGCTGTAAGATGGCAGTTAGTGACAGTTATTGTCTCACAGAAGAGGATATTTTCGCTTATTATCAAATACATTTTTTCCAGCTGAATGTTCTTACTAACCTTTATGTATATAATACAATGCTTTGTTAAAGATCAAAATGTTATGTTAAATCATTTTAAAAACTAAACACATATGATTTGATCCTAATTTCAAATAAGTTTCAAATAATTTGCAATTCATGAAAGTTAGGGGGTCGGCACACATGACACAAGGTCAGGATTTTTTACTGGACTGCAGGGGAGCAACATTAATGACAACGATGTAGCATCTGTTTGAATTTCTACAAGAACAATAATGATGAGAATAGACTTAACATTGACAATATTTCTGTATAAATGTAGTAAATGTATATGAAAATTGATACCTAGACTAAAATATTTACAGAACCTTATATATCCTGTAGAAACAAAGGGGCCAACACATATACTTTGTCTCAAAGTGGGACTTAATGCAAGTAGAATTTTTGATGATCAGTAATAGATATTGGTGGGCTTATTACCAGACATGGGCTTATTACCAGCTAAATTTGGTAATATCTTAGCAGATATATACAGTTTAGGATAACATTAACACCTTCTGTTGGTTGTTACAGGTCCAGTTCCTAGAGCAGGCAGAAGTCATATCGTCAAAGAAAATCACTGAACTGGAACAACGTAATCAAAGTCTACAGCAACGTCTTGACCTTAAGGAGGAACTTGAGTCTGACCTCCTCTTGGTGGAGACTCTCAAAGAGAGGCTTCAGGAAACACAGTCTGAAAATGATGAACTTAGCATTAAAATTACTGAAATGGAGGAAAATGAAGAAACTTTAAAAATCAATTGGATGAAAGTGGCTGAAAATGACTCTAATAGAATCCAAAGCTTGGAAGAAAAGGTGAAAGTTCTGGAAAATTCTACATGGGAGTTAAAATCCAGGTTACGAGAACAACAAGACAGATCTCCAATGCCAACAAGCTCTGAAGGACCCTCGCTAGCGATGGAGTTAACTCAGAGTGAGACAAGTGAAATTACGGACCAAACTGACTCTTCTCTTCACTTTAAAATCTCATCTCTTGAGGAGGAACTACAAGCCATGGAGGAATCCAAAAATGCCAAAATTGAAACATTACAAGAAAAAATCTGTCAGTTGAAAGAAAACGAAATCAAACTCAGTGAAACAGTGGGTGAGATGGAGCAGGAGGAAAGAGAGCTACGTTCTCGTCTGAAAATGTACGAAAGTCGCGGTGGTGGGAACTCAGATCATTTGTATGTAGACAAAATTAAAGAGTTGAGTCGTTCTCAACATGATCTTCTAGATCGTCTTGATTCAATGGAGGACCATGAGGAAAATTTAAAAATACGCATGCAAGAGACAGAAAGTTCATTAAGACTAAAAATTGATCAATATGAAAGAGAAATTGCACAGTATATTGAACAGGAGGAGGAAATGTTGTGTCGTGTCCAGGAAATAGAGAAACATGATGAGGAACTCATGGAAAAGTGTGAAAGATACGAGGAACAGAAATCAGAACTGGAAGCAGAGATTGAAACTCTGAATAATCAAATGGATTCTTATTGTGAACATGAACAAGAATTAATTAAAGCTGGAGAAACTTTGAATGAGGAAAACGAAAAACTAGGTTGTGATGTGAGAGAATACAAGAGTAAAACTGAACAATTTGAACAACAGGTTGCTCAAATGAAACTTGAAAAAGATGCTTTAAGTGCAAAGGTCAAGGACATATCAGTAGAGTTGAAACAGGTCAAAGTTCAATGTGGTGAGCTTACTCAGAAACAAGAGTGGTACAGTAAGGAGTTAGGCCAGGTTCGTACCGAAAATGATGAACTCACAGAAAAGTTAGAGACAATAGGAGCTGAACTTGATCAAGTCAGATCTGAAAATGATGATCTGAATGAACGACTCATTGAACTGGATTCTTCTGAACAGGAGTGCTTAGAAAAAATTAGAAACATTGAAATAAAAAATGCCAACATCCAACATTTAGAAAGGAAAGTGGATGTTTTAGAGGAAGCTGAATATAAACTTATGGATAGAGTGTCTGAACTAGAGGATATAGAACAAAACTTAAGATCTAGACTAGAAGTTGTAAAATTTGACAAAAGCACAGAAACAACAGAGAATTACCTCCCCTTATCAGAAAGTCCTGTGACTGATGATGTTGTGACAAGGATTGATGTGCAACCGGTAGAAACAAAAGAGCAGACGACAGATACCAATGATCTTGGGGAGAACTCACAGGCAGGTAAGGTCACAGGACTCTTCCAAAGGTTACAAGAACTTGAAAGTGAAAATCAGACTCTGTCTGAAAAGCTTGTTTCTCTCACAGCAACTGATGCACAGGTGAAACAACTGTCAGAGAAAGTCAAGCTTCTGGAGAACTCAGAAGATCGGTTAATGGACCGTGTTATGGAACTAGAGGAAATTGAAGACAGAATGAAACGTCAGATCATGAAAGCTAGTAAATCTTCTGAAATTGTCACTGAACCTTCAGACATTGAAAATATTGAGGATGCACGATCAAAGAGTCAGGAAAGAAAACCACCTGCAGGAGTAGAAGAAGTTAGCCCTGATCGTGACGAGTTTGTGGATGCTCTAGAAGAACCTGAAGGAAGTCTAATGAAACGTCAGCTCGAAAAGGCGAAGAAGTCTGTGGAGTCCATTCCTGATTTTGATGCAGATATGGACTCTATTGAAGATGCTGATGAGAGCTTGAGAGAAACAATTCACAGAATGTATCAGGAGAAAGAGAAGATTGTTGGACAGTTGAACAACATGCAAAAACTTTTGACCACATCCAAGGAGAAACTTGCCATCTGTGAAAGAGAAATGGCAGAAGAGAAGAAAAAATTTGATGTCTCAGAAAAATGTCTCAAAGAAGAGAAACAGAAATTGTCTTCAAGTGAAAAACTGCTTTCTGAGTGTCAACATGAGTTGAAAGAGTGTAAAATATGTCTCGCTGAAAAAACAGATAAAATGTCTTCTTTAAAATTATCTGAAGACAAGCTGTTGAGAACTGTGGAAATTGAACAGATAAGATCACGAGAGTTAGAGAAGGAATTGATATCTACGCAAGAAAAACTCAATGATGTTCAAAAAGAATATGATTTAAAAATCTTCCAGTTAAAGGAGCGAGTTGATCAAATGGTTGATCAGGAAAAACAGCTCAAACAAGAAGTCAACGATTTGTTAAAAGGAAAGGAAATCCTGTTAGAGCGGATAGATGAACTTCAGCAATTACAAAGTCAGTCTCAGGACCAAGTGATATCTAGTCACACTATGCAATATAATAATCAAAATGTGTTACAATCAGCCAATCATGTTTCTAATTCTAGTCATGTGACCACTTCCAGTTCTCAGGATGACATTGTGGACTTCAAAGCAAAATGTGATGAAGCTGATGCAAAAATTTTAATATTAGTTAAGAAATGTCAGGAACTTGAATCAAAATACAAGGAAAAATGTGAAACAGCAGAAAAAATTCACGAGTTACAAGGATTTTGTGATCGTGTAGATTCAGGCTTTTCTCATAGTTCTAAACAGAGTAGTGTTCATGTTGTTACTGACCTCTCACCACATGACAGTGGATTTTTGACTGAAGGTGAGGCTGGAGGTCACGACCTTGGTGTTCAGAATTCACAAGACCATATAAATGCATTCCATGATGTTGTCAAGGCCACTGTCCGTGATCTGGAGTTAGCCATGTCTGATAATGATGACCAAACATTCCCTGCAGCCTCTAGTTCAATGGTAAGTACTGAAAAATGCAAGTAAGGAAAAAAAATTGTTAAAGAAGTAAACAATCAAAATCCTCGTGAAATTTAATTCTGACTTTAAAAAAAAAAGTTTTCAATAAAACCACAACCAATTGATTTCCTCATAAATATTTTGCCTTCCACCACAAATGTTTTCATATATATTGGATTTTTTTCAGTAGAAACTGAGAATGAACTAATGAAATTAATTTACTTCACAGCAGAGATAATTATGTACAGGATGGATGGAAAGGGACAAACATGGTTTTATCCTTATATACTTCTTTAAGAGCTCTTAAAGAAGTATATGTTAATAAAAATATGTAGTTCTAAATCATCATGATTTTAAAATTTATCATTTAATTGTATGACATTTAAAGATTCTACGTTACACGAGAATAACTGATACATTTTCGTGTTGTCCACAGTCCAAAGATGCCAGTCCATTCCAGAATACGCTTGCCAGGCTGTCTCGATGTAAATCTTGTATGCTGGAGAGGCTTGTCAGCTACAACAAAATGAGGTGAGTGTGAAGCATACAGGTGGCTCAGATAAATGTAAAGCATATCAATAACTTGGGTAAAAGTAGAACATACAGATGACTCAGGTTTTGTAAAACCATAGACAGATTAGTATGAAATGTACAGATGATCTGTTTATGTAAAACCAGAGACAGGTAAGTATGAAATGTACAGATGATCTGTTTATGTAAAACCAGAGACGGGTTAGTATGAAACATACAGGTGACTCTGTTTATATAAAACCAGAGATGGGTTAGTATGAAACATACAGGTGACACTAGTGATGACATAATTGATGATAGTCTCTATTTACACTTTTAATTGATTAAATTTTCCATTGATTTTTCTTTTAATATTAAATAGAAATATTTAGTTGATTTAAGTTGATGTTTAAATTTTATAGTATTGAGGAGTTAAAAGGTTGCATATAATTTCCCTTTCCTGTATGTATTAAGTTTGAAGTGAAGACCATTTTCTCCTATAAATGAAAATGAACCTCATGGCTTGGTGTTGGTCTGACAATGATTTAACTTTGAAAATGTTGTTAGAGTAAAATGTGTTTTTAGTGCTTTCCCACATTCTTGTTTCACAGGCACGACAGAGTTGTCCCCCTTGTGTTTATGGAGAATTTGCATGACAGCAGGAGTGTTATTGCCATTAGTAATTATTAAATTTGTTTAATTGAATTTCCTATTTTTTGTACGAATTACATAAGATTGAAAGCAAAGAAGAACAATTTGTAAGCCATTGATTTTTGAAAATGTCTTATCATTTTAATGTCATGAAGAATAGTAGGCCTGATATGATATTCTGTTCGTTAAAGTGTGTTGAGGAGTCAATAAATATATGTCTGTACAGATTTGTATCATGAAGAATTATTTTCAAAAAGGTCCAGGCCTGTTGGTGTTTTGTTTGTCCAGGTCTGTTGGTGTTTAGTCAGTCCAGGCCTGTTGGTATTATGTCAGTCCAGGCCTGTTGGTGTTTTGTCAGTCCAGGCCTGTTGGTGTTTAGTCAGTCCAGGCCTGTTGGTATTATGTCAGTCCAGGCCTGTTGGTGTTTTGTCAGTCCAGGCCTGTTGGTGTTTTGTCTTTCCAGGCCTGTTGGTGTTTTGTCTGTCCAGGCCTGTTGGTGTTTAGTCAGTCCAGGCCTGTTGGTGTTTAGTCAGTCCAGGCCTGTTGGTGTTTTGTCAGTCCAGGCCTGTTGGTGTTTTGTCAGTCCAGGCCTGTTGGTGTTTAGTCAGTCCAGGCCTGTTGGTATTATGTCAGTCCAGGCCTGTTGGTGTTTTGTCAGTCCAGGCCTGTTGGTATTATGTCAGTCCAGGCCTGTTGGTGTTTAGTCAGTCCAGGCCTGTTGGTATTATGTCAGTCCAGGCCTGTTGGTGTTTTGTCAGTCCAGGCCTGTTGGTGTTTTGTCTTTCCAGGCCTGTTGGTGTTTTGTCTGTCCAGGCCTGTTGGTGTTTAGTCAGTCCAGGCCTGTTGGTGTTTTGTCAGTCCAGGCCTGTTGGTGTTTTGTTTGTTCAGGCCTGTTGGTGTTTTGTCTGTCCAGGCCTGTTGGTGTTTTGTCTGTCCAGGCCTGTTGGTGTTTTTTCAGTCCAGGCCTGTTGGTGTTTTGTTTGTTCAGGCCTGTTGGTGTTTTGTCAGTCCAGGCCTGTGGTGGCTGTAGTATTGATTGGTATCAACAAGCCAACACAGATGTGGAAGAGAGAATTTACATTAATAATTCATCTTGACTATCTCATAGAATATGTGAGGACCCTCCACAAATCAATAGGTAAAGGAGATGTGTCCAGAAACCATTCATACCTGTATAATTAACCTGGCAGTAAGGGTATGTCCTGACTGTATAAAACTTCATTCTTCACCTCCCCATGAATTATCTCCCTTTATAAATAGAATCTGCCTTAACTCTCTGGCATAATGAGCTTTATTTTTTCACTAATTGTGTTGACCAACTTAACAAAGAGTTCAGAGCATTGTCAACAAAGTTCTGTATTGTTAGAGCACTCATAGTATTTATGTTACTAGATTCCAGGTTTAAGTATATAATGTCCCTTTGTCCATGATTAGAATTATAATAACTATTTTATGAAAATTTCAGATTTTTAAATGAAATAGAGTGATTATGACAATGTGACGGAGAAAAAAACACTTGACTCTCGGCTGTGTTTATCTGTGACTGTGATGTCCATGCATATTGTATGTTTTTATATACAAGTCCATGTTAAATAGGCACACACCATCACAATGCAGCTTGTGTTGTTTAGACATTTAAATGCCTGTGGAGTTGTATAATGATCTGTGACAGATCTGGCTGTTGAATTGTGTAATGACCCGTGGCTGATCTCTCATGTATATGTTAAGGATTTACACTTAGTTATTTAGAGAATGAAACACTGACAGGTCGTGACTTGTTGTTGTGTCCTCCCGAGACCCACCCACCCAGGTAAACAAATGGCCAGGTAAACCTTCACAGGTATGTGTATCTGTCTACCTATCTCCATATCTCCCGTATCTGGTGATATTGGAAAAGATCAGTGGATTTATGATTTAGGCCTGTGCTACTAACAGAATTATTGGGGAGGTATATATTGTGTCTGTATATCTGGGAATATTTGTCTGTATGATGTACAACAGCTCTGTACAAAGTGGTAAGTGATCAGGAGTCTACTTTCATATTAACCATTGTGTTGTACTAATGTATCTGTTTATAGGATCTAATGAGGAGCTAATGCTTGAAACAAAATCAATTAACTGATTTAAGATAATCAAATTGTTCTGTAGAATAGACTGTAAACTCTAATCAGTTATTGTATGTTGTTGTCCTTGTGATCATATGATGGTGATCACTTGTTCATATTATATTTCCATTATTTATTGATTGGCTTTGACCTATTTAGGTTCAATGTGTACACATGCTTTTCCTGAGTGTTGTTGAGGTTTCAACAATCTAAGGAGGGGGTGTACTTTAGGTTAACCTGAGTGATAGTTTGTGCTAGTCGAGGAATGTTTGATAAACTATTGACATCTAAATAAGGACCCTTGTATACCTTTAACATCCTAAGTTTTGGTGTATCGGTAATACCTGGTCTACAGGGAATGCCTTCCCACTCTCCCTTCCCGTATAAGTCTAGCATTCTGTAAACTGTAACAAATATATCGAGAGTACAGTGTTATTTGAACTAGTTTTATGTGATGATCTATTCACTTTACATATATATATATATATTAGCTTACATTGCTTCAGTTAAACCATCATTGTTGTTACCAGTAAACATTTTAGAATTTATCTTTGTGATTGGTACAGGTACATACCTGTTTATTTACCTGTTGTCCTAGTATTACAGATACCTGTATTTTTTAAAGGTAATTAAAGTATCTTTTAGAATTTGGGATTTAAAACTGTATTCATTTGGATATCAATTACTGTCCCACTCCAACGTTAACGTGAACCAAACAATACTGATACAGGAAATTCTTCAATCATCAGTGTTCTACACCTATCAAAATAGAAAATGTCTGGTTACTGCCGTGGTTCCAGATAAATAATTCTACACACACTATTAAGTACTGGTTTATTAATGCTCACCTGTTGATTAGATACAGGTATGATATTGGATTTGTTAGGCTGTGCTTTCTCATCTATACATGGTTCCAGACTAAGGGTTAAAGGTCAGTGGAACAAGTCAGCATCAACAAGAATTGAAAACATTTTTCTGACCTGTAGGATGTGATATTTTTACCTGTGTGATGTTTTTACCTGTAGGATGTGATGTTTTTATTTGTAGAATGTGATGTTTTTACCTGTAGGATGTGATATTCTCACCTATAGGATGTGATGTTCTCACCTGTAGGATGTGATATTCTCACCTCTAGGATGTGATGTTTTTACCTAGAGGATGTGATGTTTTTACCTGTAGGATGTGATGTTTTTAACGGTAGGATGTAATATTCTCACCTCTAGGATATGATGTTTTTACCTGTAGGATGTGATGTTTTTACCTGCAGTATGTAATATTCTCACCTGTAGGATGTAATATTCTCACCTGTAGGATGTGATGTTTTTACCTGTAGGATGTGATGTTTTTACCTGTAGGATGTAATATTCTCACCTCTAGGATGTGATGTTTTTACCTGTAGGATGTGATGTTTTTACCTGTAGGATGTGATGTTTTTACCTGTAGGATGTGATGTTTTTACCTGTAGGATGTAATATTCTCACCTATAGAAATCGACCGATGTTGTAACAGTTCAGGTGTATAGTCGTAAAACAATGGAGGTCAGTTTTCCTTGTGAATAAGGTGGATTAGGGTTGATTTCCTGGTAAGTAATGAGTACTGGCAGTTTGTCAGTACATCATGGATGTATGGTACTACTACTCAGGTAGAGCCATGGAGTCAATACAAATGCATTATTCAAAATATGAATACAAAAACAAACATGTATGTTTTTATTTGAGTTTGATATAAAATCAGAAGAGTGTGATGTTTTTGGGTCTGTATCGAGTGATTGATACACAGGTCAGCATCCTAACTGATCCACTGATATCTGTGAAGTAATTTAATCAACAGATCTGCTTGTGTTGGGACCAGGGTCAGTCTACATACAAAAATTGTCCCCAAACTGGAAGACATTACATGTATGTGTGTTAATTGTTACAGTTCATTTTAAAATACTGACACCTTATCGATCCAATGATAAGATTAGTGGGAATTAGCATCCAAAAATATAAAGTTGTTTTATTATCAACAGGAAGAATTTACTTACATTTCAGAATTTCAGATTTTTTTCCCATAAAACTAGAAGATCAGAATAAAGTGAATATTTGTATATCTGTCCTTGAACAGTACCATTAGTTCACTCTGAGACTAACTTTATTTAGTAAGACGTAGTAATATGGTTGTAGAATGTCAGACCATGGATTTACAGAGTCAGGATTAGGATTACTGAGTCATACAATCCTAGACCATTATGTTGAGAGAGATTGAAAAATAAGGTCATATACAATTTACTTGCTGTTATAAGTCATTATGTTTTAACCCTGTTAAACTAGACAAATGTGGTCTACACAAACCATCTAAACATTCATGGATTCCTCGGAGTTAATCAGGAGTCAATAACTCTGTGTTTATATTGCTGAACTTTTCGACCAGATTGTAAGGTGAATGATGTGAGGACAAGAGATACGTTTAATTGTACATTGTATTGGATTTATAGGGTTTATTGCCAGAGGGAAAGGGAGAAAGTTGTTAGGCTCTAAACACTTTGGAATGAGATTAATTCAGTTTTAGTTTCGTAATTTTTATTGTAGTATGTTGAAGTCATTAGAAGATTGATAGAGAACACAGAGACAGGATTTCCATGTGGACAAGAATTCCATGTCTTCCCTGATTTATGTATTAAATGTTTCATGGTTTTTGTAGATTGACACTGAAAACCAGTGGTACAGGATCTGATGTGGATCTCCATCAACGAATCGCTGCTCTCCAATCATCAGAGAAAAATCTCAAACTACAAATCCAACATTTAGAGCAGTCCAAGTTTGACCTTGAACTGAAGGTCAAGAATGCAGCTGCAGAAAGAGGTGTCAGTGATGAGGATCATAACCTCTTCTCTAAATCTGGTCATGTGACATCATCACCTGATGAACGGGGACTTGGTAGCAGGCAGATTCTGCTTGAGAGAATCAGTGAGTTGGAGCAGAGTGAGAGACATTTGAAGCAGAGGTTAGAAGTGGTTACAGGGATTCCCATAACAACAGTCACCATGTTGGATCAGCCAGAGGATATACTAAGACAGAGGATTGGGGAGCTGGAGAGACTGGAAAAACATCTCAAACAACAGGTAACTATGGCTACAGTCTCTAAATATCTACATCTCAAACAACAGGTAACTATGGCTACAGTCTCTAAATATCTACATCTCAAAGAACAGATAACCATGGCTACAGTCTCTAAATATCTACATCTCAAACAACAGGTAACTATGGCTACAGTCTCTAAATATCTACATCTCAAACAACAGGTAACTATGGCTACAGTCTCTTAATATCTACATCTCAAACAACAGGTAACTATGGCTACAGTCTCTAAATATCTACATCTCAAAGAACAGGTAACTATGGCTACAGTCTCTAAATATCTACATCTCAAACAACAGGTAACTATGGCTACAGTCTCTAAATATCTACATCTCAAACAACAGGTAACTATGACTACAGTCTCTAAATATCTACATCTCAAACAACAGGTAACTATGGCTACAGTCTCTAAATATCTACATCTCAAACAACAGGTAACTATGGCTACAGTCTCTAAATATCTACATCTCAAACAACAGGTAACTATGGCTACAGTCTCTAAATATCTACATCTCAGACAACAGGTAACTATGGCTACAGTCTCTAAATATCTACATCTCAGACAACAGGTAACTATGGCTACAGTCTCTAAATATCTACATCTCAAAGAACAGATAACCATGGCTACAGTCTCTAAATATCTACATCTCAAACAACAGGTAACTATGGCTACAGTCTCTAAATATCTACATCTCAGACAACAGGTAACTATGGCTACAGTCTCTAAATATCTACATCTCAAACAACAGGTAACTATGACTACAGTCTCTAAATATCTACATCTCAAACAACAGGTAACTATGGCTACAGTCTCTAAATATCTACATCTCAGACAACAGGTAACTATGGCTACAGTCTCTAAATATCTACATCTCAGACAACAGGTAACTATGGCTACAGTCTCTAAATATCTACATCTCAGACAACAGGTAACTATGGCTACAGTCTCTAAATATCTACATCTCAGACAACAGGTAACTATGGCTACAGTCTCTTAATATCTACATCTCAAACAACAGATAACCATGGCTACAGTCTCTAAATATCTACATCTCAAACAACAGGTAACTATGGCTACAGTCTCTAAATATCTACATCTCAGACAACAGGTAACTATGGCTACAGTCTCTAAATATCTACATCTCAAACAACAGGTAACTATGACTACAGTCTCTAAATATCTACATCTCAAACAACAGGTAACTATGGCTACAGTCTCTAAATATCTACATCTCAAACAACAGGTGACTATTGCTACAATAAAAACTGATGTTTACTAGATCTTCTTTGGTTCAAGCAAATTGTTTACCAAAGGACATTTTCAGTGCTTATTTTAAGTAATATTGGTCATCAGATTTATGTGATGTTCTTTTCCCTTTGAATTATAGGTGTTGTCCTGTTTGATAAATTTTTGTCTGCCTGTGATAAAGATATAAGTTTACATTTGTGATATGACTTTAACTTTCTGTAAATGACCTTGACATTACTATAGGTGCTGGACATGGAACAGGATCGCGAGGAGCTCCATGAGATTGCCAGGAAGGACAAAAACCTCATCCATGACCAAAACGTCAAAATGCGTGAGCTGCAGCTGTCAGAGAAAAATTTAAAGGAGCAGGTGAACCATTTTGAAGCCTCTGAACGAAACCTCTATAACAAAGTAGAGGAGCTGGAGGACCAAATTTCTCGTCTAGAGGATCGCATCTCTGAACTCAAGGTCATGGAGATGAGACTGAAGGAACTAGTCAGGAAGTACAAGCTTGATGAAGAGGTCTGGCTGAGTAAATCTGAGAACCTCGAAACCTCCATGACAGAACTGAGTGTGTCTGAGGCAAAAATGAAAAAACAGGTTCAGAGTTTAGAAATGGAGCGAAATGGACTGGCTGAGAAAACAGAATATTTACATATGAGGCTGAAAGAGTTAGAGAATGCAGAGGCTAACTTACTTCAGCGAACGAAGGACCAAGAAAATAAGGAAATCATTCTTAATGAGAAACTTTCAGAGCTTCAAACTCATGGCTCCTCTACCGACCAACAAAACTCAGAGTTACAAATGGTTAATGTTGATCTAACACAAAACTTTAATCATGTTGTTCAGGAAAATGGTGCACTCACACATCACATTGTTCAGTTACAGAACCAGGTTCAGGTTTTAGAACAGCAATCTATCACTCTAAGGGATACAGAACTCCGACTTAAACAGGAAGTTGAGTGTCTGGAGAAAAGTGAAAAAGAGCTTCAAAAGAAGGTGAAGGACCTTCAGTTGAAGGAGGTTGATATGCAAGGTCAGCTAAGACAAGCAGAAGAAGGGGAGACAATCATGAAGGATAAAGTCAGCAAGCTGCAACGAAGTGAAAATAAACTTAAGTACAGGATACAGGAGTTGGAGAATTCAGGCACACAGGTAGGTTAAGTGTAACTGGTGGTTTGATACAAAGTTTATAACTGTATCTTCCTAACTGTATGATTTTATCGATGAGCTCATCAGTAACACATCTTATCTATGTTTCAATTTCATACTTATGTAGAACTGGTTTTGAAAATGTTTTTGGTTGGTTTGTTAATTCAGTTTATGTGTTATTAGATCTAGAAACTAAGGACATATTTTAATGGTTTTCATGCAAAAATATATTTATGTTTGTGCTTCCACCGTCTATATGAGGATAATCAGGTAAAGACATCCTTCATAAGGCTATAAAAACAGCATTCATATGCCACATTGGGTATCTTTCTTTTTTCATTTCAAGTAAATACCAGGAATGAATTGCAGTCATATCTAGTTTTTGCCTTTATATCTGAATAGTTACCACTGGATGTGCCGAGCTCCCTCAAAGACAAGGTTCCTAGGAAGTTGGAGGATTGTCAGCGTCGCCTGATTATCTTACAGAACCAAAACGAGAAACTTAAATCTCGTGTACTTGATTATCAAAACCTTTCGACGTCTAAATCGGCAGTGAAGCTCCCGTTAGCGGAGTATCAGGAGTTACAAACAAAGGTGGCGCTGCTGGAGCAGACGGAACTCCATCTTGATGAGATGGAGCAAACTAATGCTCAGCTTTTGGAGACTGTTAAACGGATGCAGGAGGGACAGGTATGTCACAGATGTCTGATTCACAGTGAACACTAAAGAATCTAGTTTCTTGTCACAAACTTTTTTTTGTTCTTACACAGGGGTTGTTTTTGATTCAGTTATTATTTAAATGTTCTGTAAAAGATGGCAAGAGTTATCTTTCTTTGAATTTTATTTTTACCCTTTTATTTCTAAATTTTAGTGTTGCATGTGCATTACAATATTAAAAATCTTGTTATACATTGTAGTGTTTTCATATAAAAAAATCTGTATCTAGTGAGATTATGTTTACTTTTTACCAGAATATTAAAAAACATGCTCTTAAGTTTGTTTCACCTCTTACTTTGCATGACGCTCACTTTCAGTTTTTTTTTTGCTTCTTTTTCACGTGAACAGGACGTTAGTAGTCCTGAACTGGATGCTATCCAGAGACGTTTGGCTCAGTCTACCAAGATGATTAAGGTGAGTTCACAGAGTACAGTTCTCTCAATATTAATGAGGGTAATTAATTAATTATTAATTAATAAGTAAGACTCAGTTACTATACTCTTTGTGATCCCTCTCTCTGACACGTGTCTGATATTTCTGATAACACAGCTCAAACATCTAATCCTGTATAGGCTAATTGTGGGGGTTATTTCATAATCAAAGAACAGTTGCATATCTAATGTCAGTTTGCTATTTATATAATACATCACAAATTCATAGGCATATGTGAAATTTTTGCAGCTGAAGCACTTTTAAGTGTCTAGTGTAAGTTTCAGAAACTGTGATATCTCCTCCCAAACATGCTTGTTTGAGACCTCCTTTTTCATACACCCCTTGAGACCTTTACTTCCATACACTCCTTGAGACCTCCTCTTCCATACACTCCTTGAGACCTCCTCTTCCATACACCCCTTGAGACCCCTTCTATACACCCCTTGAGACCTCCTCTTCCATACACCCCTTGAGACCCCTTCTATACACCCCTTGAGACCTCCTCTTCCATACACTCCTTGAGACCTCCTCTTCCATACACCCCTTGAGACCCCTTCTATACACCCCTTGAGACCTCCTCTTCCATACACCCCTTGAGACCCCTTCTATACACCCCTTGAGACCTCCTCTTCCATACACCCCTTGAGACCCCTTCCATACACCCCTTGAGACCCCTTCCATACACCCCTTGAGACCCCTTCCATACACCCCTTGAGACCCCTTCCATACACCCCTTGAGACCTCCTCTTCCATACACCTCTTGAGACCTCCTCTCCCATACACCCCTTGAGACCTCCTCTTCCATACACCCCTTGAGACCCCTTCTATACACCCCTTGAGACCTCCTCTTCCATACACCCCTTGAGACCCCTTCTATACACCCCTTGAGACCCCTTATTTACCCCCACTTGATACCTCCTCTTCCATACACCCCTTGAGACCCATTCCATACACCCCTTGAGACCTCCTCTTCCATACACCCCTTGAGACCCCTTCCATACACCCCTTGAGACCCCTTCCATACACCCCTTGAGACCTCCTCTTCCATACACCCCTTGAGACCCCTTCCATACACCCCTTGAGACCCCTTCCATACACCCCTTGAGACCCCTTCCATACACCCCTTGAGACCCCTTCCATACACCCCTTGAGACCTCCTCTTCCATACACCCCTTGAGACCCCTTCCATACACCCCTTGAGACCTCCTCTTCCATACACCCCTTGAGACCCCTTCCATACACCCCTTGAGACCCCTTCCATACACCCCTTGAGACCTCCTCTTCCATACACCCCTTGAGACCCCTTCCATACACCCCTTGAGACCCCTTCCATACACCCCTTGAGACCCCTTCCATACACCCCTTGAGACCCCTTCCATACACCTCTTGAGACCTCCTCTTCCATACACCTCTTGAGACCTCCTCTTCCATACACCCCTTGAGACCCCTTCCATACACCCCTTGAGACCTCCTCTTCCATACACCCCTTGAGACCTCCTCTTCCATACACCTCTTGAGACCTCCTCTTCCATACACCCCTTGAGACCCCTTCCATACACCCCTTGAGACCTCTTCCATATACCCCTTGAGACCTCCTCTTCCATACACCTCTTGAGACCCCTTATTTACCCCCACTTGATACCTCCTCTTCCATACACCTCTTGAGACCTCCTCTTCCATACACCTCTTGAGACCTCCTCTTCCATACACCTCTTGAGACCTCCTCTTCCATACACCCCTTGAGACCCCTTCCATACACCCCTTGAGACCTCCTCTCCCATACACCCCTTGAGACCTCCTCTTCCATACACCTCTTGAGACCTCCTCTCCCATACACCTCTTGAGATGCCTTCTTCATTCCTTGTAATCCTCTCCTAATTACATCTGTGCATGTTTTAGTGGGGATCTCGAGGGGATGTGTTTGGAAGGGATTCTTAAGAGGACATATTTGAGTAGGAAGTGCAAGAAAGTGAGTTTTGAAGGGAAACCTAATTTTCGTGTTTGAAACATTTCCTCAAATGGATGTGTTTGTATGGTTTCAAGGCCTTGGATTACTCTGATGTAGGTGAATATGTATTGCATCAATACATTGTGTGTTTTCAATGACAGGTATTACGGCAGAACATGCACAGTGTACAGTGGAAAGATTTGGGGCCAGTCACACATAATGGTGAGTCAATTCTCCAACAAACATTTAGTGTCATCTCATACTCAGTGATAAGGATAAATACAGTCTTAGAGTCACACATAATGGTGAGTCAATTCTCCAACAAACATCCAAAGTGTCATCTCATACTCAGTGATAAGGATATATACAGTCTTAGAGTCACACATAATGGTGAGTCAATTCTCCAACAAACATCCAAAGTGTCATCTCATACTCAGTGATAAGGATATATACAGTCTTAGAGTCACACATAATGGTGAGTCAATTCTCCAACAAACATCCAAAGTGTCATCTCATACTCAGTGATAAGGATATATACAGTCTTAGAGTCACACATAATGGTGAGTCAATTCTCCAACAAACATCCAAAGTGTCATCTCATACTCAGTGATAAGGATAATTACAGTCTTAGAGTCACACATAATGGTGAGTCAATTCTCCAACAAACATCCAAAGTGTCATCTCATACTCAGTGATAAGGATATATACAGTCTTAGAGTCACACATAATGGTGAGTCAATTCTCCAACAAACATCCAAAGTGTCATCTCATACTCAGTGATAAGGATATATACAGTCTTAGAGTCACACATAATGGTGAGTCAATTCTCCAACAAACATCCAAAGTGTCATCTCATACTCAGTGATAAGGATAAATACAGTCTTAGAGTCACACATAATGATGGTCTATGTGACACTTTTTTTTCTCATCCAGAAAGTACTCTCGCCAAATCTACAAATACCCATATACTCATATTTTTCTACAATTAAATGTATATGAAATTTCCTCATGCTGATGACGGTTACTAAGGCGACATAAAACTTGTTATTGAGAGTACAGAGACACTATAGACATTGATGTCTTACATAGATCAATCAGGACACAACAGTATAAAGATAACATTCATTGATTTACCCAACAACAGCTGTTGTCTGTGTACTGTAGTACAAAGGTATACACAGTCATATGCCTTTAGGTTCATTTCCTGAATTCAGATTCTGTGCAGTTCTGCATGTATTCAGAGATTACTGGACATATTGATTACAGTGACATCATCCTACTTTGGGATTCATCTGCATGTTTCAATGTGTTAACAAATCTATTGAAATCCATTCTGTTACTAAAAAGTGACCTTACAACTTCCTTGTAGTATACAATGTAGTCTTTGATTGGAAATATCTGGATTTAAAACTCAAGTGACAGGTTTCCTTCAAAGTTGATGTTAGAATGACAGATTTTATCAACAGATTTCATACAAGTGATACTAGGACACATAAGTATGAACCTGTTAATGTATGAAAGAATTATTTAAATTCTTTACTCTGTAGTATGGAATTGCACTGTATCTCTTTCATTGGTGAATTTTGACAGGTATCTCAGCTGACCAGTCACGTGTCTCACACTTAGAGACAACTGGTCACCTAGCAGAGAGAGGAGCAAAGGGTCAAGGTCAAATGACCAGGTCCGCAAGAGCCGGACACCCTACGCAGTCGCCGGTCCAGGGTGACCGTTATGATGTTATGAATTATGATGACATATCAGACACTAGTACCGTTGATGAGGACAGTGTCCATAAGGTAAGAAACATTGCACTGTTACCATGACAACCTGACTGTCTGCTTTGAAAGTTTCTGATTATTAACCTGTTTATTAACAAGCATCATGTTTTAGCTTTTCCTTTTTGATTTATAACTGTATTTTTGTCCGAGTTAGAGATCTAGTTTCTGTTAACAAGCATCATGTTTTTAGCTTTTTTATTGCTAATTTAACCTTTTCCTGGAAAAAGAAAGTGATAAGTTTCTGTAAAAACATGAGTATAAATCTGATGAAATCTAACAAGCTTCCTTGTGATAGTAGTCTGAAGTATAACACTTGTCACTCTTGTTTGCTTGACTTTCACAACTTTCAGGACATCATTCTGCTGGTAATCAATGGGATTGTTTTGTAGCTACTATAGAACACTTGATCTATATTATAATTAAACACATTAATTTTTATTGTCTGCACCTTTGTGACTTGTTTGTAAAGTGTCTGATAATTATTTTCACTGCTGCTAATATAAGGTTGAGAAAACCAGTGTTCACATGCATCTGACAAAGGAAGGAAAGTTTGTGGTGCTGGGACCACATGAGGTAGGACTTAACTAGCACCTCCTGGTAAAGGAGAGCTCGGATAAGGGGAACAACATGTGCTTGCCTGCTTTCATGTTAGCAGCTGTAGATTTGTCCTGTGGCTTTCCCATCAGTCCAAACCAAGCCTCTCCTGGTTGCAGAACTTAAAAGCCCTTTGTTACATGTATATGATGTTTGTTTCAGATTTTGTTCATATTTATTTTTATTTCTGTTATTTATCTATTTATTTACTTTGTTTTTGTAAAATATAAATATCTCAAGTTAGTTCAAATTTAATGATCAACCCTGTGCACATATTAATATAAAATGGCTTGGGTATATAACCCTATTTTAACAAATAAAGGATTAAGCAGAATTCAAGTAAAGTAATAACACTACTTAGTTATACTACATTACTTTTGTATGTCTGTGGTGTATGTTTAGTGAGGAATCTCTGTAATGTGTCTCTAGTGTCGTGTTTAGTGAGGGGCTATGTCTGCTTGTTACAGGGATATGACTGTGATGTGTCTGTCTCCAGTCTGCGATGTGTCTGTCTTCAATACCATGTTTAGTGAGGGGCTGTGTCTGCTTGTTACAGGGATATGACTGTGATGTGTCTGTCTCCAGTGTGTGATGTATCTGTCTTCAATACCATGTTTAGTGAGGGGCTATGTCTGCTTGTTACAGGGATATGACTGTGACGTGTCTGTCTCTAGTGTCATGTTTAGTGAGGGAGATGTGACTGCTTGTTATGGTGATGTCTGTCTCCAGTATCATTTTAATTTCTTACTTTATAAAAGTTCTAAGGTTTAAAGCCACCTGTATTTTATCAAACATGTAAGTGAAGAGTGTTATTTGAAAATTCAGAGCATGTACTAAAGCCTTACTGGAGAAGACTGGAACTGAAACTTTTTGTAAAGTGAGGAGTTTGTGAAACTGGAGACCAGAGTGGGAAGGATTTTAGTAGTTTCTGTAGCAGTTATAACTATGTACAAGAAAACGCACAAACTGGTTACCATGCTTTAATATTGTCCTGTCCTGGACACAAAACCTGCATGTAAAGAACACAGCTGTTGCCATGGCTTTAAAAACCTGCCTCCAATGAACACCGCTGTTTCCATGGTGATTGTGTTATGCTTCTGACCAGCATGACTATCTCCATGGAACTCCTAAATGTCCAATGTTTTTCTACAATTGTGTGTTGTGTAATAATAATAATCATCATTGTGAATTCTATACAATGTAGGTTCTTCATTGTAATGATATTGTGAACTGTTGTTATAAACAATCAACTGACTTAGGAAGTAGAGAATACTAATTTACAAAACTAGGATAATACACACAAGTATTGCAAAGAGAAATCAGGGTTTAACAGAAAATGGGAGGATAGTTATATGAGAAAAAATATGTGACCGTTCTGGTATTTAATTAACTGCTTGATGGGTTGGACATGAAAAGTTTATGGTGTACATAGCACAGACTGGTGGATGTTTATGGTATACATACACATACATAAGGATGTTTACGTTACATGCCACATGCATGAGGATGTTTACGTTACATGCCACATGCATGAGGATGTTTACGTTACATACCACATGCATGAGGATGTTTACGTTACATACCACATGCATAAGGATGTTTTGTATTGATGTTTGTACCATCCTATACTTCTGGACTTCAGGTCTGTTGTTCAGTGTTACAGTGATACAGATATTGTTGACTATATACTTAACCATACCTATATATAATATATATGTTATAACATAGTGTAAAGTATATCCACAACACTGATAGCCAACAGAAACAATTCTAGTGACTTAGTTCTCCTGTTTGTGATGATATTAAACCTGAGTTGTGTTTTTGTTGACAGGCTGCGCGGGGGCATAAAAATGTACCCAATGCACAACTAGTATCCGACGACCGACAGCAGATGATAGATGATTTGGTCAGCCATCTTGATTCTGCGGGGAGTCCGTTGGAGGAGGCACATTGGAAACAAGTTGAATCCCTGTCACCCAGGGCAGCAGGGAGCAACAAAGGAGACAAACGCTGGGTCAATGTTGGTAAGGCGACCAGTCTCAACCAATCAAGTGCCAAAAAAGTGTCCCGCTTAAATCCAGATGAGGAGCTTGTGTTAGGACTAACGCTCCCATCTGAAACTGAAAGTCAAAATAAATATAGTACACAGAATGACACAGATTCCACTATGGCAAGCCCTTTGATGAAAAGGAGAAAATTTCGCCCTACAGAAAGTGTCGACTCTCAGGTGCCCCCACCACTGCCACAAAGCCAGCCACCATCTTTAAACTCAACCCTTAATGGTGCCGATAATTTCGTTACTGCTGGATTTCCTGGACTGGAACAGGACTTTCCGGATGAAATAATGTATGAGCAGGACTACAGTATGGTGTCCGCTCCGCTCCAGACTTCACACTCCATGATGAGCATGCCTGACAGCGGGCATGGTACAGTGTCCACACTCAGAAGTCAGGCTCTACAGGAGAGAATCACCCAGATCAGTCAGGTTTTACAGGTAAATATCAGGTGTTAATTACAGGTGTTGATGAGTTACAGGTGTGATGACTAACAGGTGTCCATGAGCTATCAGGTGTGATGACTAACAGGTGTGTATGAGTTACAGGTGTTAATAAATTACAGGTGTCCATGAGTTACAGGTGTGATGACTAACAGGTGTCCATGAGTTACAGGTGTGATGACTAACAGGTGTCCATGAGTTACAGGTGTGATGACTAACAGGTGTCCATGAGTTACAGGTGTCTATGAGTTACAGGTGTGATGACTAACAGGTGTCCATGAGTTACAGGTGTGATGACTAACAGGTGTCCATGAGTTACAGGTGTCCATGAGTTACAGGTGTGATGACTAACAGGTGTCCATGAGTTACAGGTGTCAATGAGTTACAGGTGTCCATGAGTTACAGATGTCAATGAGTTACAGGTGTCCATGAGTTACAGGTGTCAATGAGTTACAGGTGTCCATGAGTTACAGGTGTTAATGAATTACAGGTTTCCATGAGTTACAGGTGTGATGAATTACAGGTGTCCATGAGTTACAGGTGTGATGACTAACAGGTGTCCATGAGTTACAGGTGTGATGAATTACAGGTGTCCATGAGTTACAGGTGTCGATGAGTTACAGGTGTCACGAGTTACAGGTGTGATGACTAACAGGTGTCCAGGTGTTACAGGTGTGATGACTAACAGGTGTCCAGGAGTTACAGGTGTGATGACTAACAGGTGTGATGACTTACAGGTGTGATGACTAACAGGTGTCCAGGAGTTACAGGTGTGATGACTTACAGGTGTGATGACTAACAGGTGTGATGACTAACAGGTGTGATGACTAACAGGTGTCCAGGAGTTACAGGTGTGATGACTAACAGGTGTGATGACTTACAGGTGTGATGACTAACAGGTGTGATGACTTACAGGTGTGATGACTTACAGGTGTCCATGAGTTACAGGTGTCCATGAGTTACAGGTGTGATGACTAACAGGTGTCAATGAGTTACAGGTGTGATGACTAACAGGTGTCCATGAGTTACAGGTGTGATGACTAACAGGTGTGATGACTGACAGGTGTCAATGAGTTACAGGTGTGATGACTAACAGGTGTCCAGGAGTTACAGGTGTGATGACTAAGAGGTGTCCATGAGTTACAGGTGTGATGACTAACAGGTGTCCAGGAGTTACAGGTGTGATGACTAACAGGTGTGATGACTTACAGGTGTGATGACTAACAGGTGTCCAGGAGTTACAGGTGTGATGACTTACAGGTGTGATGACTAACAGGTGTGATGACTTACAGGTGTGATGACTAACAGGTGTGATGACTAACAGGTGTCCAGGAGTTACAGGTGTGATGACTAACAGGTGTGATGACTTACAGGTGTCCATGAGTTACAGGTGTGATGACTAACAGGTGTGATGACTAACAGGTGTCAATGAGTTACAGGTGTGATGACTAACAGGTGTCCAGGAGTTACAGGTGTGATGACTAACAGGTGTGATGACTAACAGGTGTCCATGAGTTACAGGTGTGATGACTAACAGGTGTGATGACTAACAGGTGTTGATGAAATACTGGTGTTGATGAGTTTCATAAGTTTAAAAATTATCATTATGTTTGCAGAAAAAGCCAATAGCTAATGAGGTAACAGATGAAGATGATGATGTCATGATCTGGAAAATAAAGGTAAAACATATTAGCAGTGTTTATATTATCCTTTACATTTCATAGATTAGAACTTTTAATGTCAAGTTTCATTAATTAATAAACTGTATTATGTAATACAATCCAATACTTGTTTGACGAAGAGGTAGTCCCACATTAAAATCTGCAGATACTTGATATTGAACAATATGAATATTTTGTTTTCATCATAGACATCTGAGGCTCTACGTCAGATGGAGAATTATGACAAGGAGAACAGATACCTGAAGGAAGAGGTGAGGTCATAATGTATAACTCCACCTCCCCTCTCTCCACCCCACCCACCCACACCATTCTACCTGATGTAGTATATCTACCAGCAGTCAAGTCTCATCCTATCAGATTCAAATTGTAATTATTCACAGACATACTGTTTATTTTGCTTCAGTGTTTTTCCTATGTAGACACCCTCAGTTGAAACAATGGATGGATGTTACTCCTCAGATTCTCCTCATTCTGATACTTATATTATTATTACTATACCATAATCAGTGCATTCTCACCTACCAGTTTCATCATTAAGGCCTCCACCTCCTCCCATGTAGACATGCCCCCTATAAAATTGATTTGTTGTTGCTATGGTTACCATGTCCCCTGATACCTTTCATTTAGCTCCCTCCGGCAGTGAGACGTAAGGCAAAGGTAAGTCAGTTATCTTGGAAGTTGTGTTCACTTTAAAAAAATCTTTTTGGCACTTCATGTTGTGACACTCAGCTCTGATCTTTCTTAAGTCCATGATCTGTAGGAAAAGTGCCAGATATGTCATAATAAATAGAAGATTATTGTATCTGTTAAAAAAGTCTAGTCTTTCTTTCTTTCTGTTTTGTTAGGAGTTTTTTTTGTTTTTGAAATATTGAAAGATAAAAGTGCAGTCATGTAAATTTCATCACAGTTGCATGCTGGGATAGCTTCACTTTTATCACTCCATGCTAGTGTTAATGACTGGGTGATCGGAACCACTGATACATAAGACTGTCTGTAATATGTCTGGTTCTGCATGATTTCATGACAAGGTTACATGTCAAGGTCACTATAGACAATGCTATGCACCCTCACACAACAGCTATGTTACAGCACTAGATAAGGTAGCTGTGACCTAGATATTGACAATTTGATCTGATCAAGTAAGAAGTGATATTTGTTGAAGAAGTTGTATCAACATCAACAATGAAAACCTTAACATAATGAGTGTCCCGGTAACAGAGGAAGACATCATTTTAGAGGTTTTTTTGTTATATATTATGTGAAAAAAAATTTGCACACAATCATTTTCATCTTGAAGATGGATGACAGGGATTTTTTTTGTCTAGAAGTCAATGTTCAGTTTCACAATTTCCTGTTGTCTTTGTTGCTGGAATAATATGTTGTGATTTTATTTTTCATGAAGTCTGTCTACTTTTTTCCTGATAATATGTTGAGCCTTAAGCCCAGAATACATCTCTTGCTACAATTTCTTCGTTATCGTAATTAGCTTTCTATGTAGTTTTTGCATTTAGCAGTAAAAAGCATTTGAAAATTCATTATGGAAGAAATTCATTTCAGAGTTGAAAACTGTTTTTATTACCTGAGAAAATGATTTTTCAGTAAATTGTGAAGATAATTGGATCACCCAGGGACAGACATTTGTTTGTATATATGCAGTTTCTTTGAAGTAAATCAGTGAAAGTGACTCTGAAAGTCAAAGTTATAATTAGGATGTAATGTCAATGTTCAACTTTAGATGAAAAAGCATATACCATGTAAAAGAGGTCATTATTAATAGCAATGCCTCCGTTAGGATTCAAACCCAAGACCCCGGGGTTACTGGTCTGATGCTGATTGAGCTAAAGAGAAGTTCTCACTAGCTAAGCAGTATAATATGGCTAGTGTTATACCAGGTTAACACACATATGCTGCTACAGGGTGGAGTTCTTCTTCTCGCTAAATATACATTGTTATATACATATTATTATAGAGATAAGTGGCTGTCTGTTCAAGAGAATATTTGAGCTGTTGTAAGTGGCTGTTTGATCAAAAGATCATCTGAGATGTTAAAATGTCTGTTTCTAAATCTTATCATTTTGTTACATTCTATCAATATTGTGGTTGTTTACAGATAACAAAGTTAGAGAAGGATTTGGAAAATAAATCTCGCTACATCTTAATCCTGGAGAAATTCCTTGACAAGCTTTCAGAAACTCTGAAACTAAAGGTAATAGATATTTCAATATAGATTTCTCATCTGAACAGACGTGAATTAACACAAACTTGTATCAACTTCTAAGTGTCTAATTATCATAACTTAAGTAATGATGGTCATTGTCTTATGACAGATTTCATGTTTGTTTGCTGTAAACATTTTTTAGTTGACTTTAAAAAACTTTTAAAACCCAAATATCCTTGAAGAAGTGGAAATGACCTTTAACTAATTGAAAATGTCTGAACGGGTGTATAATTGCCTTGAGCCACATTTAGATTGTCCTTGAACTTGGTTTGAAATGACCTTGTACTTAGATTATTGTCAATGTTGCCTTACCAACAGGAGACGAGGAACAGTAAGGAAGTTGTCCAGATTGTGGAGGCGGAACTGATCAAGGTCAGGGAGGAGCTTGCTGATGCAGGACATAAGAAACTTGATCTATCACAGGATGTTGTGGCTCTAAATATGGAGCTCAACAAACGTCAAAGGGAACTTATTGCCAAGGTAACTCTAGTCACATAGTACACAAAAATAACAGATATGGTGTTTTACACATTAAAGATTTGGATTCAGTGATAACACCATTCAATAAGTGTTTATCATCGAAAGTCATTTACAATCTTATGGAGACATGTTTGAAAAAAGCATTGGTGGCAATTTATTATTAATGTTAAAGAAATTGTTTTGCAGAGAAATGAGGCAGACAGTTTGATGCGTGAACTACGACAATGGCAAGAGGAATGTCGTACCATTGAGGACATGCGAACAAACGCCCTCGACTCCTTACAGTGTCTCCAGCAGGAGGCTGAGGAAATCAAGGAACTGGAGAAATCTTTAAAGCATGCCAAGGACGAAAACAACAAGCTGCTTAAACAGGTATAGGTTCATTTCCCCTCCCTCACACAAAGAGTGTGGTTCTGTACTATATAAAAACATGTGATATAGACATACTAACTCCTAATAACATATTCAATTCTATATGGTGTCCTCAAGTAAGTCTGATTCATTAATGATGCAAGTATAGTTGTCCTTTGTTGTTACCCACACAGTGTAAGACATTAAAAGGACAAATTAAGGATTTAGAGGTTACAGCAGCTGAAAACACACAACTTACTGACCAGGTGACTGCTTTGAGGTCAGAGGTCAGTCTCATCCCACAGTTAGAGGAAGATAATTCCCAGCTGGAGGATAAAATAGAGGAATGCTCCCAGCTGTTAGAGGATAGGGTAAACATAGTTGTTGTGTAGCACTTAAACAATTAAATGCATTCAGATATTTTAAACAACTTGATTTAAATTCAGAACTGTATGCAGGATTGGTTATTTAACTTATTTTATTTCTTTGCAAAAGTACACCTTTTGACAAAAAACTAAAAAAATAACATAAAATTAAAAAAAATGAAGAATACAACAATTGACTTTATTTTCTCAGTTTCAAGCTTTATTTCATTAGATTATATTGATCATGATTGACTGAAAAATAATACAAATCCTGTTCTTTTTAATTCCTGATGTCAGTCGGAAAAGATAAAAGATCTTTTAAAAGAGATCTCAGAATGTGAGAGTAGAGTTGTCTCCCTTGAACAAGATAACATTTGCCTTGAGAAGGACAATGTTGGTTACGACAACATAAAATCACAGGTAACTTTCACTGTTACATTAGGTAGGTGTTTGCATGAAACAGCATGGTGATGGTGATCTAAAGGATGTCCTCTTTTTTTTCTTTGGTTGGTTTTTATTTTCCGTCTTTCCAAAATGTTTTACATTGGTTTTATTTTTCATATCAGATTAGTTATTGTTCAGCTTGGGTGAAGTATAAATAATGTATATTCATGTCGGCTAGTGAAGTGCTGAACATGGTAAACATTTAAACCTTATTATTTTGGTTCCTGTGGAGTGTGATGGTGTCACTACTGTATCAAGGTTTTAAACCCACCACAAACTTCAATATGCTGGAGTCCACATTTATTCTACTTGTTTCACTTTTACTTTGGTAACTGAAGTGTGAGTTAGTGTTCACTAGTTGTTCCATTATTTTGTCAAAATAGTCTTTTTCCAGAGTTCAATGTAAAATATGTAATATCACAAATCACTACATGTTTGTAACTTTGTGTCCATAGAGAATTACATGCGTCACTTATCACAACTCTGTATGATCTCAAATTCTCTGTGTTAAGAGATTTGTATGCATCACTGGTCACAATTTGTTATATTATGGATTTCTCCATATACTTGAAGAAATCTACAGATAATCATTGATCTCAAGCCGTTATGATATCATTTTGTAACTCTCCATGTTTGAAGATAATAGCATGAATCACCCATCACGTTATGACTTTAAATTATTATGTAATTCACTGAGTCAATGCTTACTGCTGTTTTCTATTCAAAATTTTCTATTTGGAACTGGATAAAACTTCCTGGTACAAAACATAGTACTGATGGGTTGATTTCTACAGAGGTCACAATGTGATGAAGTACAGTTACACAAATTAACAATATGCCATACGTCTTAATGCATCTTTTAAGCTCGCTGAAATTGTATCATTCTTACATTACTTTAAATATCAGATGTCTCATCCTTATATGACAGTATAGATACTAGTGGCTCATGTTTTGCAGTTCTCCCAGATGAAACAGACAAAAGAGGAAGCAGTACTTGCACTTGTACCCTTAAAGTCTAAAGTAAATCGTCTCTCTCAGAAGTGTAAAGAAAAGGTGAGTAATATGTGATGTACCCTTAAAGTGTTTAGTTTATTTTCAATTATCAGATGTGTTAAAAGAAAAAGGTGAGTCATTGTCTACAAAGAAAAGGCAAGTCAACATGAGATGTACTTTCAAATTCTAAGTCAATTGTCTCTCTCAGATGTGTAAAGAAAAGTTGTTTCTTTGTGTATAAAGAAAAAGTGAGTAAATGTATGATATACTCTCTATGCAAAGAAAGGGTGAGTCATGGTGTATCTATCAGGTGTTACCTCTCTCTTTGTACTCCTCCTTTAGGATGAGTTGCTACGACGATTGGGAGAGGAGCTGAGGAAACTAAAGGGCATCAGTAAACCAGTTGTCCTCCTGGAACAGTTACGACACATGGAGGAGCAGATGGCCGGAGAAGAGTACAATAGACCAGACTCAGACACTGACCTACACAGATCATCATCAGTGTCTTCATTTAATGATGTGTTAGATCCAGGTGCCTGGAGTGATTTGGATATGTCACCTGGTAATATTAACGGACGACCAAAGTCTGCTGACCAATATGACCGCCATCAGAGGCCACTACCTTCACAGCAGCTTCCTTTAATACACCGCCCAAACAGGTCGCCAGTGTACAGTCTAGAACAGCGAGGCCACAAAAAGCCACCAACAGGACACATGCCACGCCACACGGCCTTCGTGGCGGTGGCTGACTATGACCCGAATGCTTTCTCTAAGAGTGGCCGTCCCCGTCTGGAGTTAGAGCTTGTAGAGGGCGACACTGTTACTATCACAGGTCAGTACACATTGATCATCTGGCTTTATTGTTGTTATGACTTCCATCCAAAGAAATACAACATTTTGTTTATTTAAATCTTCAGTCTTAAGTGAGTTCTTGTGTTATGTGGCATTGTCCCTTGAAAGGTCACATAAGACAGTTTAGACTGTTCATACTTTGTGATAAAGTTAAAGAGTATTGAAATTTTATTTTGTAGGTCCATTAGATAGCTTTGGGTATTATGAGGCTGAGGTCAAAGGTCGTGTTGGGCTGGTACCAGCCAGTCATGTACAGCCTGCATCAGGGATAGAGGACCTCGGAAATCTTAATCCCAGCCCTAACGAGCGCCGGGTACAACAGCTCCAAAATACACCTTCTCATCTTGACCCGAGCCCAGAGAAAGTCCTCAACATGCACAACCAGCTACAGCAGTCTCACCAGCCCCATCGATATGGTGAGTAATAGTCACAGTCATGGCTAATGATGTTAAGTCAAGTGTTAAGTCAAGGTCAGTGAATGTTTAATGACATATATTATCTTCTGGACTCCTCTATAATAGAAAACAACTGCTGGAAGGGCAACAGACCTATGCTGTGGAATGGCATCTTTGTTCATGTGTTGTCAACGTTCTTCTCAATAGCGAAGTGATTTAGAGTCATGATATTTTGCTAGTAGCAGTCTATGGTAAGGTACCTTCAAAGTTGTCAAATGAATGACTTAAACAACTTATAGGTGAAATTAGATGTAAAATCAATTAAAAAATCAAGGTATAAAGAAATGCCTTCTACTTCTGCATTTGTGCGGTAATTTGTTTCTTTGTTACTCTCAGTGTCACTCAAGCTGTCACCACGTCAAGTCAACGGCCACTTACCTGGAAATCTGTCGCCACGAGGCCAGCAGAATGTCAGAGGTCAGCTGTCACCTCAGTTTAAACAAGGTATGTACCAGCACTGTCCTTGGTGGATAGTCGTACAGCACTGTGTAAAGTTTTGTTGTGCTGTAGGTAAAGTATTTCAGAATTAAATACAGTAAAATCATTGACCCTGTTTGTGTACGAATTGTCAGTGTTTCTAATGTCTTTGAAAATTAAATATACAGCGTCTACTCCAGTAGATATCATATATATCTTTCTTCTTAAGGTCAAGGGGTGTTACAGGTCACAAGAGTTACATAGTTACACTTATTTATAATCTAATTGCAATATATCAGTATATGTTGGCAGGCTTATTATCAGATGTGGGCTAATTACTGGAGGGTGTGAAATAAACTCATGAAACAAAGGATGGTGTTGAACCTATTTACCAACAATCTGTTTAATGTCTTTACCAGGTGTTCCAGAACCTCCTACAGAATTGAAAGCAGAGAAAACTGCAGGAGGCAAAAGTATTTTACTTTCCTGGACTCCTCCTAAACTTAATGAACTAGCCCAAAGCAACAAGTCACAGGTCATAGGTTACAAGGTAAGTCATATGTCGTAGGTCATAGGTTACAAGTTATATGTCACAGGTCATAGGTTATGTCATAAATTACAAAGTTATTTATAAATTATATGACATCGGTTACAAGTCATATAACACAAGTCATATGATATATATATACAAGGTAGGCCTATGTCACAGGTTATAGGTCACATGGTTGGTCAGTTTACAAGAAAGGTCATGTCACATTAAATACTTGAAGAAGAGATAGCTATACTACTTGGTAACACTACATAGCAACACTACTTGGTAACACTACCATCAGTAAAGTATGTGTATCTTTGTATCTGTCCTCTGAATACAACTGACTGATAAGCAGCAAATTTGACAATATTCTTCTGTCAGCTTCTAAAGTTCATGTAGCAGTTTTATGGTAAACACTTTAGTTGTAGGCATGCTAACTTTACTAAGAGGCAGCCTAGCTACCTTAAAACACTTAATTCAAGAGTATTTGTCTAAATGGTTTTTAACAGTGTTCATGCTTTGCCTGAAATTGACTACTTTCAACACAATGCAGACCTTGATCAGTCTAGAATTTGTTTTATACAGAAAAATATTATAAAGTTCATTGAAATAAATTGATGTTAAATGTTTGGCTAACATATTATAAATTACCAGATCTACATGAATGGAAAAGTACAGCAACAAGTCAACAGCCCTCATTTGTCCAAAGCAGTAGTGGACACACTGGACACTGGTCACTCTATTCGCCTTGGTATCCAAACACTCACCACCAATGGTCCTGTGTCTGTTGTTAAGGAGATCACCTTTCGCCATGACAACAAAAAGGAAGATGTTGAGGGGGAGCCTGAGGGTGAAGACCTTGTACGCCATCTCAACAGTACTGACTTCCGAGCAGGCAGGAGACATATGGTACACATTTAGTTTTATATTTCATATAGAAACTTTCAAAAATTTAAATTTTCCTTAAAGATCGTTTACCTGTCTCCTAACTTATATTTATCTACATCATATTTAAAGATACTGACATATGTAAACAGGTTTATAACTGTGTCTACTTTGTGATTGTTGGGTGGTGCAGTGGTAACACACTCATCTTTCACCTCAATGTCTGGGGTTCATTTCTCAGAGTGGACATGTAAAGGTACGCACTTGCACAACTATGTGGGTTTTTTCTGGGAGCTGTGGTTTCTTCCCACAGTGAAACCCCTCACACCTCACATAATATAAACGGATAGCTTGTTTCACAGTTGTGGTAAAATAAATAAAGCTTATGTTAAAAAGAATGTAAGCTTAAAACAAAACAGTATACACTTCATTCCATGTGTAAAAAGGTTAATCGTACTTTGATTACGATTTGTCTACCACATAACCTTTGTGTCAAGAGGTTGGCTTATTAACGGACAGTGAATTGGCATTAGTTTTTATTTCTGCAGAACAATAATAGATATGGGTGGGCTTATTACCAGACAGTGGCTTATAAGGATTATATTTATTTATGCTATTCTCTGTAAAGAGTGAAAAAATGACATCTTTTTGTTTTGTTGCAGTTTTTGGGTGTGTATGACTATGATCCTGCCCACCAGTCGCCACGGGAGAACTCAAGTTATGAGCTTGCCTTCCATGCTGGTGATGTCATAACAGTTTATGGCAAAGAACGTCCAGATGGCTTCTATTATGGAGAGGTAAAAAGGTCAAAGTCGTTGTTCAAGGTCACTTATTCTTTATCAGCAGGAAGAAATTGCTGGTGCAGGCAGTGAAATATATATCTGATATTCATGTAAAGACAATTTTGAATAGATCATTTTATTTCTCCAATATTTCACAAGTGCATTCTTGGTTTTGGCTGGGAAAAGATAAATCTGTAAGAGTTTGGCTGGTCCTACCTTGTGTAAGAGTTTGGCTGGTCCTACCTTGTGTAAGAGTTTGGCAAGTCAACCCTTGTGTAAGAGTTTTGCTGGTCCTACCTTGTGTAAGAGTTTGGCTGGTCCTACCTTGTGTAAGAGTTTGGCTGGTCCTACCTTGTGTAAGAGTTTTGCTGGTCCTACCTTGTGTAAGAGTTTGGCTGGTCCTACCTTGTGTAAGAGTTTGGCTGGTCCTACCTTGTGTAAGAGTTTGGCAAGTCAACCCTTGTGTAAGAGTTTGGCTGGTCCTACCTTGTGTAAGAGTTTGGCTGGTCCTACCTTGTGTAAGAGTTTGGCTGGTCCTACCTTGTGTAAGAGTTTGGCTGGTCCTACCTTGTGTAAGAGTTTGGCTGGTCCTACCTTGTGTAAGAGTTTGGCTGGTCCTACCTTGTGTAAGAGTTTGGCAAGTCAACCCTTGTGTAAGAGTTTGGCTGGTCCTACCTTGTGTAAGAGTTTGGCAAGTCAACCCTTGTGTAAGAGTTTGGCTGGTCCTACCTTGTGTAAGAGTTTGGCTGGTCCTACCTTGTGTAAGAGTTTGGCTGGTCCTACTTTGTGTAAGAGTTTGGCAAGTCAACCCTTGTGTAAGAGTTTGGCTGGTCCTACCTTGTGTAAGAGTTTGGCTGGTCCTACTTTGTGTAAGAGTTTGGCAAGTCAACCCTTGTGTAAGAGTTTGGCTGGTCCTACCTTGTGTAAGAGTTTGGCAAGTCAACTCATGTGTAAGAGTTTTGCTGGTCCTACCTTGTGTAAGAGTTTGGCAAGTCAACCCTTGCGTAAGAGTTTGGCTGGTCCTACCTTGTGTAAGAGTTTTGCTGGTCCTACCTTGTGTAAGAGTTTGGCAAGTCAACCCTTGTGTAAGAGTTTGGCTGGTCCTACTTTGTGCAAGAGTTTGGCAAGTCAACCCTTGTGTAAGAGTTTGGCTGGTCCTACCTTGTGTAAGAGTTTGGCAAGTCAACCCATGTGTAAGAGTTTTGCTGGTCCTACCTTGTGTAAGGGTTTGGCAAGTCAACCCTTGCGTAAGAGTTTGGCTGGTCCTACCTTGTGTAAGAGTTTTGCTGGTCCTACCTTGTGTAAGAGTTTGGCAAGTCAACCCTTGTGTAAGAGTTTGGCTGGTCCTACCTTGTGCAAGAGTTTGGCAAGTCAACCCTTGTGTAATAGTTTTGCTGGTCCTACCTTGTGTAAGAGTTTTGCTGGTCCTACCTTGTGTAAGAGTTTTGCTGGTCCTACCTTGTGTAAGAGTTTGGCAAGTCAACCCTTATGTAAGAGTTGGGCTGGTCCTACCTTGTGTAAGAGTTTGGCAAGTTAACCCTTGTGTAAGAGTTTGGCAGGTCCTACCTTGTGTAAGAGTTTGGCTGGTCCTACCTTGTGTAAGAGTTTGGCAAGTCAACCCTTGTGTAAGAGTTTGGCAAGTCAACCCTTGTGTAAGAGTTTGGCTGGTCCTACCTTTTGTAAGAGTTTGGCAAGTCAACCCTTGTGTAAGAGTTTGGCTGGTCCTACTTTGTGTAAGACTTTGGCAAGTCAACCCTTGTGTAAGAGTTTTGCTGGCCCTACCTTGTGTAAGAGTTTTGCTGGTCCTACCTTGTGTAAGAGTTTGGCTGGTCCTACCTTGTGTAAGAGTTTGGCTGGTCCTACCTTGGGTAAGAGTTTGGCTGATCCTACCTTGTGTAAGAGTTTGGCTGGTCCTACCTTGTGAAGAGTTTGGCTAGTCAGCACACTAAGCCTCAGACTGACCAGCCAATCTATTAAAAGGTTGAGACATCCCTATTCACAGAACAGATCCATATAAGATTCTATTAATTACAACCAGTTTTAAAAATGTCTCTTAATACACATTTCCAACCTGAAGAAAAAATTTCGAGGTAATAGATATTTTGTTCGCGTGTAAGATTTAAGATTTCATATTGAAAACAAAATTGAAGAATAACCTTCATGTCCTTCAGATGAATGGCCGTCGGGGACTTGTACCCGCTAGCTTTATGGAGGAGATTCCAGTTAACAGCGCTGGTATAAAGGTAGGTAACTCATTATTGTATCTTACCAGTGTAATGGTCAGCTTTGTAAGGAAAGTTTAAAAATACACAGCAAAATTACATTGTCTTTATTATGTCTCATGCTCAGTTCATGACAGTTAGATGTAACTCCTTTTCTGTATATCACCTATGATAATACCAGCCATAGTAACTAGTAAACATTTGATCAAACCTATTTTCTTAATGAGAATGGTATGTAGAAACACTGTCTTTATGAGACATGTTAATATGCGACACCATTTTGCCAGTTTTTAACATTTCTAAAACAGCATTAGGTGTAAAAACAATTCAGACCTTAATCTGTATTTCAGTCAACTTTTTAGTATTCTGTATATATGTTTTACTTTAATATAATATTTTTACTTTAAATTTCAGTCGTCGCCTAAGTCTCCCAATGCATACAGAAGTACGCTAGAGATAAAGCACGCCCTCCAGCGGTAACCAGCATTAACGCCAGTTTAGACTGGCAAATATGAAGATAGCTGTGATATTTAACTTTAATGATGTGAAAATTTCGGTGCAATGACCCAAAGGGCAGCACCTATAAAAATAGCAAAATGAAAAATTTCTATAAATAGTTATGTAAACATATATTCACTAGTTGTAACATTTTCGCTGTTACCTTAGTGTATGAACACAAAAGGTAATTGTATTTATCATCTTTAATCTAGGCACATTTTTATGCAATATTTAACGTAGTACATATAATTTGTGTTAGCATGGACGTGTTGTTTTTATTTATCTCCCAACTCCTTGCAGCATAAGTTAAAGACTTTAAGGTTTTCATCAAAGAAGAAATTTTGTACAGTTGCTCACCTTAAGTTATTTGCACAAGCATTACCTAGTTACAGGTCTAATGTGTTATATTGCTAGGAAATGGAAGTTATTTAAACTAAACCTATCGTAGTCAAACATGTATTTGACAGCTATATGAACTAATTGTTTGCCAAAGTATAGAACCAGTTTCAAGATATGATAAAAGCAACAGCTCTATTGTATTAACCACATTGTGACCTTTATTTATGATTGTAAATCTCTCCTGTTTCACAAACATTTCAGAAGTCTACCTTAAATCCAGGCTTAAGCTTCACTATAATGTTACTTCTATGAAAAGTCTAGAGAATTGTGTCAGAAGTCTTCGGACTTTTCCTTTGTTTGCTACTACTGGAGTTTGAGTTGAGGCGACTTCTGAAATCTTTTGCTGACACAGCTTTGTAGATCCTACGACATACTCACATGTGATCATGTGTTTTCACTTGCTGTCATATTGCTGGCATCCCACTTAAATACCTTGTACAGTGTATAGAAATCAAGAGGAGGTAACTCTGAAACTTTTGTTTAAGGATGTCATTTAAAATACTGTGTTAAAATTAATTTGTCATTAATGAACAAAGGTCAAGGTCATGCTACGATCCCATGATCAGTAGTTGTTAAGTTATTGGGACTGTTGTTGTACTGTTAATACGATATTGTTTGAAATCACCAGTTTAATCTGCCAGTAATGGAGTTTTTTGACTTCCTGTTAGTGTAAGATCAGTTCAGTGTTTGATAAGTACATCTATTAGTCAGATATAGAGAAATATGAGTCATTGGTTTAACATCTTTTTGTTATATCTTCATTGTTATGAAGTTTGTTATTTCGCATGAATTAAAGAAGTTCGTTTTCGATGTATTACAATATGTAAGAATCAGTCATTAGATACTACAGTTAATTGTTTCTTTCAACTTGATTTGAAGTAATCACATGTTATCTGTCTTTTGTTTCTCTTCAATTTATCCATCAACTTTCACTTTATATTACATAATGATATTCTAACCTGGTGAGTTACACAGCAATAGCAAGTGCAAATATAGTACAAATTCTAGGATGCATTTAAATTTTATCAAGTCCATCGAATTCAATTCTTTATTAATTTACGAATTCTAAAGTATGATTTATGTTTGTTATTTATATTTTTGTACAAGTTATTGACAAAAACCTGTAATGACACATTAAACTGTCTGATAATATAAAACCTTTCTTTGTTCTGTATCTTTGCGAGATTGAAGCTGCATGAGTACATGTAAATTGACTCTGTAATTAAGTACTTGTATATAGAAAAGTGTTGCTGAAAGCCTTAAGTTTTAAATTGTTTAATGTCCAAAACATCTAAGGTTTTCTAAGGATGGCTAATATCAGTCGGCTTCATCTCCGTGCTATCACAAGGTGGCTTACATGAACTTATCACAGCTTTCCAAAAACATGTGCACTCAAAAGAAGCATTTACCTTGTACATAACTTAATGTAAGTCTCCATGTGATGGTGTCGAGATGAAGCTGACTTTACACTGCTACAACACTGAATAAATATTATTGAGGGCACATACCTGACAGGACATCACACTCCGTTAGATGACAAATTCTAATATAATGTCTCAAACAATTATGTTCAAGGAGTAAGTCTGCCAAACAATAATCATGAAGTGTTCTCACATTATTGATATTATCAATATTCATAAAGTGCAATCAATGATATCAATATTCATACAGTGCGATCAATGATATCAATATTCATAAAGTGCGATCAATGATATCAATATTCATACAGTGCGATCAATGATATCAATATTCATACAGTGCAATCACTGATATCAATATTCATGAAGTGCAATCACTGATATCAATAGGGTATTCATGAAGTGCAATCACTGATATCAATATTCATGAAGTGCAATCACTGATATCAATATTCATGAAGTGCAATCAATGATATCAATATTCATGAAGTGCAATCACTGATATCAATATTCATGAAGTGCAATATTCATGAAGTGCAATCATTGATATCAATATTCATGAAGTGCAATCACTGATATCAATATTCATGAAGTGCAATTACTGATATCAATATTCATGAAGTGCAATCACTGATATCAATATTCATGAAGTGCAATCACTGATATCAATATTCATGAAGTGCAATTGCTGATATCAATATTCATGAAGTGCAATCATTGATATCAATATTCATGAAGTGCAATCGCTGATATCAATATTCATGAAGTGCAATCACTGATATCAATATTTATGAAGTGCAATCAATGATATCAATATTCATGAAGTGCAATCGCTGGTATCAATATTCATGAAGTGCAATCATTGATATCAATATTCATGAAGTGCAATTACTGATATCAATATTCATGAAGTGCAATCACTGATATCAATATTCATGAAGTGCAATCACTGATATCAATAGGGTATTCATGAAGTGCAATCACTGATATCAATAGGGTATTCATGAAGTGCAATCACTGATATCAATATTCATGAAGTGCAATCACTGATATCAATATTCATGAAGTGCAATCGCTGATATCAATATTCATGAAGTGCAATCGCTGATATCAATATTCATGAAGTGCAATCATTGATATCAACATTCATGAAGTGCAATAATTGATATCAATATTAATGAAGTGCAATATTCATGAAGTGCAATCACTGATATCAATACTGATTTCAAAGATATTTTGGCTCTGTAATGATCTTGCTATTCTGACGATGAGGTTGATGTGCTAATCTCTTGTTTCTTTAACACATATACCTTTCAAATGATGAATTACTGCTCTACCATCTCTGAAACTCCTAATTGGTTGTCTACTCTACTTTTGTTACTTACTCTGCCAGTAGATATATATATATATATATATGTGATTTGTCTCAGGAAAGCACTATTTAGATCATCTGTGAAATTTGAGAGACATAAGACTGAGGCTATGATCAGAGTCTTACTACAATAATAAGGCAATTGCAAGTAACACTTTTTACTGAAATAGTACATTTATTGGTAAAAACATAGTTCTGAACAAGTTCAGACTGATGTACAAACACAGAATCACACGCACATCATATCCACATGAAACAAAACGTGTTTCATACTACCGTAGTTATCTTCATATTAGCCACATCCCTCATTAATGATTAGGGAGGGCTTATTTTCATAAACTGCTATTAGCTTACCACTTCAAAATTTAATGGATGATTATGCAAAAATGAAGTAGGGGGCTGACTCTTAGTACACGAACAACATCATCAACCATACATTTATAGATCTATATATAGCCTACTGACTCTCAGTACACAAATGACATCATCAACCATACATTTATAGATCTATATATAGCCTACTGACTCTCAGTACACAAATGACATCATCAACCATACATTTATAGATCTATATATAGCCTACTGACTCTCACTACACAAACGACATCATCAACCATACATTTGTAGATCTATATATAGCCTACTGACTCACTACACAAACGACATCATCAACCATACATTTATAGATCTATATATAGCCTACTGACTCTTAGTACACAAATGACATCATCAACCATACATTTGTAGATCTATATATAGCCTACTGACTCACTACACAAACGACATCATCAACCATACATTTATAGATCTATATATAGCCTACTGACTCTCACTACACAAATGACATCATCAACCATACATTTGTAGATCTATATATAGCCTACTGACTCTCAGTACACAAACGACATCATCAACCATACATTTATAGATCTATATATAGCCTACTGACTCTCACTACACAAACGACATCATCAACCATACATTCATAGATCTATATATAGCCTACTGACTCTCACTACACAAACGACATCATCAACCATACATTTGTAGATCTATATATAGCCTACTAACTCTTAATACACAAACGACATCATCAACCATACATTTGTAGATCTATATATAGCCTACTAACTCTTAATACACAAACGACATCATCAACCATACATTTATAGATCTATATATAGCCAACCATTATGGGTTTCAGTTTACTTGACTCATTTTTTTAAATAAGTTCTACAGTTGCGTTACAAATATACACTGTACAGACATCAGAAATATTCCAGTCTAGTGTTATGTAATTCAACTTTAAGAAAACTCTTCAATCTCTAACTCTCCAGCAAATGTCAAATCTGATATCCTCATACTCTAAGATATTTAGTTTATAACCATAACACAGACCCCTAGTGCACCAGGAACAATATCATTATCATATACGTAACACAAGAAGTCTTTTAAATCAGTTTCCTGTTCCCCAGTTCTACGTTTATAGTCTTACTTGTCTCTAATGGTAGAATCCGGCTGCTGTCATTTACGAGAAAAAACATTTTAAATGCAACCCATCAGGCACAAATCAGGACAAATTTACAGATATTAATATAGGATCTAAAGTCTTTGTCAAGGCTCATCAAAAAGTGAAATCAATTCTGTAGGTCTGTTTTTGTCTCATAAATAAACAACCCTGGTAAAACAGACCAATAAAAGCCACATAGGTTTTAGCTTGTTGGACTTGTAGGTTTCACATTTGTTACAGATATATCAACATTAGAAAAATTTCACCATCTGTTTTTATGAAATTGATTCTTTTGTATTTTGAACCATTCATCAAAAACATTTTACCTTTACAATTTCATGTGTAGCCTAAAATCTGTCTGATAAGACAAAACAACATGTTGACACGTGAAATGTTGACAATCTCCGGTTCATGTTCCAGCTCTGATCATAAGACAAGTGACTATTCTTCATTCAATAATTAACAGTAATTTGATCCCATAACCACATCCTTCATAAGAAGTCATCAGTAGTCATCTGGACACTATTATTCAGAGGTCAGGGGTCACTAGGAATACCAAAGACTTTTACGCTGCCTCGTTCATCACGATGTCCTTCATACTTGTCGTCACAAGCAAAAGCCAGTAAGTATCGCTTAGGATGCCAGGCCACAGTAAATGTCGGAGACTCACATGCAATCTCTGTGATTTTTTCACCTGTTGTGATGAACCAAAACAAGTGAACATTGAATCACATGAGCCATGCTTTCATTGTTATCAAATTAAGCCTCAAAGAAACCACTCATCATGCATTTAGATTAAAAACTGGAAAACAAAATGATGTTCAATGTATCTATTTCATCTATCTATTTATTAATTTAATTTGTTTTTGTTTGAATTTATTAATTTGAAATGTTGAAGACAACTGAAATTTTCATGGGAAAAACTTACAATGATTAAAAACTTATTAAAAAAAACAAGGTAAATGGAAGTATATTCTCGCACATCTGAAATGTAGGTCATACATACCACTTTCTACCTCAGCAATATCTATAACAAGATCTTCAGATGCAGACGCTAGCAGACATCCATCATGGCTGAAGCTCAAGGTCCGAACGGGCCAATCCAGTCTGTTTACCAAACAGATAATGGTTACATTTTAAAACCAGATGACCAACATTTCTCGTCATAATCATCATGGTACAAATACCTCTAATCTTAAAATATCAAAATATTTTTTTCTATTAAAATCAATTCATTGGATAAAAGTAAAGTTGAAACATGAACTAACATTCCATGTTTCTTTAAGTAAAACCTCTAGTAAGACTATCAAAACAGATTTCAAAATGAAATATAAACAGACAGTGAAATAGAATAATCACCTGTTAAATGAATGTGTTATTGTGTTTATCTCTACCACACTGACCTTGAGAATGTGCGTACACACACTAGCTCATTGGTGTCCCAGAGACTGACCAGGGCATCAGCACTGCCTGTCGCAAAGTATTTTCCCACCGGGTCAAACTCTATACAAATACAGTTGGCTGGGTGGGCTGTCAGTGAGTACTGCAGCTTTAACTCTGGGTAACTGTTAAAATATCCAGGTCACATGATTAATTACAAAACAGATTACAAACAAGCATGTACTGTAAAGTCAAATCTAGCAGATTTATGGTATCAGAGTCATTCAATAAGTGTGGTTCTCACCATCCAAGCGGAGGTTTTCATGTACAAGTTTTGTAAAAAAATCTGGGTGGCTGAGCGAAAAAGCACTAGATTCATAAGATTCGTTGAAGTTTATTATACCATAAAACAAGTTTATTTTGCCGTGCAAAACATTCACCATTAGGCGTTTAAAGTGTAATATGTAACTTTTGTTAAGCCATAATTTTGCCACTAGAAAACAAGAAATTAAATGACATATTCCTTTCTCAATAAAAAAATAGCCAGTTCAACATTCAATCTTACTAGAAAAACAGTAACAATTAGGCAACATTGAAAAATGTTATGAATACTTTGTATTATAAAGTATAGTGTACCTTAGAATGTGTATACTGCCTTGCCCGCTGGTCAGGAAGAACAAATCGCCTTCGTTGTTCCAGGAAATTTCATTAACCTCAAACTTAAACTGCTCTTCAGCCTTGGACCTGTGACTTCTGATGTCAATAAATGTGATGAGATCGTCTTTGTTGCCCACAGCTATGGTACTTCCATCGGGGGACCAACAAATGTTGATGTTCTCTCCTTGAAGACATCACAACATATAACAGTGAATACCTTTACTTAACTCTAACTGATTGTAAACATTAAATGAGTCTCACTATTCCAATTTGTTTCGTTTTCTTTTTTTTTTTCAGAACACTGACATCTATGCTTTTCTTTCACAGAGTGATATTCCAGTAAAACATGTATTCCTACAGAGAATTCCAGGTTTTGTTACTGGGTGCCACTCATTGAATTTTATCAGTCATTTGCTTAGAAGCAATGAACAGGTAATCGAACCATGGATAGATTTAGTTGGAGTCTTGGGGTTAAGTAAATATTTTACTGGAATTGCCCATAGAAAAATGTTAATTATTTTTGAGTCCTGGTGTTAAGTTAATGTTTTAATAGAAAAGTCCTTGGATAGAAGTGAATTATTTGGACGCCTGGTGTTCAGTAAATGCTTTTTCTAGACTAGCCTCAAGTCATGATCTTGTTTAAACATTACCATATAATAGCTTTCAATATCTATATTGATATGACCATATTTATCCCACATTAACTGAGAAAATAAAGGTGGCCAAAATACTGATTCCAACTCAAAGGCAGTGGAACGACTTTATATACTTTAATGGTTTTTCAAAAAATAACTTTCCCCTGGACATTTGATTTTTTTGACAAATATTGTTCAATAAGGCTTTATTTGATAATCTGTGGCCATTTGACTTTGTGGAATGAGAGTGCCCACAAAATCTATGAAATTAAATCCCCCTACAAAAAAATCAATGACTTTACAGGAAGTGGAAAGTATTTGTCCATAACTCTACTGAACAGCCATAATTATGGGTAGGCTTGTCATCACATATGGACTTATTATCAGGTAAATAGAGGTAATCGGTAGAGCTCACACTTTTTACAGTGTGTATCAGGTGATCATATGTTCAAAATCACCAATATCATTGTAAGGTTATATCTACTTTGTAACTTGGTAAAGACTTTGTTTACCTGTATTCCAAATTTTACATGCAACTTAAAAACTTGACATCTTATTGCTCTTGATACAGGTTAGATTGACATTGGAATCAACAAATCCCTGCCAGCTCTAATGTCAAAGGGATAATTAGGCACGTTATGTGTATTTGTACAGGAACTGTCAACTAAGTAAATTAAGACAAGATACCTTTGAGGGGTGAAACTTGACCTTATTCATCTTGTACCCTAACAAAGTAAGAAAAACTGTTCACTATGTGTCCTGGGGTGAATTTCTTTCCTTGAAATATACACTTAGCATTCACCATAATTCTGGTGTTTTATGTCTAAAATTAATACCTTTCGTGTTGACTGTTGCTACAGACTTGTTGGTTCTTGCATCCCAGATTCTAACAGTTTTGTCTCCACTTGCAGTGACAAGGTGGTCTGGATGTTTTGGGTGCCAACAAAGCTGATCTACACTGTCGCCATGGCCACGAAATGTCAAGTCTTTTACCTGGTATAAATAAATTTTCAGGATTCAGATAAAGGTCCATGGATCACACCTTCACCTCTGTGATAGAAGGTATTGTTCATCTCTATATTATATTGTGTTAAAGATAAATACATGCTCCTTCAAACAATGGTAAATGAAAAGGACAATGTCCCAGTAATATGTTTACAATTGAAAAATAACTGATTCAAATAATTGCCAAACACAGGATATGTTCAAAGTCATAAATTCCGAAATCTCAAAATAACCTCACTTAATATTGTGTTTTACCTACAGAACCAAAAGAAGGTATGAAGTTATCCACTAGCGTAGTAAATGCAGTATTTTTGTTCAGGAAGTAATTTTTGTTGGTTTTTATTTTGTCTACATTTTGTCTAGATCAAGTTTAGTGATCCCACTCGAATTCCAATTAGCAACCCTTCAATCCCTAATCAGACACTATTATGTGAATGTGAACGTCATCGCTATAGAACAAATTCAAAGTTAACAATGCCCGTCCCCCAATATACAGACACACCGATGGATTCAGATTCAGTGTTAACATAAAAATACTGCTGTGTAAACATTTTTGTTGGTCTCGTGATCAGAGACAGGGCGCACACTTCTGATGAAGCTCTGTACACCCAGTTGCCTGCGGTACAAATCATGATGTCTATTTGCACCAAAGAAGAAATTTGTTCCCGGGAAATTTACCAATCTATCTCGCTCCAGCATAAAAACATTGACAGTTTTATCGAAGGATCCAGAAGCAAGTCGTCTCCCATCACAGTTCCATGCTACAGAGTGAACTTTGGCCGAGTGTGCTTGAGATTCTCTCACTCTGTTATTATTTTGAAAATATTTTCGCGTGTTTTCAAAGTAAGTCGACATTTTGTTAAAACTAGTAAGCAGAGCGGAGGACGGAAAAGATCCGGAAATGTTTGTTATAAGTTCGTGACCATATGCACGCTTTCATTTTTTATCTACGTCAAAACAGAGTCATTCTGCCAATATAAAATTAGCAAGTTTATTAAAAAATGGAGTGTATGCTTAATATATTTTTTCCCATTCAAACAATGTTTTGATTTTGAAAATATCAATTGAAAATAAAATTATGAAATTATCAATCAAAACTGTTTATCAATGTAAAACTATTTCTGCATTTATATGTATGTCACAGTAATATTACATTCGTAAGACACAAATGATTTCTGTAGCCTGTAACCAGATATTGGTTAGCAAGTTAACAGAAAATGACAATTCAATGGGTCTGCATCACTCACCTGCTTATAAGAGTTAATTTTGGTAAAATTTATGTTCATCCGAATCATATCCCATAATTATCAGTAAATATTTGTATGTGAAATTATGAAACTCTTGGACTTGGGGTTATTATTTAACACATTTGACCTCCATACCTTTAAACAAACTTGGTAGTCATTTATCCCAACTCCTACTGGGTCAAAATCAGTTGTTCTGGACCTTGTGTTTATTGAAAGGAAGTTGTTTATAGAGATTTACCCATTTGACCTTGGTGACCTTGAGGATGAATTAAGGTAATTTATTTGAATAAATTTGGTGACCATTCTGTAAACTAAATATGACCCTGGGCTTCTTGCTTATAGATTCATCTAAAAAGAATGTAGCACATTTAACCTTTGTGACCTTGAATGTGGGTCAAGTTAATTCATTTTGAACAAATTTAGTATCCCCTCATTCCAGCATACTGACTATGGACACAACACCACCTGCCTTTGGGGTAGGTGAATTAGCATTTAAAAGCTCTCTTCATAGGTCCCAATATGTACAGATGTTCTTTCTTCACCCCAGTTCTTTATATCTTTAAATAATAGTTTTAACACTTGTCAATGTTGTTCATTTAGTAGAGGGGTTACATATTCATCTGAATAAATTTGACAATTTGAATTTCTTACTAAAATAGCCAATCTTAACTTTGAATGTCTGATAATATAATCAACATTATATGTGCCTGAAGCCTTATATTAAAAAAAAAAAAAAAAAAGAAAGAAAAACAAGCAGGTAAGTTGGTTTAAGTATTTCAATACATTTGTGGTAGTTAACTTGAATTGAATATAGGTCACAGTTATTCATTTCATCAAACAGTTGTCCTTCATTTCAGGTTCATAACAGTGAAATAGGCATTGCTCACCTAAAGAAAATAACAAAGCACCAGTAAGTGGTATGTCGGTCAAAGTATTCCATTAAACCTAAAACACAAACAAACAAACAAGAACAGTCTGATTAAGGCATGTCTATTTATTAATAGCTTGTATATAAGTTATAAATTAACCTCGTCATGTAAGAAAAACAACTGAAAGACATAATATCACGTGCTAGAACATCACACTACACATTATAAATGGTGTTTTATCCTATGTTATCCAGGACTAGGAATATACCCAATAGTTTCTGTCATACACAAACAACAGTTTAACAGTGAACTTGAACAGTATAAATGGAACTGTAGAAGTATCACCAGTCCAAAGTCGAACATTCTTTAAAAACTTGTTTGATGCTTGACAACTTCTGCATATTCCCGAGTCCAGTTTTTAAAAAAAAAAATTATTTCTCATCATAATAGCGTCATAACTCACATGCCTTATTTATGACATGACTGTATGACATGCTAATACAAGCCAGTCATTTGATAAAAACTCCACTAACCAGGAACAGATCCCCAACCCTCCTAGTCTGTGTTTATCTCTGAAGAACTAATGGTTGGTTGTTTACAGATTTTTCGCCATTGTGATTCTTTCTAACCCTCAGCATTGTCTAAATTGATAAACATTGGTGTTCTGGAGATATAATGTTCTTTAGGCATAGTATACATGTATGGACTGATTGTGAGGGTCATGTTTATTTATATAACAGGTTTTACATTTACTATTACAGTCTTTCAGCCTTTCAGTGGATGAGGGTCTATGCCAAATCCCAGTTGATAAACTAGAACATAATGGTGTATCAAATGAATACTATTTTAACAAAACACATAAGATATCTGATGTGCAAAAGATTATAAAGTGTACATACCATAGAGCCCAATGATTTGGTCAGACTGGACAGGTCATCAGAATAGACAGGTTAAAATTGAATCAGCAATTAATTTGATTAGGATAAATGCCGGAATACTCAAAAGGTGAGATTAAACTGTTTCATCCAAACTTTTAATAAAAATAGTGAAAAAACAAACACAAATGTAGTGTGATGTAAGAAGTGAGTTCAGTTACATTTACAGGCCTAATTTTACTATCACTGGTAACCCATCATTGTACCATTTGGTTGTAATATTGCTAATTAGTAGGTGAAGAAATGTAATGAGACTACTGTATGTTACAATGACCATTTTCAAAAAGTAATCTGATAAATGACCTCTGACCTCAGACCTCAATTGGTTTCTCTGGTTAATACATGGTTATGTACATCTTAAAAGTGAAATAAAAATCATACGATATTGATAAGCATATATAATATACTCAAAGTTTCTGCAATTTTACTTTATGAATGGAAAATTTTATTCTGCCGAATTGAAAATTTTTAATGCATTAAATGTCAATGATTTTAACGATAAATTAAAAAATTCTAATAGGTAAAGTTTTAAGATATTCATTGGTCGAACTGTAAACATGTAAAAGGTAATTTTCATTAGATTTTCATTTGTCTACATGATTAAACATGTAAGTAAAGTAAACGATAAATTATATTACACCTATACATATGGCTGCTGAATGCTTTACAACCATGTGTGAAACCAGAAATAGACTTCTGTATTAATTTTATCGATTGACATTATTTTTCAAATTGTAAAAATGGTGTTTTCAGTTCACTACAATCATGAATAAACTAATATCAACAAACAGGCTTTTGTAAATATTGGCAATGGCAGTACACAAACTGATAAGAACACATAGGTTTTTATTAAAGTCAGCCATGACACTTGCAGCTGTGTGAAAACTTAATTTAAGCTGACACGTATGGCAGTTAACAAATATCAACAATGAAACTTATTTGTATAAACTAGAGCCACCATTCATACTTCCAAACATACACTTTATTGGTACACAAAATGAGGAGATGAGAATTTAATCAATATGTGAATATTTGAGACTACATTTTAAGGTATATATTCACATCATGCTATACATTGTAAGAGACAACTGAATCAATGATTCATTCATTTACACTTCGTTTAATGTCTGTTGAATTTGACACTTTTATTGTTGTTATAAACAAAAATGATAAAATTATTGGTCCTTTATATAAATATGAACTTTTATGATTGAATCAACTGATCCTGCAGATAACACATAACTGTTATAACAATGCATATCAACACTAGATCTGGTAGGTGGAAAGGAAACTCAACAATGAAGCTGATAGATATTATGTTATAAAATGTCATTATGACTTAATTATGGACAAACAGTATAAGCAGCAAGAAAAGTGTAGAAAAATATATAAAACTCTCCAAAGTTTTTTTTATCACAGGCAACTTATATGGTCAACAGCCAAATATAACCCTCGAGTCAGTCAGTAGTGACAGACTCTTCATTGTTTTATCCAGTGATTAGTAATTCATCTATTTAAATGGTTGGCTCATCATGGGTACACAAACAATGTGATGTCCCTCTTAACAGAAGATCATATGATGTCATCAAAAATTATGGCTTAACAAATAAAGTAACCATGTTAAAATCTGAAGTCCTCAAATAATAAAAAAAAGAAGTTTGAAATACAAGATTAATTGAAGAAAATGTTTCTTCAATGATTAAAGAAATACAAAAAAAATTTACTGTTTTTCCGTTTTAATTGGTTTCAGTGAAAACTAAATTACACTGAAACATCTGACGCTCCATGAATAATATGTTTTTTCAAATCTAGTTTTGTAACTTTAAACAACCATTGTCACAAGTCACAAGTCCATTCCAACCAAATGAGTAACCACTGCTGAGGTCCACATGACAATATCATGATCTTATTCCTCATTATGTAATCAATTAATCACATCAAAATATCATTGCAACATGAGATCTCAGGGAGATCTTGGCCCCAATTATTAGATTGGATTTAAGATCGATGATTTTTCTTAGACAATTGTGATAACTCTTATCAATATGATAAGTGGCCTTTATCATAAACATGTCTGACTAATATATATATATTGTTATACTGACATAGACATCACCTCACAACATTAACAACTTTAATTAGTTTACCAATATATTTGTAACATCACTAACAATATAACATAATGATATACTTAGATAAGTCTGTTTTACCCTCTGCTATCGTACATACTGTAAATCAATTAGATTTTGTACAGAATTGATTTTTTCATTAATACACAGGGAGAGTCTATCATGAACTCAAAACTCTCACAAGTATTGCACAAAAGTAAGAACTCTGGATGGATTCCATGTGTTGATTTCATCCTTACTTGTTTTATAGACATCTCCATTAATTTTGTATCTACCTTATTATCATATCATCAAAAACAAACTTGCTAGACATACATTACCTTTAAACATCTTTCAAATTATATACTTTGAATTGACATAATTGTACGGCTGAACAAAGAACTTCACTTCAGATGTTGGGAGGTCAACCCGGTGCCCAAATATACAGAGTTTGTAATATGCATATTTCTATTTCATTGAATTACAAAACAAGCAGTAGGAAAATTGGCAAAGACGTTACTACCAGGACAACTATTGCAAACATGTACTAAGTAATCAGTATTACAGTATTGCAAAACGTAATGTTAAACATGGCTGAAACATGTTCCAGGCATCAAAAACAACTTGCCTCATACTCCAAACATAAAAGCATATGGAGTGTTCACATTCATATCTTATTTTTATCTCTGTACTGTAGTATACAATTCATTAAGGACACATGTGACTGAAAAGAAGACTTTTCAGTTATAGTCACATGACTTTCGTCATCAAAATGACAGCCAATATGAAGAGGTAAGTTCAGGAAATAAATGGCCCACAAAATCTGAAGTGATTTACAGAACACAATTATACCAACAAATTGCCTTAAATTCATGGTCAAGTTAGAAGCAATGTATACCTTTATGTGTTTTACTGAAAAATATATTGAGGTACCATGTACCCTTAAGTTATATAAGATATATAAGTTGTACCAATAAACATACCACATAACCCTAAATATTTTACTGACATACATAATGTCTTAATCAGCTAAAAACAAAACTCCTACATTGTTTAGATATCAGACTATCTTTAGGATATCATCGTTGACGGTATTAGTGAATAATGGAGTGGACGGAGTTTCCACTTCCTGTGGCTGTAATATGTAGGGGATATCCGAGTTGAGTCTGTTGATCGCTGGATAGTACTGTCTGTAACACATATAGGCAATACACATCCCCAGTATGGACCCTACACTTACATCTGCAATGAAAAAGAAACAGAAATAGTCACCTATCAGATCACCTGTCAGAACTTTTGTTTCACCTACTTAGGATCAAACATGAACATGCAAAACTATTGTGTAACTTTAGAATAATCTGTTAATGTGTTTTCAGAGTAATAGCAATAACAAAGTTAAAGTGTCTAAATTCAACTGAACCAGCTGTTGGTCATTCTTGTCTTTCCAAGAAGTCTCAAAATTGAACATATACAACTAAGGATCAAGGGTATTTACATTTGAAATACCAAAAAGATGTATAAGAAAATTCCCTCCAACATTATTTGATAAATCTATTCTCAAAATCTATGATAGCCATCTATTGGCAATCTAAAAAATTAATATGTACACTATGATAATATTCAAGCAATAGGAATAACAAAATTAAACTCAAAGATTGCTATCTGTCAGCCATTTTTTTTCCAAGCCAGTTTTAAAATTAGCCACACACAGCTAGACACAATAGAGAATCTCTAGCCAATTTGAAAGGGCTCCTCCTGCACTTTAGTTACATGGTACAAGAACTGTGGATGAGTAATGGATGAACCATGAACAAGCAGCAATTTAAAGAGATCAGCATTACATGATGACCGTCAGCTAATAAGGCTGTGTCAGTCAGTCATAAGACACTTCTAATCTCATCATTGACTATATGACCCTATGACCTATCTGGTGACCCTATGACCTATCATATGATCTATCATGTGACTGTATGACCTACCCTGCCAGTGATGGTGATAATCAGCAGTACGTGACACAGCAATCATCACTGGCCAAAGGAGGAGGCAGACAACACAAATCACACGCCATGTCTGACCCCGTCCTCGACGACTAAAACACTGCAGCTTCCCAGCAACATACAGGGCCAGAAAACCAAGACTGCTGAAGGCAACTGGAACACATTATTTCTCAATATATTACACATTGAATATATAATCTATATAATCAACAGTAGATATATCATAACTGCAGATATTGACTGAAGCTGAAGGACTGTATCAAAACAATGGTATCATTAATTATCATAGATTATGATGGGGTTTGATGTAAATACCGGAAGTGATTCTCTGCTAAATCTTTTGTATGAAAAATCAAGAATATGATTCCACAATAAAGATAATACGGTATGATATTTACCTGGTCTCCACAGGTGTAATATCTACTCGAGGCTGTCTCCACAGGTGTAATATTTACTAAGGCTTTCCCTTCATGTGTTATACTTACACAAGGTTTGTCTTTACAGGTGTAATACTTACTGAGGCTGTCTCCACAGGGGTAATACTAACACAAGGCTGTTCCCACAGGTGTAATACTAACACAAGTCTGTTCCCACAGGTGTAATACTAACACAAGGCTGTTCCCACAGGTGTAATATTTACCATTGCTGTCTCCACATGTGTTATACTTACACAAGGTTTGTCTTTACAGGTGTAATACTTACATGAAGAATGTCCACTAGGGAAGCTTTTATATCCCTGAATCACATCCAACTCATTTCCTGTACAACGGAACTCGTTGTTAAAAGTTCCATCAGGAAAACAGCGGGCTATAAAGTCTGGACGTGGCCTGGATAAGATAGGGTACATAGAATAATGACGAATCTTAACAACAAAGAAAATTTATTCTAAAAAAGAAATAAAATACATGATATGAATCAAAGTGAGGTAGATCAGTGGAATGCATAAATTTGGATTACAACGTTCTTTAGAAAGGTGATGAAAGAATAAATGTTAAATAGAAAGGTTATTTTAAATATATCTTTTAAACATTTACTCACATGATTTTACTTTATTTTATTGATTTATGATCTAATAACATTTAGAAAAAAACATATTCAATTTAGGTTTACAGAGGGGTGTATGACTTTTCTACTAAATGTCCATTCTACAGTAAAAGATTGCTGCAGCACCAACCTTCCCACACCAAGCTTGATACAGTTAGTGACTGACCCTGTCAGAAATACAGACAACACCACACCTGTAAAATAGAAAAGTTTTGAAGACATCTTCAAGCTTTGATTGCTTCTAGGACATCACTAAGTTAAGTGAAAGTCAAAAAGAGGCTCAACATAGTTTAACCTCTGTTGGAAAACATTTAGTTATATAAATTTACATTGCTTTATAAAATTCCTATTACCAATAATTTAAATCTGAGATTAAAAAAATAATGATGTGAAATATTTTCCATTCATAAAACCACTACATATAATAATTCCGGGTATACTTCTTAAAAACTATTGATTACCTAAAACAGCTTGTTTCACATCTGCAATATCCTTTTTCCACAGGTATATTATTCCTATCACTATGACTGGAGCTCCAAATACAGTTCTCTGTCAACATAAGACAATGAAACTACACAGCAATTCACAGTATATACATAAGTCTCAATGGGTCAGTATTGCACATCTGTTCTGCAGCTTAATTATGAAGAAAACAACATCTAACCCTCATTAAAACCTTCTATTATAATGACATTACCAAGGAGAAGAAAATGTTCTGAAATACCTGATCCCATTGGTTTTCACAGTCCTTAGATTTCAACACTGTTACTCCTGTGATTAAGAAATTATTTAAGGTCGTTCTTTGAACAAAAATGATAATATTTCATCTAAGGCATGCTTAGAATGTCTAAATTACATCAACTTTGATCACTTGGGTATTCAGAAGGTGTCATGAGGTCACACAAGGGTCATGTGGTAGGTCAAATAGGCCACAGTTTAGGTCATGGGGTCACAGAGTAGGTAAATAGGAACCAAAAGGAACCGGAACCACATGTTGAGTAATAGGGGACAGGTAATCATGAATAAGTTACTGGGTTTATTGGGTTACAGAGAACACATATTACTTATCTGGGTTATAATGTCTTATGTCAGGTTTGCAATAGTGGCTGGAGGTTTTGCTCTGTCTCATTAGCTCACCATCATCAGCTGATGGGCCTTTGTCCATGGTCCACCCATCACCTGTCCTTAACCAGTTCCTGTTACCAGGATATCTTGTTTTTGAAGTGCAGGAGGAGTCTTTCTCAAAATATATTAGGATCCCCCTTGAAATGTTTACTTTAGTTGTGAAGGTCCAATTTTTATACAGTCTTGAAAAAATAAATAAAAGATAGACAGATGGCCATCTTAGAGTTTGACAGTTGAATTTTGTGATATTCCCTTTTTCTACAAATTCTGGAAATTTTAACCAATGGTTCAAATGTATAAATAAGAGGCTCACAGGACCTGTATTGCTCGCCTGTGTAGTAAGTGAATCTATTTGACCGTTGTTACCTTGAAATTTGGTCAATGTAATTTTTTCAACTCTACCAAGGAGGCTGAAAGTCTAACATCATGTCTGTAGGCCTTTCAGTATTTCAGAAGTCGTTCAAAGATTTTAACACATTTTTCAGCCCCCCCCCCACTACCCAATTCTCCACTTGACCTTGACCTTGAAAAATGAAAACATTATTTTTAATCTCAAACTTTGTTTGACTCTTACCAAGAAAGCTATCAGCCAAATATTATATCTATAAGCTTTTCAATAATTCATAAGGATTAGTTAGAATGTTTCAACATAAGCCTGTCATCCAAGTGCAGTATCAACCAAATGTCCTGATTTTAAGTCCCTTGGTTACTGAGAAGTAAATTTAATGTCATTATCAACAGGTTTAACAGGTGTCTTTTCCACAGGTATCTTCAAGGTTTCCTTACTCAAAATTTTCTACTAAGACAGTAATTACTAAGGAAGTAACTAGGGATTCGTCAGGCCGTAACAGTGGACATAAAACATGTTAAATACATAAATAAATTCTTACGCACAGGTATCTACTAGGGAGTAACTGGGGCGTCTTACCAACAGGTATCTACTTGGGTATTAACTAGGGGTTCTTACCCACAGGTATCTACTAGGGTATTAACTGGGGCGTCTTACCCACAGGTATCTACTATGGTATTAACTGGTGGTTCTTACCCACAGGTATCTACTATGGTATTAACTGGGGGTTCTTACCCACAGGTATCTACTAGGGTATTAACTGGGGGTTCTTACCCACAGGTATCTACTAGGGTATTAACTGGGGGTTCTTACCCACAGGTATCTTCTAGGGTATTAACTGGGACGTCTTACCAACAGGTATATACTTGGGTAGTAACTGGGGCGTCTTACCCACAGGTATCTACTTGGGTATTAACTAGGGGTTCTTACCCACAGGTATCTACTTGGGTATTAACTGGGGGTTCTTACCAACAGGTATCTTCTAGGGTATTAACTGGGGGTTCTTACCCACAGGTATCTTCTAGGGTATTAACTGGGGGTTCTTACCCACAGGTATCTACTAGGGTATTAACTGGGGCGTCTTACCAACAGGTATCTACTTGGGTATTAACTGGGGGTTCTTACCAACAGGTATCTACTAGGGTATTAACTGGGGGTTCTTACCAACAGGTATCTACTAGGGTATTAACTGGGGGTTCTTACCCACAGGTATCTACTAGGGTATTAACTGGGGGTTCTTACCCACAGGTATCTACTAGGGTATTAACTGGTGGTTCTTACCCACAGGTATCTACTAGGGTATTAACTGGGGGTTCTTACCCACAGGTATCTACTAGGGTATTAACTGGGGGGTTCTTACCAACAGGTATCTTCTAGGGTATTAACTGGGGCGTCTTACCAACAGGTATCTACTTGGGTATTAACTGGGGGTTCTTACCAACAGGTATCTTCTAGGGTATTAACTGGGGGTTCTTACCAACAGGTATCTACTTGGGTATTAACTGGGGGTTCTTACCAACAGGTATCTTCTAGGGTATTAACTGGGGGTTCTTACCAACAGGTATCTACTAGGGTATTAACTGGGGGTTCTTACCCACAGGTATCTACTAGGGTATTAACTGGGGATTCTTACCAACAGGTATCTACTTGGGTATTAACTGGGGGTTCTTACCCACAGGTATCTTCTAGGGTATTAACTGGGACGTCTTACCAACAGGTATATACTTGGGTAGTAACTGGGGCGTCTTACCCACAGGTATCTACTTGGGTATTAACTAGGGGTTCTTACCCACAGGTATCTACTTGGGTATTAACTGGGGGTTCTTACCAACAGGTATCTTCTAGGGTATTAACTGGGGGTTCTTACCCACAGGTATCTACTAGGGTATTAACTGGGGCGTCTTACCAACAGGTATCTACTTGGGTATTAACTGGGGGTTCTTACCAACAGGTATCTACTAGGGTATTAACTGGGGGTTCTTACCAACAGGTATCTACTAGGGTATTAACTGGGGGTTCTTACCCACAGGTATCTACTAGGGTATTAACTGGGGGTTCTTACCCACAGGTATCTACTAGGGTATTAACTGGTGGTTCTTACCCACAGGTATCTACTAGGGTATTAACTGGGGGTTCTTACCCACAGGTATCTACTAGGGTATTAACTGGGGGGTTCTTACCAACAGGTATCTTCTAGGGTATTAACTGGGGCGTCTTACCAACAGGTATCTACTTGGGTATTAACTGGGGGTTCTTACCAACAGGTATCTTCTAGGGTATTAACTGGGGGTTCTTACCAACAGGTATCTACTTGGGTATTAACTGGGGGTTCTTACCAACAGGTATCTTCTAGGGTATTAACTGGGGGTTCTTACCAACAGGTATCTACTAGGGTATTAACTGGGGGTTCTTACCCACAGGTATCTACTTGGGTATTAACTGGGGGTTCTTACCAACAGGTATCTACTAGGGTATTAACTGGGGGTTCTTACCCACAGGTATCTACTAGGGTATTAACTGGGGGTTCTTACCAACAGGTATCTACTTGGGTATTAACTGGGGGTTCTTACCAACAGGTATCTTCTAGGGTATTAACTGGGGGTTCTTACCAACAGGTATCTACTAGGGTATTAACTGGGGGTTCTTACCCACAGGTATCTACTAGGGTATTAACTGGGGGTTCTTACCAACAGGTATCTACTTGGGTATTAACTGGGGGTTCTTACCCACAGGTATCTTCTAGGGTATTAACTGGGGGTTCTTACCAACAGGTATCTACTAGGGTATTAACTGGGGGTTCTTACCCACAGGTATCTACTAGGGTATTAACTGGGGGTTCTTACCAACAGGTATCTACTGGGGTATCAAATAGGGATTCTTACCCACAGGTATCTACTTGGGTAGTAACTGGGTGTCCTTGGAAACTGGTACAACCAATACTCCTCAGGCTGTATTGTCCTCCGGAAAGGGACAGCATCATCAGAAATACTGCACACCATCAAAAGCATTTAATCACTACAGCTTTATTATCTTATATCATAAAATCATTCATACTTAAGCTTTCCCAAATAACAAATTAAACCCTTCATCTATTGTTTATTCCATTATATTCTATTGTATTGTAAATATTGCACATAAAATTATAAAGCTATTGTTTCATATTTCCCATTAAGCAATGTGGTTTGATCAAACTGATATACTGATATACCTGGTATTCATTTCTTCCCTCTCTACACATCAATAAAACAAACTAATACTGATAAAATGTATGGAACAATATCAGTTAAGTAAATATTTTCTTAATACTGAAAAATTAATTGAGAACATACGTTATATTTTTCATATCAAATCACATCTAGAAATAATGTACAATAGTTAACAAATATTTGTGTGACTACAAAATACCATTACCAATATTACCATATCGAAATATGAAAGTGACTAAAATATAATAAACATTACTTAGCATTACTTACTAAAACTTTTTAAATGACACTTACTAGAAGAAAATTGCCAAGAAGATCCTCAAACCAATTTCAAATATTAAAGAAGTATGAATTCTGAGGTGTGATGTCATGGTTATGGTACAGCTAATCCTTAGACCTTGTCATGATCTTGTCTCTACAACAGGAAACAAGGAACAAAGTATGAGTTTATTGTCATGATTTTGTCTCTACAACAGGAAACAAGGAACAAAGTATGAGTTTATTATCATTAACTTACAAGTATGGTCAGCTTCAAATCTTCATACTCGATAAGACATGTGTTTAACCACAGCAGCACAATGTTCTGCCAATAAGTATATATCATAATCATTAAAAATATCCTGTATACTATAATGTGGTATTTTTTTTATAGAAAACAGGCAACTTCTAATGCATTGTTCAATGCTAATTTTATGGAAGTGGAAAAGGAGGGTTTCATTTGCTCTAAAATGGATTCAAATTTTTTATATACACATTTTTTTTTTCATTTCTTGAAGTACTAACCAGCTTACCAAAATTAATTGGTATTTATTTTCTCAATACTTTCTATCAACAATGACCTTATTGTACAGAGTAAGCTTCCCTCTTTCAAGGCACTGTTTGTCTCATACAAGTATAGCTTTCCATTTTTTATTTCAATTGTTTAGTGCATTTAATTTTAATAATTTTTGAAATTGAAGTTATAAAAGAGAATGTTGGAACTCTTTGTTTAAGCTGTGACTGCAGGTACCGTAGTTATACAAGAAAATGTTAAAGGTGATGATGTGTTTAAGACCCTTATTATACGTTAGTTCATTAAAACTCTTTATTTATAATTATCTTATCACATGTTTTAGGCTTACTACTTAATACTATTAGCAGGGACGTATATTATATACGTCCCTGCTATTAGATAGAATATACCGGACACAACCGCTCTATAAAAACATATATGTTGTGTGAGGAATGTCTGTTCCATTTCTGCTTCAATAACTTCCTTCAAATTTTAGAATTCAACACAAGTTACAGTGGTGCAATAAGTCCGTTAAAAGTTGACTCAACACATGTATGTGCAAGTGTGAAATGACAGAGAGTCTGTCAGATCTTACCTGTGATAAGCTTTGCTAGTTGTTTGTATACAACGTGGATATATACATGCGGAAAGTCTCGTGACTTACTAATGAACACTAAACTACGAATGGTTTAGGATCATCTAAGCGATAATTTATGGTTAATGTATTTTATTTAAGTTATAAAAAACCTCAGACTGGAAACTATTCGACTTTATGAAATACAAATACATATCTGAATAAGTATGTTTCTGAAATGAATAGTTGTACAAATATGTTTAGCTATATTATAGTTTGAATAACATAAAATAGTTTATCGACTACTTTGTCCTACCTTTTGCTGTAGGAAAAAAAGTTTGTAGACAGGTATTAGAGATGAAGATATGAAACGGTTTGTTTATACATTTGTATTTATGCTGCTGTAGTCAACACATCGCGGCGTGATGAAGCTCTCTCCCAAGATAGTGACTGGGGCATTACACTCACAGAACAAAGGGGCATGCGACTGGTAAGTTATTTTTCACAAAATGGAAAATTTAATGCAAATTGCAGCATCACCCCGCCCCCATATAGTGTTCAATAATATCATATGCTTTTTAAGATGTTCGCTAGTTACACGACTTCAGTTTCATTTCATTTATGATTAGATAATCACATGCATTTACACATGAAAAGGTTTTCAGAATCTTGTAGATAATTGTGAAAATTTCTCATTAATGAGAGAGAGGTTGCCAAAAAACAGTATAATGTCTCTTGAACAGGTTGGGATATGCTGTGATTTAAGAGTATTCGCTGGAGCTTTAACATGTCTTCTCATCATCCCAGAGGAGGGGATAAAAGAGTGCTCCATCTCAGCCCAGACAAATTCTTACTCAATATTAAAAAAATAAAGAAGTATTGAAAAATAGCTTTCTAATTCGACAACATGGTTTTTGAATGAAGGTTATAAAACAAAATTCAGACAAATTTGAAAAAAAAGCAACATGTATATTGTTTAAATTCCACCCAATGTAATTCTGATAAAAGTCACATTAATGCACAGTCAGTTTCACTCTGGTGAGTGATCTACTCCTATATATATAAGAGGTCTTAGTTTGCCAGATTGTATTGGCAGAATTATTTTACCTGACGCCTGTCAAAATGTTTCTTGCCATGTTGAATCTCTAACGTTGATGGAGTATAAGTTATTAATCATTATATAGGTACACTTGTCAATATTTTATAACTGATCTTACCAACACAAAGCTTAAGATTACTTAGAACATGTAAAGCTTATCCAGTTATTTACAAAGTTGACATCAATTTATTTTTTTCAGTTTTTGTTTATAAAATTTAGACATTCCTTAGCCAGTGTTTGCAGAAGTGCAATTTTATTTAGTTAATTTTTGAATAACTTATGTCTCAGCACTAATGTTACAGATTTGAGATTTAATTGTTAACCTCTGACTTGACAGAATGTGTGCGTGTTCTAATTAATCTTCTCAATGCAGAGTTTGTTACAAACAGTGACCTACAAATGAACCAGTGCTTTATCACTATCAGAAGACTGAATGAGCCAGTAGAGTTTTTTTTCCCTACTAATTCAGGAATTGGCCTTTTAATCTCATGTAGAAAAAAAGTGATCAATTCGGAAGGAAGTTTAAGAAGTAAACTATATAGTTTGGGCATGTTTCAGAATGAATCCAATTGGGAATGGGACCCATATTATGCCCCACAGAGCCCCAGGAAAATAGACTGGCCAAATATGTTACTAAGTATAATTATTCTCTGAACCAAGCTTGGTTCCAATTTAACATTACTCTGTATTTACCGTTGTATAATATTGTATTAAGAAGGAGTAATGAAAAATAACCTGCACCAGACAGGATTTGAATAGCAACGCTTTGGTCTCAGTTAAGCCAGACACTTCCACTTATCTAAAGGGAAGTTCCCAATAGCTGAGACTAGTATGACTATCTGAACTCTTTCCTATAATATTATGTAACAGGAAAATGAGTAGCAGTGATTTTTTGGGTTCGAGATACATTTAAGTCCAGGACTTATGATTTCCCTATAGGACTTGTTCAAATTTTAGTACCTTTTATATTTCTTAATAAAAGGACTCATAAAAATTTGGGGAAAGGTGTTCTGGACTCACCTGCAAAAAATCCTACAAAAGTGAATGTATGCTGCAACTAAATGAAGTACAAAGAAATCCCCACTTGGCAAAATCTAAGTGGCAATGTTTTACATTTATTCACAGTGTCAAATGACATTTCCCACGTGTACCTGTAGCTCTATCTTAACTTGCCTGAATGCTATCTCACCTGTATCCCATCTGAACTGTACACTGTCTCACCTGTATTTATCATAACTATATCCTCTTTCATCTTTAACATATTTCACATATATCCTTTATGTCTCTCCTGTACCCTATCTTTCCCTTTTAAATTCTATCTCATCTAAATTCCATCCCATCTTAATCCCTTCTCACCTTTATCCCATCTCACCTGTATCCCATACCACTTCACCTGTATCATTTCTCATCTTTTGTCCTTTCAAACCTGTATATGATATAACTGTGTTATATTTTGTAGTTGAATCCTTATTCACCTGATTCTAGTACTGGGTCCTTAAACTTAATCAATTTAAGTTGATATGATTACTTCACAGTTAGTACATTCATTAAAGAATTTGATTTAAAAGAAACATCTTTCATTTTATGAAGAAGAATGATGAAACACTATAAGTGAGCAGTAATGGTTTAAAGGTAGTGGATGTTTATAAACACTGCAGGGAGAGTTAATAGATCCATTAGGATAAGTCACAGCTACAATATAGGAACTGGAACACAATTTTACTGGGGGCTATATATAAATAATTGTCAGAGAGAAGGCTAAGAATATATGTAAGATATCAGAAGTTTACATTTCTAGATAATAACATTAAAATTGAAGTCATTTCTTTAGACATCTGACAAGATAGTTTGTTTGCATAATGTACATTTATATCAATGGTCAGTATAGGTTCAATAAGAGTAGGACCTCAAGCCCTACAAATAGCAGTGTCATCTCATGACTGGTACAAAACTAGTCTTAATCTTTTGTTAGTAATCAATTGGTTTATACAAAAGATTTATTTGGAAGTTTGATTATAGTGAGTAAACCAATGATATTATCAGTCTATAAAATACATATACATGATGTGCCTACATATATACAGTATATCTCGAGTAATTCCTTTTGTTATGGTATGTAGGCCTACTTAGAAGAAAAAAAAGGAGAGGAAGAAGAAAAAGAAAATAAGGTTGAACACATTTTTATTAAAGTAAATTTAATCCTATATTTTCTTTCTGTTTCAGGGGATGGCAAGGGTTGTTAGCCTATGGATGTCACAGTTTTGTTGTAATTGTTGATCCAAAAAATGTCCAGGTTGGTTTATAAATCAGATTAGGAATTATTGAGTAGATTCATTACGCCATTTGTGTATCAACAGCATGTAAATCTGATACAATAACTCAGAAATAAGCCCACCACTGGTAAATACCAAAATCTGTTAGTAATGCCAGGATGTCAACCCTTGTATACCTGATAAATATGATACATGTACTTGTATTATATGTTGATTGGTTATCTGTAAGTTTTTATGAAGTGATCTTTAGTGACACTATATTTATCAATACAAGAACTTAACTTCATATGATTTTTCTGCTTTGATATTGGTCATTTTGAATTTGTGTTAAATTTAATTCATGATGTTTAAGAATTCTTTTTGAGGTTGATATCAATGATTATAGCTGTTACCATGCATGTGATATACATGTAATATGGCTGGTAACATCTATGTTTATACATGTAATATGGCTGGTAACATCTATGTTTATACATGTAATATGGCTGGTAACATCTCTGTTTATACATGTAATATGGCTAGTAACATCTATGTTTATACATGTAATATGGCTGGTAACATCTATGTTTATACATGTAATATGGCTAGTAACATCTATGTTTATACATGTAATATGGCTAGTAACATCTATGTTTATACATGTAATATGGCTGATAACATCTATGTTTATACATGTAATATGCTGGTAATATCTATGTTATATGTTTATTTTAGGTGATACAAGTCTTAGACAAGCATAAATCCAATGTAGTAAAGGTATGTAACAAACAACAAATATATAGTACAAATATGATAATACAGATAATCTGATGAGATAGAACTTATCTGACCTGGTAACATATGTTTGGTATGATATCATGATGGTTAGATAATGATGAAATGATGAAAAGTCAGTGTTGGTATACGTAAGCTCGAGTGAAGATCCACTTTATGTAGTTCAGTGCTCCCTGCCTGTGACAGTTACTGTTTCTCGGAAAGCTGAGAAATGGACTGGTCCGTGCTGACATAGTTGTATCCTTGGGCAGGATACTTTATCCTTATTGCTCTGGACCACATGTGACAGGCCTCCTGTATGTTGTTCAGTGATGTAGCCACCAGGTTAACTACCAGGAGACCACACCCATTAATGACCTTGGCTGTTAATTGGCTGATAAACCCAACACCAAGAAACCAAGAAGATATTTTAATGGCCCTGCTTTTCTATTGACCACCATACTTGGGTTTTTTTCACACTTGTTCTATGAAAATGAGTAGCTTTATTACACTTGTTTGTACAATCATCTACTAAGGTCAATAAATAGACCATTCAGTCCAAAGTCAGGAATTCCTGATTAATGTTTACAAAGTGATTTTTAACATCTACTTAGATGTAGCATTACACACTAAAATTGTATACTTGTTTACAAAGTGATTTTTAACATCTACTTAGATGTAGCATTACACACTAAAATTGTATACTTGTTTATAAAACAGTTCCTGTTATTTTGTATAGTAACTTGCAGAACTGCAATGATTCTTATACCGGTATTTAAAAAAAGAAATTTAAGAAGGACTGTTTTGTTCATTCAAGGTGAAATGGGCACGAGAGAATTATAATCATGACCCTGGTAGCCCGTATAACTTACGTCTGGTATCCGCGGACGCCAGTGGTGTCATTGTTACGTGGGATGTGATTCCGGGCCAGTCCAAAGCTGAATTTTCTGATGGTCAGAGACCTATACAAGGTAAAAATGTATAAACAGGATCTACAAAATATTTCTATCTGTACAGTTTTTCTTAAGGACACTTTTGTCAGTGTCTGTGACCTGGATTTCAGTAAGATCTGGCAAGATGTAGCCAGACTTTGATATTTCAGAGAAAGAACCACATATTTAACTTATCAGAATGTACAACACACTGGGTCTGATTTTCGTTCTGTTACTGTTTATATCACTTAGAAATAGTGATGTGTTTTAACGAAATTGTTTTGTAATCCTCTAACATGTATATGTTGTTTGTTATCAGATCTGGAGTGGCTGTCCAATCAGGATGCATCACATGACCTACTGGTGGCTCTACATCCCCCGTATTCTCTGATATTGTGGAATGCAGACACAGGCACAAAGCTGTGGAAAAAGTCCTATACTGAACCTCTGTTGTCATTCTCATTTGATCCATTTAACATAAGGAATGTCGCTTGTGAGTTAAGGTTTAATCTTAAATTGAATATTGTTTATTTCTTGAGTTTTAATATAAGTAAACATGCAAATAATGATGTACATTTATGAATATTTATATAGAAAAGAACGTCATTTGGATATTTTAAGATTTGATCTGTACACTCAATGTAAATGTGTCTTTAGTCAAAATATTGGGCTATTTTAAATGAAATAGATTATATTAACTATCAAATGATTTATGAAATATCAGTAACTAGGAGATATAGTTACAATAATCCTGTTACATTTCCTTTAGTCCTGGGCCAAGACTGTATCGTGTTTGTGGATGACTTTTCCATCACTAAGACACCCTCCAGTAATGGCAAAAAGTTCTACATTTCTAGTCCCTCAAGTCAAGGTAAGAAAGAAGTTTGTATCTGTAGTCCTCTAGTCAAGGTAAGAAAGAAGTTTGTATCTGTAATTCTACATGTCAGCGTTTGAAAAAAGTTTGTAGCTGTAGTAAGAAATCTGTATTTAGAATCTCACAAGTCAAGATTGCAAAAAAGTTTGTATCTTAAGTTCCTCCAGTAAAAGTAAGAAAAAGTTTGTATCTGTAGTCCTCTAGTCAAGGTAGGAAATAAGCTTTTATCTGTAGAAGTTTGTATCTGTAGTCTTCTAGTCAAAGTTAGAATGGAGTTTGTACCTGTAGTCCTCTAGTCAAGATAGGAAAGAAGTTTGTATTTGTAGTCCCTCCAGTAAAGGTAAGGAAGAAGTTTTTCTGTAGTTCCTCTAGTCAAAATAAGAAGTAATTTATATATTTTTTTATTCAGATGTCAGAAGAAAATCATTAACTAAGTATATTTTCACTTCATGTTTTGTTAGCCACCAATATGAAGACAGAAGGCTCCAGTGGAAGTCTAGATAAGAAATCAACTTCACGTAATCTAGCCAAGAGGATGAGCAAAATGTTGGTTGGGGAAGGACCAAGTAAAAAGTAAGATTTGTGTGATGATATAGTTTAATTCACACATTATTCCCTAGTACAGCCCTGGAGGTTGTGTGATGATATAGTTTAATTCACACATTACTCCCTGGTACAGAGCTGGAGGTTGTGTGATGATATAGTTTAATTCACACATTACTCCCTAGTACAGCCTTGGAGGTTGTGTGATGATATAGTTTAATTCACACATTATTCCCTAGTACAGCCCTGGAGGTTGTTTGGTGATGTAGTTTAATATAGTTTAATTCACACATTACTCCCTGGTACAGAGCTGGAGGTTGTGTGATGATATAGTTTAATTCACACATTACTCCCTGGTACAGACCTGGAGGTTGTGTGATGATATAGTTTAATTCACACATTACTCTCTGGTACAGTCTTGGAGGTTGTGTGATGGTTTAATTCACAGCCCTTTACTACAGAAAATAATGAATAAGGTATTTTAATATATACAAGCAGAGAGCTTTAGAGATACAATCTTGTATGTTATTTGATATGATGACCTTGACCTACAGGTCAGGAGGAGAGGAGGAATCTGTGACCTTGAATGAATGTCTCCAGCTTGAATTCCACCGTGCATGTCGACATCACCTGATCCTGGTATATCCCCGCGAAATCCTTCTTCTCGATCTGGAGATTAATCAAACAGTTGGAATCATTACTATGGAGAGAACGGGCTCACCATTTGTACAGGTAAACATTGTCCTTGACCTAGGGATTGACCAGACAGTAGAGGGAACAAACTTACCATTTGTACAGGTAAACATTGTCCTTGAGCTAGAGATTGACCAGACAGTAGAGAGAACAGACCCTCTATTTGTACAGGTAAACATTGTCCTTGACCTTGGGATTGACCAGACAGTAGAGAGAACAGACGCTCTATTTGTACAGGTAAACATTGTCCTTGACCTAGGGATTGACCAGACAGTAGAGAGAACAGACCCTCTATTTGTACAGGTAAACATTGTCCTTGACCTTGGGATTGACCAGACAGTAGAGAGAACAGACGCTCTATTTGTACAGGTAAACATTGTCCTTGACCTAAGGATTGACCAGACAGTAGAGAGAACAGACCCTCTATTTGTACAGGTAAACATTGTCCTTGACCTAAGGATTGACCAGACAGTAGAGAGAACAGACCCTCTATTTGTACAGGTAAACATTGTCCTTGACCTAGGGATTGACCAGACAGTAGAGAGAACAAACTTACCATTTGTACAGGTAAACATTGTCCTTGAGCTAGAGATTGACCAGACAGTAGAGAGAACAGACCCTCTATTTGTACAGGTAAACATTGTCCTTGACCTTGGGATTGACCAGACAGTAGAGAGAACAGACGCTCTATTTGTACAGGTAAACATTGTCCTTGACCTAAGGATTGACCAGACAGTAGAGAGAACAGACCCTCTATTTGTACAGGTAAACATTGTCCTTGACCTAAGGATTGACCAGACAGTAGAGAGAACAAACTTACCATTTGTACAGGTAAACATTGTCCTTGAGCTAGAGATTGACCAGACAGTAGAGAGAACAGACCCTCTATTTGTACAGGTAAACATTGTCCTTGACCTTGGGATTGACCAGACAGTAGAGAGAACAGACGCTCTATTTGTACAGGTAAACATTGTCCTTGACCTAAGGATTGACCAGACAGTAGAGAGAACAGACCCTCTATTTGTACAGGTAAACATTGTCCTTGACCTAGGGATTGACCAGACAGTAGAGAGAACAAACTTACTATTTGTACAGGTAAACATTGTCCTTGACCTAGGGATTGACCAGACAGTAGAGAGAACAGACCCTCTATTTGTACAGGTAAACATTGTCCTTGACCTAGGGATTGACCAGACAGTAGAGAGAACAAACTTACCATTTGTACAGGTAAACATTGTCCTTGACCTAGGGATTGACCAGACAGTAGAGAGAACAAACTTACCATTTGTACAGGTAAACATTGTCCTTGACCTAGGGATTGACCAGACAGTAGAGAGAACAGACCCTCTATTTGTACAGGTAAACATTGTCCTTGACCTAGGGATTGACCAGACAGTAGAGAGAACAAACTTACCATTTGTACAGGTAAACATTGTCCTTGATCTAGGGATTGACCAGACAGTAGAGAGAACAGACCCTCTATTTGTACAGGTAAACATTGTCCTTGACCTAGGGATTGACCAGACAGTAGAGAGAACAAACTTACCATTTGTACAGGTAAACATTGTCCTTGACCTAGGGATTGACCAGACAGTAGAGGGAACAGACTCACTATTTGTACAGGTAACATTTTCCTTGACCTGGAGTTGACCAGACAGTAGAGAGAACAGACTCTCTGTTTGTACAGGTAAGAGAAAAAACATTCATACTACAAGGGTATGAAATTGAATACAGACTCACAGTTCTTAAAGTGATTATGATATTCAATGTCTCCCTTAGGTACTGCCCCTAAGACAAAGGGATGTGATGCTGTGCCTTCACGAGAACGGAAGTATTACCACGAGAGTGAGAAGGAAGACCAATGTTATCACCACACCAGCCTCGGAAGGAGTCGGTGCCTTTGGTAAAAATGTTTTGTTTTAAGGTAGTATGTACGTGGTGTTATGTTAACACTTAATATGTTATAGAATAGAATTCTAGCAGCCATAATGTGATGGCTAATTCTGCTGTCATGTTCACTAATGTAATTTCAAGTACAATGAAATTAAAAGAACTTGTAACTAAGACAATATCCTATGGTTGGTCGGTGTGACCTTTGACCCTTAATGCAGTTCTGTTTGTTACACATGACTCCCCTCCATATTCCATATGTGTCTATGTCGTATGATTTGTCAGTGTGACCTTTGACCTACAATGCTGTTCTATGTTTGTTACAGATGACTCCCGTCCATATGTGTCTATGTCGTATGATTTCTCAGTGTGACCTTTGACCTACAATGCTGTTCGATTTTTGTTACAGATGACTCCCCTTCATATGTGTCTATGTCATATGAATTGTCAATATGACCTTTGACCCTCAATGCAGTTCTGTGGTTTTTTACAGATGACTCTCCTCCCCATGTGTCTATGGATGTGGCGTATGACATGCGTTGTCAGTCAGATAGTCTACGTGTGACAAGACACAGCAAGGTTGCTGGAATGGCATGTTGCCCAATGTTTGAGAGGTCGGTGGTACTCATCATGACCGACAGCCGTGTGATTTTCTGGGAAGTCCTCATGATGGAGCCAATGGTAAGATGTCAGGTTAATGGTGTATATATATATATTTTATCTTTTTGATGAAAAGTGGTAAACTTTATTGAATCATATTAAAGATTTTGTGATTTTTTCTTTGATGTAAAGGTGAAATTTGTGTCTCGATACAGGGGTTATTACTTCATTGATCACATATCTATCCCAGTAATACGCATCCAACAAACATTTGTTTGTTAGGATCCAGTACCAAAATTGGACCATACCATTGATACTGTAATATAAAATGTTGAAGTGTAGGAGATACAAGGAAATTTAATTGATATTTGACAGAAGAAAATGTTACATTCTGCACTGGCACTTTCATTGTATTAGATCTTTAGGTGATATAGTAGTGGTACATAATTGAGTGACATCACAAATTGTTATAACGGTACGTATATATCATATTTAGGTTTTTCACCAACAGCTGAGTGTAAGGGATAGTGTCATGCTTTGAGGCTGCTTGTTTCAAAACTTTTGTTGAGAATATATAACTTAATATTATTCACTGTTCAAACAGATTGGCAGTGGTCGGCACAGTCACTCTCCTCTCCATACTCCAGGATCCTCTATACCAGAAGATATATCCAAACTCAGCTCCACTGAGAAGCTGCCAGTAATTACAGACCTTGCTCCTCCTAAACTCTCACTCTGCGACATGATTGGCCAGTCACAGGTCATGACCCCAGATAATCAGGCATTCCATAGGGGTAAAGGGGTGGCTTTAAAATTTGTGATGACTGGACTTATGAGCGGAATCTCAACCCCTATAACAGTGACCCGGATGTGTCCGCCCCTCACAACAAAGAACTGGAGTATGTACCAGCCCCTTCTTGCTATAGGTAAGTGATATAGCTCTGTAATAACCGGGTAATAGTTATAGGTAAATCATAAAGCACTGGCATAGTTATAGGTAAATTATATAGCTCTGTCAGAGTTATAGGTAAATTATATAGCTCTGTCATAGTTATAGGTCAGTCATATAGGTCTGTCATAGTTATAGGTAAATCATATAGCTGTCATAGTTATAGGTAAATTATATAGGTCTGTCATAGTTATAGGTAAATCATATAGGTCTGTCATAGTTATAGGTAAATTATATAGCCATGTCATAGTTATAGGTAAATCATATAGCCATGTCATAGTTATAGGTAAATCATATAGCTGTCATAGTTATAGGTAAATCATATAGGTCTGTCAGAGTTATAGGTAAATCATATAGGTCTGTCATAGTTATAGGTAAATTATATAGGTCTGTCATAGTTATAGGTCAGTCATATAGGTCTGTCATAGTTATAGGTAAATTATATAGGTCTGTCAGAGTTATAGGTAAATCATATAGGTCTGTCATCGTTATAGGTAAATCATATAGCCATGTCATAGTTATAGGTAAATCATATAGCCATATCATAGTTATAGGTAAATCATATAGCTGTCATAGTTATAGGTAAATTATATAGGTCTGTCATAGTTATAGGTAAATCATATAGGTCTGTCATTGTTATAGGTAAATCATATAGCCATGTCATAGTTATAGGTAAATCATATAGCTGTCATAGTTATAGGTAAATCATATAGGTCTGTCATAGTTATAGGTAAATCATATAGGTCTGTCATAGTGATAGGTAAATTATATAGCCATGTCATAGTTATAGGTAAATCATATAGCCATGTCATAGTTATAGGTAAATCATATAGGTCTGTCATAGGTATAGGTAAATCATATAGCTGTCATAGTTATAGGTAAATCATATAGGTCTGTCAGAGTTATAGGTAAATCATATAGGTCTGTCATAGTTATAGATAAATCATATAGGTCTGTCATAGTTATAGGTAAATTATATAGGTCTGTCATAGTTATAGGTAAATCATATAGGTCTGTCATCGTTATAGGTAAATCATATAGGTCTGTCATAGTTATAGGTAAATTATATAGCCATGTCATAGTTATAGGTAAATCATATAGCCATGTCATAATTATAGGTAAATCATATAGCCATGTCATAGTTATAGGTAAATCATATAGCTGTCATAGTTATAGGTAAATCATATAGGTCTGTCAGAGTTATAGGTAAATCATATAGGTCTGTCATAGTTATAGGTAAATTATATAGGTCTGTCATAGTTATAGGTCAGTCATATAGGTCTGTCATAGTTATAGGTAAATTATATAGGTCTGTCAGAGTTATAGGTAAATCATATAGGTCTGTCATCGTTATAGGTAAATCATATAGCCATGTCATAGTTATAGGTAAATCATATAGCCATATCATAGTTATAGGTAAATCATATAGCTGTCATAGTTATAGGTAAATTATATAGGTCTGTCATAGTTATAGGTAAATCATATAGGTCTGTCATTGTTATAGGTAAATCATATAGCCATGTCATAGTTATAGGTAAATCATATAGCTGTCATAGTTATAGGTAAATCATATAGGTCTGTCATAGTTATAGGTAAATCATATAGGTCTGTCATAGTGATAGGTAAATTATATAGCCATGTCATAGTTATAGGTAAATCATATAGCCATGTCATAGTTATAGGTAAATCATATAGGTCTGTCATAGGTATAGGTAAATCATATAGCTGTCATAGTTATAGGTAAATCATATAGGTCTGTCAGAGTTATAGGTAAATCATATAGGTCTGTCATAGTTATAGATAAATCATATAGGTCTGTCATAGTTATAGGTAAATCATATAGGTCTGTCATAGTTATAGGTAAATCATATAGGTCTGTCATAGTTATAGGTCAGTCATATAGGTCTGTCATCGTTATAGGTAAATCATATAGGTCTGTCATCGTTATAGGTAAATCATATAGGTCTGTCATAGTTATAGGTAAATCATATAGGTCTGTCATAGTTATAGGTAAATCATATAGGTCTGTCATAGTTATAGGTAAATCATATAGCTGTCATAGTTATAGGTAAATCATATAGGTCTGTCATAGTTATAGGTAAATCATATAGGTCTGTCATAGTTATAGGTAAATCATATAGCTGTCATAGTTATAGGTAAATCATATAGGTCTGTCATCGTTATAGGTAAATCATATAGCTGTCATAGTTATTGGTAAATCATATAGGTCTGTCATCGTTATAGGTAAATCATATAGCTGTCATAGTTATAGGTAAATCATATAGGTCTGTCATCGTTATAGGTAAATCATATAGGTCTGTCAGAGTTATAGGTAAATCATATAGGTCTGTCATAGTTATAGGTAAATCATATAGGTCTGTCATAGTTATAGGTAAATCATATAGGTCTGCCATAGTTATAGGTAAATCATATAGCTGTCATAGTTATAGGTAAATCATATAGGTCTGTCATCGTTATAGGTAAATCATATAGCTGTCATAGTTATAGGTAAATCATATAGGTCTGTCATCGTTATAGGTAAATTATATAGGTCTGTCATCGTTATAGGTAAATCATATAGGTCTGTCATATTTATAGGTAAATCATATAGGTCTGTCATAGTTATAGGTAAATTATATAGCCATGTCATAGTTATAGGTAAGTCATATAGGTCTGTCATAGTTATAGGTAAATCATATAGGTCTGTCATAGTTATAGGTAAATCATATAGGTCTGTCATAGTTATAGGTAAGTCATATAGGTCTGTCATAGTTATAGGTAAGTCATATAGGTCTGTCATAATTATAGGTAAGTGATGTAGTCATGTCTTATAGGTAAGTATAGACAAGCATCACACAAATGTAAAATGAAAAGAACAGAATGCTACTTAAAAATAGCTGCTTATATTTATAGCTGAAATGTTGTTTTTTTACTTCATAATACAAGCTAATGGATCCCTGACTCAAAATCAAGGGGTTGACTTTGTACTAGACATGGATTTATTTCAGGACTATGAAAACAGTGTATGGTTTTCTGTGTTACAGGAAGTAATAATGGGACCATACAAATACTGCACGTGTCCAGTGGCCAGATAGAACGGGAGTACAGTGTACACGCCGGACCAGTTAGGTATGATTAGATAGATCAGGAGTACAGTGTACAGGCTGGACCTATCAATAAAGACCGCAACTGATTTATAGAAATATGTTTAAAACAGCTTGATAGCTCTAATTTTTCGTTGCTTCTACAATAAATGTTAGATATGTCTAGATGTATTTTGTACATGGTTATGGAAGGTTAGTGTATATAGGTATACATTAGCTACATTATTATTTCATTACAGAGGCATTGAATGGTCCAGTCTGAAGAGTTTCATGTCCTACTCCTATCCCAACCCTGGCCAGAGTGGACTGGTAAAGAACGAACTCTTAATGGTAGACGTTTTGTCAGGTAACTATGTTTATTTTCATACTTAACTCTGTAGAGTATTACTGTGGATTCATTTTATTTCGTGGGGGTCCAATTTTCGTTGTTTTCGTGGATGAGCAAATCCACGAATTTAAAAACACAACGAAATATGAACTACTTACTAAAGTAATTTTGAAATTTGACCAAGTAATCTTTGCCGACACCGGAAACGTCCACCGGTAATGACAGAAGCCCCGTAATTAGTCGGGAGTCGGGTAGTCTGAGGCTCGACATGGATACGCTAAATTGGTGTCAACGATATATAATTATATATTATTAAACTTAACAAAGGGTAAGTACCCATTGTGATGCTAAGTATGATGGGATCGCAGTCGTTAGCGACACTGTGGACACTAGGCTTGATCGGACCATCCTGTCGATTGAAGATTGGATCCGTATTTCTATCCGACTACAGGTTCACAATAATTATTAATAATGCAGATCTTGTTTACACACCTGTTTACACACATGGTCCCATCGATACGCGTGATGTTTTCATATGACTGCGGTACACCGACTGATCAGCACACAATGTTTATCCACTGAAAACAATTGTTTCTGATAATTACCGATTGATTACACGCCAGGATATATACTGATTTGTGGTTTGATATTAATGCGAGACTGTTGTAAACAGCGTTATAAAAACACAGGACGCCATCTTGAAAAAAAAACGTTCTTTTATTCTTGTCATTAGTGTTAATTTCTGTGAACATAGCCTTAATACAAACAGAAAAAAATTCGACTGGAAGCAAAAAGAGAAAATTCTAACGTTTTTATTTTTTTCCCACAGAATCAAAAATCCACGAATTTATGAGTCCACGAAACTGTCTAATTTGTAGAAACAACGAAAATTGAACCCAACGAAAATAAATGAATCCACAGTATAAGTCATTGTTCCTTCACTCCTGTCCAGGGATTTTCTGTGACCTCTCTCTGACATTTTACATTTAAGCTGTTGACAAACCAATTTGTCAAAATAACCAGCAAAGCAGTCTGGGAGCCTCTCAAGGAAGACAACATCTGGTCTGGAAATAGATTTTAAGACTAGAGGAAGAAACACTCCTCAAATCAACCCTTAGTTTAATATCTGACTCAAAATGTCACATAAGCTAAAGACTAAAGAGAAGAAGACCGGTTGGGAGTTCAGAGTTATCCTCATTTATTTTGTAGAAGTGCTCTGATTTTAGTTCGACCTTAAAAAAATATGGAGAAAAAAAATTAATTTAGCTTTACATCATCATCTCTTAGGAAAATAGAAGTTAAATTCATAAGTTAAAAATGTTGAACAAAGGATACATTTTGACCAACCAGTGCCTTATCTACCATTTATATTTTGTTTTACAGGTAAGATAACAACACTACGTTGTAATCATGATCAGGAACCACCTATAGACCTTCTTAGAATCTCCTACCTCAAGTAAGTAAATGTATGTTTAGATATTGTAATATTTAAAACAGAATTTCAGATTACAGATAACAAAAGATAGGAGTTAAAACATTATGAGATGATGTTATATACTTTCAATGTTAAATCTAATTGTAACCTCGTGTTTCTGTAAGCTATTTTTACCCTGGCAAAAACTGTGAAAACTAATGCGAGTAACATGTTGTTTAAATTTTTCATTTTGAATCATTGTAAATTCTAAGGCCAGCCTCTCTCTCCTGTACAGGCAGTATTTTGTCATCTGCTTCAAAGAGAAGCCCCTAGAGCTGTGGGATCTACGCAGTCTGACAATGTTAAGGGAGATGGGTAAGAGCATCCCACGACCAACTGCCCTTGAATGGTCACCCTCACACAGCCTCAAAATACTCAGACGTAAACTACTGGCCCAAAGCATCTCTGATTCAGACAAAGAAGGGATTGGGATCTTCTCCAAATCCTCAGATGTCATGACAACATCCAAGAGCTCCTCCGGACAGGAAGTGTCTGAAAGGTAGGCTGAAAAATGCATCGTGGGAGCGTTTGAATCTGTCAGAGGATTGTGCAATATGTACTATAAGTGTAATTATACCCATTACATTACATATACATGTATGTCTTATGATGTAGCAAAGCTGTGACTGACAGAAGGTTCTCATCACTTCAATTGTGAAGTCATCAGTCATGATGTCATATGCATTTGGACACCATTAAAGAAAAACATAGAAAAGGAGAATATCCCCAATTTAGATTTCTATGGTCCCCAAAAATATTTTGGGAGCATATAGTTGCTGATTTGTCCTTCTGTCCTTTCCTGTCTGGAGCACAACTTTGTCAAAGGGTATGCATGAATCATGGAACATGATATATACATTCATCATACTTAGACAATGTGCAATGTGCAAATATTTGTGTTCCCAACCTGTCAATAACAGTGTTATTGCCCTTTGTTAAAATTGGGGTCTGGAGCATAACTTTGCTCGCATTTAATGTAGGATAATGACACTTGGTGTATACATTGATCATACTAAGAGGATGTACAGTGTCCAAATTCAGGGCCTAAAATTCTCTAATTACAGAATGATTGCTCTTTATGAAAATTCTGTGTTTGATAAAGTTATTTTAGGTAGACCTCATCAGTTTCACTGATACTCTTGTGTATTGGTATTAATGAAATACTGTTTTCACAGAAGATTGGAAAAGCATCTCATTATCACATTACATAATACACAGAATTTTACATTTGTTTCCTTTAATATAATCAGATTGATGAGACTTGTCACAAGTTTTTCATTTTACTGAGTCTGAAGTATAAAGCTGACTTGTTTTATCAGTGTCATCTCAATGCAATCTGCCAGAAGATGGATGTACTTAGTAACTTACAGGGTTTTAATTATGTTAGCTCATTTTTAAGGCATATAGTGTTACCCATTTAAATCCTCTTCCGAATCAATGTCATATCATGGCTCATATTTACCCTGTAGTATCAGAACATCAAGTTCTACATCTTATCATCAATTAAGGTGAAAAATTCAAAGGTCACATTTTACAACTTCAGCATATTCATTTAACAATTATACTGTATGCACAAGAACAGGGACATTCTTGTCTTGTAGACATTTTGTTGTTCAATCAAAATTATTGGGTATATGACCCCCCTACTTTGTAACCTCTAACCTTTGACCTTGATCTTAATTGGAATGTTGACAATGATGTAGAGTACATTATTATTTCTATTTAACAGCTCTGACACCATGGGAGTACAGAAGGTCTCTCTGAAGGAACACTTTGTGTTTACGGATGGTGAGGGAAATGTTTACCACTTTGTGGTGGAAGGCACAAGCTTCATTGATGCTACTAAGATCCCTGCTGAGGTAGTTCTGTTTTATTGTATATCTGTACCTCAATTTAACACTTATTTGTCAGGCCACACAAAATATTGTTGTCTCCAAGAGATAATGTACATTGTAGAATAAACAAATTTTTGTGTCAAATATATACAACAAGTAACAAACTGTGAGGAATATTTTGGTGTTTATGATAGATAAGGCAACACAGTAAGACATAAGGGAAGTTGTATATAAAACCTAAACATGAGACTTTAACAAACTGTAATATCTATTTTTAAAGTATCTGACCTGAAGGTCATGAAGACCTATAGCCATTTTGCTATGTCCATCATCGTGCGCCGTCAGCTGTCCGCCATGGGAAACTTTTGACATTTTAAACTTCTGCTAAAGTTCCACCTGTGGGATTGAGCTCCAACTTGTCTGAAATGATCCTGACTGTGTGTTGTTATTTATCAGCCAGATCAAAAGTTCAACATAGTTACTACCATAGGCATTTTGTAACATGATTGTGCTACTGTATTTCATAAACAGAAACGATCATTTTTGAGGGTTTTTTTTAATTTGAGTATTGGCGAATAAAAGCAAAAATAAGCAAAATTCATAGAACCTTGGTGTTTGTGTCTATTGATTGTCAATCTTACACTTTACATATAGTGCATTCGTGGAGATGTAAACCACAGCATCAAGATGAGTCAGGAAGTCTTACACATTGTGGAATAGCACATTGTTACTGTATGATCAATTGGAATATGAGAGATCACCAATTCCACCTGTTCTCACAATAATCTTATCGTCATCTTGTCACACTACTATCCGCTTTGTACTACAACACAAAAGTCTCGTGAATCTATTACCATTTCATACATTGTGTACCTTAGTGCAAATGGTTTTTTTTTTACAAAGTCATTTTTCTGATGAAGGTGACATTGTAGTCATCAACTTATCACACAAACTTTACTTACTGGTTATAATGTAAGAACATCTGTTCAAATCACCACATGTATCTTACCTGACACATCCCCTGTTTCCTTTTCCAGTCTGGGCTGGGCGGTATTTCCTGTATTGCTTGGAAGGGCGAGTGTATCACATTTGGGGACAGTGATGGTCAGCTCTGTATCTGGGATCTAAAAGGACGTACCTCAAGGTATTATTTTTGTGGACACCACAGAAAGTCATTTTTCTGCAGTGTTGTAGAAGTCTTTATGATGTAGTAAGATAAAGTAGTGGTTTACTATATATCAATCAGACTTTATTTCTGTGTTAAGCTTGATAAAAGAAAGATGTCAAACTTGTCCTACATGGGGTGTTTGCTTCATTGACGATAGATTTATAATTGATGTTTTAGGACTTTACCAACACATCGAGGCTGGATAAAGAAGATCAGATTTGCACCAGGACGTGGGAACATCAAATTTCTCATCATGTACAATGATGGAGTGGATATTTGGGATATTAAGGATTCAAAGGTGAGCAGTGGTCTGCTGTGAACTTGTAAACAGGGTGTCTTGCATGTCCCCATCATTTTATGGCAGGATGTATTGTTATTCATGTCAGTCCATCCGTCCATTTATCCATCTGTCCCGTTTTTTCTCGTTTTAAATCAAAGTCAAATCTTGAGAACCTCTCATCAGATTTGGTTCATATTTACCCCTCAGATCATAACATCAAGTTCTGCACGTTAACATGATCAGGGGTCAAGACTAAAAGGGCAGAGGTCACATTTGATAACTTCTGAAAATTATCAAACAATAAAACTTCATATGCATTAGAGAAGGGCCACTCACGACATACTGACATATGTTATGGTTTAGTATTTTGTCATCAGTTTCGTATGTTATCTTATGTTTTAGAAATTAATTAAGTTGTAAATGAAATGAGCATCCTTATTATGTGGATTTTATTGTGAAACAAATTTCACATTCAAATTAACAAAGAACACTTGTATTTACCTGAACAAACAATTCAGATGCTGGATACTAAGGTCTAATAATGGAAACTGTTACAACAAAGTGTTTGGAAGTCCTATGTTCACCTACATCACCATAAGTTGATAGAGTCCTCGGACAATGCTATCAGAATCAGAATCGAGAATCCATTTCTGATGTAAACTTTATTTACATATTTTTTAGATTCACATTCTTCAGACAACAAAAAAAAAAAAAACGGTTACATTAGAACCAATGGAAATTATATATAGACATTTGTGTGAAGTTCAATCAATACCCATGTGTAACATTTATTGTGTCATAATCATGTGCAGGTATACTGTATATCTGATATAGGAGATAGATCTTATATTGTGATGTTGTTACACCTGTACAGGTTGTATATCTGATATAGGAGATAGATCTTACATTGTGATGTTGTTACACCTGTACAGGTATACTGTATATCTGATATAGGAGATAGATCTTACATTGTGATGTTGTTACACCTGTACAGGTTGTATATCTGATATAGGAGATAGATCTTACATTGTGATGTTGTTACACCTGTACAGGTTGTATATCTGATATAGGAGATAGATCTTACATTGTGATGTTGTTACACCTGTACAGGTATACTGTATATCTGATATATAGATCTTACATTGTGATGTTATACAGGTTGTATATCTGATATAGGAGATAGATCTTACATTGTGATGTTGTTACACCTTACACCTGTACAGGTTGTATATCTGATATAGGAGATAGATCTTACATTGTGATGTTGTTACACCTGTACAGGTATACTGTATATCTGATATAGGAGATAGATCTTACATTGTGATGTTGTTACACCTGTACAGGTTGTATATCTGATATAGGAGATAGATCTTACATTGTGATGTTGTTACACCTGTACAGGTATACTGTATATCTGATATAGGAGATAGATCTTACATTGTGATGTTGTTACACCTGTACAGGTATACTGTATATCTGATATAGGAGATAGATCTTACATTGTGATGTTGTTACACCTGTACAGGTATACTGTATATCTGATATAGGAGATAGATCTTACATTGTGATGTTGTTACACCTGTGATGTTGTTACAGGTATACTGTATATCTGATATAGGAGATAGATCTTACATTGTGATGTTGTTACACCTGTACAGGTATACTGTATATCTGATATAGGAGATAGATCTTACATTGTGATGTTGTTACACCTGTACAGGTATACTGTATATCTGATATAGGAGATAGATCTTACATTGTGATGTTGTTACACCTGTACAGGTTGTATATCTGATATATCTGTGATATAGGTATACTGTATATCTGATATAGATAGATCTTACATTGTGATGTTGTTACACCTGTACAGGTTGTATATCTGATATAGTTGTCTTACATTGTGATGTTGTTACACCTGTACAGGTATACTGTATATCTGATATAGGAGATAGATCTTACATTGTGATGTTGTTACACCTGTACAGGTATACTGTATATCTGATATAGGAGATAGATCTTACATTGTGATGTTGTTACACCTGTACAGGTATACTGTATATCTGATATAGGAGATAGATCTTACATTGTGATGTTGTTACACCTGTACAGGTATACTGTATATCTGATATAGGAGATAGATCTTACATTGTGAAATTGTTACACCTCTGATCTTTCAGATTGTGTATTTTTCACAAGAGTTTTTATATTTACAGGAACCATGTGTGAGTATTTCTCTTGTTTTCTGAATTGTTCATCTTTTTATCTTTGTATCTGAAGCCTGAACTGACAGGGTCAGTGAAGAGTCCCCGAGAGATAGCCAAGATTGTGGACTGTGAGTGGTGTGGGAGTGACCGTGTGGTCCTAGCCACCACCATAGGATGTGTCTATGTGACAGACCTGACCCTTAAAAACCTTACAAGTCCCGTGGATGACTGGGATTTACCAGGTAACCATAGCAACAAAGATTCCTTAACATAAATGTTTTCTCTGTCTACTCAACGTTTTTTCTTTTATCAAAATCATCAATGTTTTTGTGTCAATCTGTCAGTCTGTTTAACTGGGATTTGAAAATGTTTGTTTAAGTGAGTCAGAGCTGATTAATCAACATATTACCATTACATGTCAAATCTGTAGTCGGGAAAGTAAGTCAAATTCTGATCGTAGTTAAAATTTACTCCTATTTGTGGCTCTAAATTTTAAAAAGGCATGTTAATGTTCTTTGTGGAAAAACAAATAAGGAAGGAATTGAGGAAAGCAATTAATGTATAATTTGATATCATGTTTTATCTGGAGGATTAACAGAACAATGTTGTATTATACAGGACAGGTATGGTGCCCCTACATGCTGACAAACAAAGCTTCCCTGTTACTCAAGTATCTGCTTCAGCATCAGCCATGGAACACTGAGTATTCCCTCAAACTTGAAGGAATGATGGATGATGATGCAGATATGCAGACGGCCATTAACAACCAGCTTAATCTCTTAGACAGGTACATTAACAGTTGCTTTATTCCACAGGCTAATATCCTGAAGACATTTGGCTCGAGGCTAGTTCACAGGGACTAAAGTCTGTGTCTATCACTGGTATCCATGTATACTGATGACATACATTTCCAGTCGTCTTCATTCACAGTATATGTTGAGTAGTTTGTTTTTGTTCTTTCTTTTATCAACACAAATACAGTGAAATCTAAATCCCTTGTGAATGTTACCAACTCTACCAGTAGTATTACTCCTGGACTCTCTGCCCTCCACTGTCTGCATTCTGAGTTTCCTAGATATTAGTCTTTTCCTAGGTAGGCTGTTACGAGCTACAAAGTATCCATTCTTAATTCATTTGACAGATATATAGAAGATCTTCAGTGAATTTTCATTTCTTTTGAGATTTTATGAAACAGCTCCTTAAAGTTTTTGTTTTTGCGAACCTTTCATTTTTTACAAGACAAGTTGGTCACAAAATAACACCAACACCTCATCAGATTTCTATCTGTAAAGCTTGTATGATGTAGTTTGTTTCTGTCACTGGGTACAGTGGTAAACATCAGTAAAGAACAGGGAACTGTACAGACCATATGTAATTATCATCTGTATACATACACGTTGTCTGAATCGTCATGAAATATTGGTGTACTTGTAACAGTAAAAATTAATGAGATTTGTGTACTTGTAACAGTAAAAATTAATGAGATTTGTGTACTTGTAACAGTAAAAATTAATGAGATTTGTGTACTTGTAACAGTAAAAATTAATGAGATTTGTGTACTTGTAACAGTGAAAATTAATGAGATTTGTGTACTTGTAACAGTAAAAATTAATGAGATTTGTGTACTTGTAACAGTAAAAATTAATGAGATTTGTGTACTTGTAACAGTGAAAATTAATGAGATTTGTGTACTTGTAACAGTAAAAATTAATGAGATTTTTGTACTTGTAACAGCAAAAATTGATAAGATTTGTGTACTTGTAACAGTAAAAATTAATGAGATTTGTGTACTTGTAACAGCAAAAATTAATGAGATTTGTGTACTTGTAACAGCAAAAATTAATGAGGTTTGTGTACTTGTAACAGTAAAAATTAATGAGATTTGTGTACTTGTAACACATTATAGAAAAGAAAAGATTCTCTAAAGCTTCTCAGCTGAAAATTTTATAATGTTGACCATTGTGTTGATTTGTAATTCCCAGAGATGTGACACAATACATTGGTAACTCTCGGTTCGGAACAGCTGAAAGATGTCTCTTGGTTGCAAGGTGAGTTGTAAATTACGCTATCTCACCAATTGTGAAAACTCAGAAAGATTGAAACAATGTTTTATAAGATAGAATTGTGAAGGGATTAAAGAATATTTTCACAAGGATTTAAGGAATTTCTTACGGTGTTGTCAACATGTCTGGATTTAACGGAGATAAACAATTTCTGTACATGGACTAGGAAATAATTATGCCTAAATGGTTTCAGATTCCCTATACTGTTTCCATTGCTGTTTTCACAATATTTCAAAAGATTTAAAAAAAAAAAAAAAAAACAAAAAAACAAAAGGGTTTTCAAATTATCAATTTTTTCCAAAAAGTCAAGAGAAAACAAGTTTCATCAGCCAGGTGATGTAGCTGTAAATGTGTTAGGTATATGTGTGTAAGGATTCTCTACCATTTGTACATTTGTATTTAGATTATTTGGGGACGAGTCAGACCTGCTGTTCTGGACAGTTGCCCTGCATTATCTAAAATCAGAAAAACTACAGCCAGCAAACAAGGTAAATATTTACTAAATAAATGTCAGTAAATTATGTGTTAATTCTTCCTTTACTACTGTGTCAAGAACAACAAACACTGTGATAGGGGCCGTAGTCTTTATAGGTCTGGTATATAGAACACAAAGCACTGAAATATGTTTGACACAGGAGGTAGGGGCGGTTGTCTTTATAGGTCTGGTATATAGAACAAGAAACACTGGAGATAGGGGCTGTAACCTTTATAGGTCTGGTATATAGAACAAGAAACACTGTGATATGTTTGACACTGGAGATAGGGGCTGTAACCTTCATAGGTCTGGTATATAGAACATGAAACATTGTGATATGTTTGACACTGGAGATAGGGGCTGTAACCTTCATAGGTCTGGTATATAGAACATGAAACATTGTGATATGTTTGACACTGGAGATAGGGGCTGTAACCTTTATAGGTCTGGTATATAGAACAAGAAACACTGTGATATGTTTGACACTGGAGATAGGGGCTGTTACATTGATAGGTCTGGTATATAGAACATGAAACACTGTAATATGTTTGACACTGGAGATAGGGGCTGTAACCTTTATAGGTCTGGTATATAGAACAAGAAACACTGTAATATGTTTGACACTGGAGATAGGGGCTGTTACATTGATAGGTCTGGTATATAGAACATGAAACACTGTAATATGTTTGACACTGGAGATAGGGGCTGTAACCTTTATAGGTCTGGTATATAGAACATGAAACATTGTGATATGTTTGACACTGGAGATAGGGGCTGTAACCTTCATAGGTCTGGTATATAGAACATGAAACATTGTGATATGTTTGACACTGGAGATAGGGGCTGTTACATTGATAGGTCTGGTATATAGAACATGAAACACTGTAATATGTTTGACACTGGAGATAGGGGCTGTTACCTTTATAGGTCTGGTATATAGAACAAGAAACACTGTAATATGTTTGACACTGGAGATAGGGGCTGTTACCTTCATAGGTCTGGTATATAGAACATGAAACATTGTGATATGTTTGACACTGGAGATAGGGGCTGTAACCTTTATAGGTCTGGTATATAGAACATGAAACATTGTGATATGTTTGACACTGGAGATAGGGGCTGTTACCTTTATAGGTCTGGTATATAGACCATGAAACACTGTAATATGTTTGACACTGGAGATAGGGGCTGTTACCTTTATAGGTCTGGTATATAGAACATGAAACACTGGAGATAGGGGCTGTAACCTTTATAGGTCTGGTATATAGAACATGAAACACTGGAGATAGGGGCTGTAACCTTCATAGGTCTGGTATATAGAACATGAAAAACTGTAATATGTTTGACACTGGAGATAGGGGTTGTTACATTTATAGGTCTGGTATATAGAACATGAAACACTGTAATATGTTTGACACTGGAGATAGGGGCTGTAACCTTCATAGGTCTGGTATATAGAACATGAAAAACTGTAATATGTTTGACACTGGAGATAGGGGTTGTTACATTTATAGGTCTGGTATATAGAACATGAAACACTGTAATATGTTTGACACTGGAGATAGGGGCTGTAACCTTTATAGGTCTGGTATATAGAACATGAAACACTGTAATATGTTTGACACTGGAGATAGGGGCTGTTACATTGATAGGTCTGGTATATAGAACATGAAACATTGTGATATGTTTGACACTGGAGATAGGGGCTGTTACCTTTATAGGTCTGGTATATAGAACATGAAACACTGGAGATAGGGGCTGTAACCTTTATAGGTCTGGTATATAGAACATGAAAGACTGGAGATAGGGGCTGTAACCTTTATAGGTCTGGTATATAGAACATGAAACACTGGAGATAGGGGCTGTTACATTGATAGGTCTGGTATATAGAACATGAAACATTGTGATATGTTTGACACTGGAGATAGGGGCTGTAACCTTTATAGGTCTGGTATATAGAACAAGAAACACTGAAATATGTTTGACACTGGAGGTAGGGGCTGTAACCTTCATAGGTCTGGTATATAGAACATGAAACATTGTGATATGTTTGACACTGGAGATAGGGGCTGTAACCTTTATAGGTCTGGTATATAGAACATGAAACACTGGAGATAGGGGCTGTTACATTGATAGGTCTGGTATATAGAACATGAAACATTGTGATATGTTTGACACTGGAGATAGGGGCTGTTACATTGATAGGTCTGGTATATAGAACATGAAACACTGTAATATGTTTGACACTGGAGATAGGGGCTGTAACCTTTATAGGTCTGGTATATAGAACATGAAACACTGTAATATGTTTGACACTGGAGATAGGGGCTGTAACCTTTATAGGTCTGGTATATAGAACATGAAACACTGTAATATGTTTGACACTGGAGATAGGGGCTGTAACCTTTATAGGTCTGGTATATAGAACATGAAACACTGTAATATGTTTGACACTGGAGATAGGGGCTGTTACATTGATAGGTCTGGTATATAGAACATGAAACACTGTAATATGTTTGACACTGGAGATAGGGGCTGTAACCTTTATAGGTCTGGTATATAGAACAAGAAACACTGTAATATGTTTGACACTGGAGATAGGGGCTGTTACATTGATAGGTCTGGTATATAGAACATGAAACACTGTAATATGTTTGACACTGGAGATAGGGGCTGTAACCTTTATAGGTCTGGTATATAGAACATGAAACATTGTGATATGTTTGACACTGGAGATAGGGGCTGTAACCTTTATAGGTCTGGTATATAGAACATGAAACACTGTAATATGTTTGACACTGGAGATAGGGGCTGTTACATTGATAGGTCTGGTATATAGAACATGAAACACTGTAATATGTTTGACACTGGAGATAGGGGCTGTAACCTTTATAGGTCTGGTATATAGAACAAGAAACACTGTGATATGTTTGACACTGGAGATAGGGGCTGTTACATTGATAGGTCTGGTATATAGAACATGAAACACTGGAGATAGGGGCTGTTACATTGATAGGTCTGGTATATAGAACATGAAACATTGTAATATGTTTGACACTGGAGATAAGGGCTGTAACCTTTATAGGTCTGGTATATAGAACGAGAAACTGAAAAACAAGACATTGTACCCTGATGTAAAAACACTGAAAAACACATTATCATGTTATTGAGGTAATACACCAATCTGTACAGAATGCTATGGAAATGTATTTCATTCTTCTGTGATTGTGAAACAGGGAGGCAACAGCAGTCGTGAGAGGGAACGTGAACGCTATGTTCCCCCAACTAAAGAAGCCAATGATCTGGTCGTCCTTGACAACCCTGAAGAGGTTGCCCAGCGACAATTGGTGGAACAGCTTTTCCAGGACCCCCCTCTAGAGAGACACTTTGATACCATTTGTAGTAACACCTCATTTCAGGTAAACTGTCAAGCCGTAAGGTAATATCTACAGTGATAGCTTATCACTTGTGTTAATGTTTCCTTTCTAATACTGTATAATGATAAGACTTGTTTTTCTCTGTGGGAGATATGAATTTTACTTGTCTTTCTCAGTTTGAGATCCAGAGATTTGGCTTGTTTCTCTCAGAATGACTTGTCGTTGTTGATAAGAATGTCAGATATTAAACAGAATGACTTATTGTTGGTGACAAGAATGTCAGACATTAAACAGAATCACTGGTGAAGTCCATGTGAAATGTTCTGTTATTTATTATCACACCAAGGACTAGTCACTGAAAGTTAAACAGAAAATAGTATTATGTGATAGAATATAAACATTGTAATATTTCGCAATCAACTTGGCAATTTGTTTTCAACACAAAATTATTGTATAACGGCTTTATTTCACCAGACAAATTTTGCCTGATGATGTCAAAACCAGACTACAATTTTAGTCGTGTTGTATTTTTGTAATTGAAGAGCAGGAACTAATGCATTATCAATCAAAATGCCCAAGTTTAATGTCTGCAATGCACTCAAAAACAACAAAAATTGGATGTTAGGGAGAAAACTCATTATACATAATGCATTGTAAATTTTGATAATTTTGGTTTTTTAGAAAGTTCCATAAATTCTTTTTCATTTCAGAAGTATCAGTTAGACCGTGTAGCTCTCCATGACAGTAAACGTGCAACATACGACCACACAAAAAAATGTGCTGAGAACTATGTCATGCTGGGTCAGACTGACCGAGCTGTCCAGTTGCTTTTGGAGACAGAGCCTGAAAGTGACCATTACTACACAGACTGTCTAAGGTTGGTATCTAATTTACTGTAGACAATAGTTTATTAATCAAAGTTTAAAGTTTCTCTGTTTTCTTTTTACACCTTCTCAATAATGTTATTTAACCACTTAGGATTTGTTCAGTCATTTTTGATAAATGAGTGTATTATAGTACAATGGAATAGTGCCTGTTATTCTATTGAAGAGCAATATTTTCAACTGAACTTATTGCTGGGTGATTAGTCGACCACAAGGACTTTGGAAGGGACTGTAGTTTTGCATTGTGGCAGTCCGTGTTTTAGTGTTTTCTTCCACTTTCTTTTTCATGCTCTAGGTCACTCTAACCTACATTTTGACCTTTGACCTACATTAAACAAAACTTTGTTCCCACTCTATCTCCTAAACTATTAGTCACTTGAACTTCTTAATTTGGGCTAAAGATCAAATCTGAAACTTCTGATTTCCCCCTGGCAGCTGATATTTTACCAGAGTGACATGCATAGTTTAATATTGATAACATATTTGATGCAGGGCCTGTCTTGTCGCCAGTATACGATCATCTGGAGCATCACAGAGCACAATAAAACTGGTGGCTACCAATCTCATAGCTAATGGTAAACTAACAGGTAAGTACATCCTAGTCTGAGATGGTCTTGGGTGTAACAGATTTGTACATTATAATATACAGTTGTCTGGGACATAACAGTGAGGAACATTCTAGTGTACGTTTGTGTGGGGTGTAACAGATTCACACATTCTAGTGTACCTTTGTGTGGGGTGTAACAGATTCACACATTCTAATGTACGTTTGTGTGGGGTGTAACAGATTCACACATTCTAATGTACGTTTGTGTGGGGTGTAACAGATTCACACATTCTAGTATAAGATTGTCGGGGACATAACAGTGGGGAACATTCTAGTGTACGTTTGTGTGGGGTGTAACAGATTCACACATTCTAGTATAAGATTGTCGGGGACAAAACATTGGGGAACATTCTAGTGTACGTTTGTGTCGGGTGTAACAGATTCACACATTCTAGTATAAGTTTGTTAGGGACATAACAGTGAGGAATATTCTAGTGAATGTTTGTGTGGGGTGTAACAGATTCACACATTCTAGTATAAGTTTGTCAGGGACATAACAGTGGGGAACATTCTAGTGTACGTTTGTGTGGGGTGTAACAGATTCACACATTCTAGTATAAGATTGTCGGGGACAAAACAGTGGGGAACATTCTAGTGAACGTTTGTGTGGGGTGTAACAGATTCACACATTCTAGTATAAGATTGTCAGGGACATAACAGTGGGGAACATTCTAGTGTACGTTTGTGTGAGGTGTAACAGATTCACAAATTCTAGTATAAGATTGTCTGGGACATAACAGTGGGGAACATTCTAGTGTATGTTTGTGTGGGGTGTAACAGATTCACACATTCTAGTATAAGATTGTCTGGGACATAACAGTGGGGAACATTCTAATGTACGTTAGGAACATTCTAGTGTACGTTTGTCAGGGACATAACAATTAGGAACATTCTAGTGTACGTTTGTCTGGGACATAACAATTAGGAACATTCTAGTGTACCTTTGTCTGGGACATAACAATTAGGAACATTCTAGTGTACCTTTGTCTGGGACATAACAATTAGGAACATTCTAGTATACCTTTGTCTGGGACATAACAATTAGGAACATTCTAGTGTACCTTTGTCAGGTACATAACAATTAGGAACATTCTAGTGTACCTTTGTCTGGGACATAACAATTAGGAACATTCTAGTGTGCCTTTGTCTGGGACATAACAATTAGGAACATTCTAGTGTACCTTTGTCTGGGACATAACAATTAGGAACATTCTAGTGTCCCTTTGTCTGGGACATAACAATTAGGAACATTCTAGTATACCTTTGTCTGGAGAATAACAATTAGGAATATTCTAGTGTACCTTTGTCTGGGACATAACAATTAGGAACATTCTAGTGTCCCTTTGTCTGGGACATAACAATTAGGAACATTCTAGTGTCCCTTTGTCTGGGACATAACAATTAGGAACATTCTAGTGTACCTTTGTCTGGAGAATAACAATTAGGAATATTCTAGTGTACCTTTGTCTGGGACATAACAATTAGGAACATTCTAGTGTACCTTTGTCTGGAGAATAACAATTAGGAACATTCTAGTGTACCTTTGTCTGGAGAATAACAATTAGGAATATTCTAGTGTACCTTTGTCTGGGACATAACAATTAGGAATATTCTAGTGTACCTTTGTCTGGGACATAACAATTAGGAACATTCTAGTGTCCCTTTGTCTGGGACATAACAATTAGGAACATTCTAGTGTCCCTTTGTCTGGGACATAACAATTAGGAACATTCTAGTGTACCTTTGTCTGGAGAATAACAATTAGGAATATTCTAGTGTACCTTTGTCTGGGACATAACAATTAGGAACATTCTAGTATACCTTTGTCTGGGACATAACAATTAGGAATATTCTAGTGTACCTTTGTCTGGAGAATAACAATTAGGAACATTCTAGTGTACCTTTGTCTGGGACATAACAATTAGGAACATTCTAGTGTCCCTTTGTCTGGGACATAACAATTAGGAACATTCTAGTGTCCCTTTGTCTGGGACATAACAATTAGGAACATTCTTGTGTACCTTTGTCTGGAGAATAACAATTAGGAATATTCTAGTGTACCTTTGTCTGGGACATAACAATTAGGAACATTCTAGTATACCTTTGTCTGGGACATAACAATTAGGAATATTCTAGTGTACCTTTGTCTGGAGAATAACAATTAGGAACATTCTAGTGTACCTTTGTCTGGAGAATAACAATTAGGAACATTCTAGTGTACCTTTGTCTGGAGAATAACAATTAGGAACATTCTAGTGTACCTTTGTCTGGGACATAACAATTAGGAACATTCTAGTGTACCTTTGTCTGGAGAATAACAATTAGGAACGTTCTAGAGTACCTTTGTCTGGAGAATAACAATTAGGAACATTCTAGTGTACCTTTGTCTGGGACATAACAATTAGGAACATTCTAGTGTACCTTTGTCTGGGACATAACAATTAGGAACATTCTAGTGTACCTTTGTCTGGGACATAACAATTAGGAACATTCTAGTGTACCTTTGTCTGGAGAATAACAATTAGGAACATTCTAGTGTACCTTTGTCTGGGACATAACAATTAGGAACATTCTAGTGTACCTTTGTCTGGAGAATAACAATTAGGAACATTCTAGTGTACCTTTGTCTGGAGAATAACAATTAGGAACATTCTAGTGTACCTTTGTCTGGGACATAACAATTAGGAACATTCTAGTGTACCTTTGTCTGGGACATAACAATTAGGAACATTCTAGTGTACCTTTGTCAGGGACATAACAATTAGGAACATTCTAGTGTACCTTTGTCTGGGACATAACAATTAGGAACATTCTAGTGTACCTTTGTCTGGGACATAACAATTAGGAACATTCTAGTGTACCTTTGTCAGGGACATAACAATTAGGAACATTCTAGTGTACCTTTGTCTGGGACATAACAATTAGGAACATTCTAGTGTACCTTTGTCTGGGACATAACAATTAGCTGATACTGATTTTTCAGAACTTTATACTTTAAGTATTTTATTACATGGCTTTTTCACCCCTTTTTCCAAGGACACAGTTATGTCAACCTGTCTTACCTTGACTTCGTAATTGATGATGCCTTGGTTGGAAATATTTAAATATATAAACAAAATTCTGTTTAAGAGGTAATAATAAGTCCCAGTTTTTTTCCTTCTATATCTTTGTAATTTTAGTTCAGATGAATTGAATTTCATTAAGTAGAAATTTTGTGTAAATTTGAAGCGATTTTTCAGTCCCTTCAGTTGGAAAGCAAGGGAAAAGTCATTTGTTGTCTCGAAATTAATTTTTGTCTATATCTGTGCGTGATTTGTTAAGTCAAGGGCTTGTACAATGTTTTCTGTTACATGTAAAACTTTCTAGTCCCGTGTTTTTCATATGCTTATTTATTAGTAATAAAGTTTTAATTTCGTTTTATTGTCATTCCATAAAATATATATGATGTATATGTGCTTGGTCGGTAAGGGTATTGTACACGTATGCGGAACAGAACAACGCCAGTACAAATGTATTTAATTGGAGTCGTTATTACATAATTTGTTGTTTGGATGAATGAACAATGAAAGGAGAAAGTAGAATCAGATTTATTTGTTTATTTTTACTGCCATTTCAAAAAACATTAAACTATGCTGCTTGTGTGCTATCGTAGCCCAACTTTGTTTAACGGAAATCAACTTCAGGAAACTGATATCATCAACCTTATTTATACTCTTCGTTTGAGTTGAACTTCGGATAAGTTGATATATTTTCCACATTCCCTTGAATTTCAAGATAAAGAGATTTAACTGTACCTACATTCTCTATATAATATTGACTGATAACCAGTGATCATGAAAGGTGAACATGACTTGTCATTACAATTGGACATTAATAAAATATAAAGATTTCTGTGTCATTGGATGATTTCTTGTTACTATTGCCAGAGGGAGTCCAGCTCCTGTGTCTGATCGATAAAGGAATGGATGCTTGTCGCTACTTACAGACTTATGGTGCATGGGAGCAGGCAGTTTGGCTGGCCAAGGTAGGGTACATCAGTATACAATTACTGTCAGACATAATGGGGCCTGGGAGCAGGCAGTTTGGCTGGCCAAGGTAGGGTACATCAGTATACAATTACTGTCAGTCACTACATACAGACATAATGGGGCATGGGAGCAGGCAGTTTGGCTGGCCAAGGTAGGGTACATCAGTATACAATTACTGTCAGTCACTACATACAGACATAATGGGGCATGGGAGCAGCCAGTTTGGCTGGCCAAGGTAGGGTACATCAGTATACAATTACTGTCAGTCATTATATACAGACATAATGGGGCCTGGGAGCAGGCAGTTTGGCTGGCCAAGGTAGGGTACATCAGTATACAATTACTGTCAGTCATTATATACAGACATAATGGGGCCTGGGAGCAGGCAGTTTGGCTGGCCAAGGTAGGGTACATCAGTATACAATTACTGTCAGACATAATGGGGCCTGGGAGCAGGGAGTTTGGCTGGCCAAGGTAGGGTACATCAGTATACAGTTACTGTCAGTCACTACATACAAACATAATGGGGCCTGGGAGCAGGGAGTTTGGCTGGCCAAGGTAGGGTACATCAGTATACAATTACTGTCAGTCACTACATACAGACATAATGGGGCATGGGAGCAGGCAGTTTGGCTGGCCAAGGTAGGGTATATCAGTATACAATTACTGTCAGACATAATGGGGCCTGGGAGCAGGCAGTTTGGCTGGCCAAGGTAGGGTACATCAGTATACAATTACTGTCAGTCACTACATACAGACATAATGGGGCCTGGGAGCAGGCAGTTTGGCTGGCCAAGGTAGGGTACATCAGTATACAATTACTGTCAGTCACTACATACAGACATAATGGGGCCTGGGAGCAGGCAGTTTGGCTGGCCAAGGTAGGGTACATCAGTATACAATTACTGTCAGACATAATGGGGCCTGGGAGCAGGCAGTTTGGCTGGCCAAGGTAGGGTACATCAGTATACAATTACTGTCAGACATAATGGGGCCTGGGAGCAGGCAGTTTGGCTGGCCAAGGTAGGGTACATCAGTATACAGTTACTGTCAGTCACTACATACAAACATAATGGGGCCTGGGAGCAGGGAGTTTGGCTGGCCAAGGTAGGGTACATCAGTATACAATTACTGTCAGTCACTACATACAGACATAATGGGGCATGGGAGCAGGCAGTTTGGCTGGCCAAGGTAGGGTATATCAGTATACAATTACTGTCAGACATAATGGGGCCTGGGAGCAGGCAGTTTGGCTGGCCAAGGTAGGGTACATCAGTATACAATTACTGTCAGTCACTACATACAGACATAATGGGGCATGGGAGCAGGCAGTTTGGCTGGCCAAGGTAGGGTACATCAGTATACAATTACTGTCAGTCACTACATACAGACATAATGGGGCCTGGGAGCAGGCAGTTTGGCTGGCCAAGGTAGGGTACATCAGTATACAATTACTGTCAGACATAATGGGGCCTGGGAGCAGGCAGTTTGGCTGGCCAAGGTAGGGTACATCAGTATACAATTACTGTCAGACATAATGGGGCCTGGGAGCAGGCAGTTTGGCTGGCCAAGGTAGGGTACATCAGTATACAATTACTGTCAGACATAATGGGGCCTGGGAGCAGGCAGTATGGCTGGCCAAGGTAGGGTACATCAGTATACAATTACTGTCAGTCACTACATACAGATATAATGGGGCATGGGAGCAGGCAGTTTGGCTGGCCAAAGTAGGGGGGAACATCAAGATAAATATGATGAAAGGCCAGGGAAATTTTTATTGCAATAGTTGAATAATGCTGGTAAGTAGTTCTACTGTTAGCATTTTGTTCATTTTTTTGAAGTGGGATATTAGATTTTTACCTAAGGTTTGCATCACTTGGTCAAGCAGCAGGTTTCAGTAAACATATATTTGCATATTGATTTGTGTTATGTCGACATGTCAAAACAGAAAATTAATTGTTGCAAAGGTTTTAACTTTATCACACAATGATCAAATAATACAGGGAAAATATATTTCCTTGAAATTATTTGCGAATATATTTCAGCCGCAAAAATCAATGGATAGTATTTAGCAATTGTATGGTCATATGTCTGTTTTTTGCAGGCGACACTCAGTTACACAGACTGCTGTGAGGTCCTGAAGCGATGGGTAGATCACCTCTGTAGTACACAAGTCAACCAAAAGGTAGGTTTCCAAACCTCCTACTTCTGTAAGTTAACCTAGGGATATAATACTCTCTATATCCTTGTGTATAACTAAGATAACCTTCAGCACAAGGTATACATCAACAGTTGGTGCTGACACCGTATCATCATTCTACCAAGTCTGCACCTGATTAGATATTGGTGTTCATTTGTCAAGGTTAATATTGGGCACTTTTGAAATTAAAAATAACTAGGTATCTCGTTTATAGATTAACCCCTCAATAGTTTTTGATCCAAAGAAAACGTTGAGGGGTTGGGAGGAGAAGTGTGAGGCCTGCTTATACATTCTTGAAATATAAAACTCAGTGTTAATGTTGTTTATTCCAGTATGGTGTAAAATTTCACTGTAGAACACCTAATGATGTATATTATTATGTTTCTACAGAGTAAGGCGCTGTTAGTGATGTTGTCCCTCGGCCATTTCCCTAAGGTCTTGGAGATGTTATATGGCATGCGTCAGTTCAATAGAGCAGCATGTTTTGCGGAGGCCTGTATGGAGTTTGGCCTGTTAGACATGACACCAGAAACCAGTAAGTTGTAATTGTCTGCAGACTGTAAGACATGACACCAGAAACCAGTGAGTTATAAATGTCTGGGGCATGTTAGACATGACACCAGAAACCAGTGAGTTATAAATGTCTGGGGCATGTTAGACATGACACCAGAAACCAGTGAGTTATAAATGTCTGGGGCATGTTAGACATGACACCAGATACCAGTAAGTTATAAATGTCTGGGGCATGTTAGACATGACACCAGATACCAGTGAGTTATAAATGTCTGGGGCATGTTAGACATGACACCAGAAACCAGTGAGTTATAAATGTCTGGGGTATGTCAGACATGACACCAGAAACCAGTGAGTTATAAATGTCTGCAGACTGTAAGATATGACACCAGAAACCAGTGAGTTATAAATGTCTGGAGACTGTAAGACATGACACCAGATACCAGTGAGTTATAAATGTCTGGGGCATGTTAGACATGACACCAGAAACCAGAGAGTTATAAATGTCTGGGGCATGTTAGACATGACACCAGATACCAGTGAGTTATAAATGTCTGGGGCATGTTAGACATGACACCAGAAACCAGTGAGTTATAAATGTCTGGGGCATGTTAGACATGACACCAGAAACCAGTGAGTTATAAATGTCTGGGGCATGTTAGACATGACACCAGATACCAGTGAGTTATAAATGTCTGGGGCATGTCAGACATGACACCAGAAACCAGTGAGTTATAAATGTCTGGGGTATGTCAGACATGACACCAGAAACCAGTGAGTTATTAATGTCTGGAGACTGTAAGACATGACACCAGAAACCAGTGAGTTATAAATGTCTGGGGCATGTTAGACATGACACCAGAAACCAGTGAGTTATAAATGTCTGGGGCATGTTAGACATGACACCAGAAACCAGTGAGTTATAAATGTCTGGGGCATGTTAGACATGACACCAGAAACCAGTGAGTTATAAATGTCTGGGGCATGTTAGACATGACACCAGAAACCAGTAAGGTATAAATGTCTGGGCCATGTTAGACAGGACACAAGACTGTAAAGTTACAAAGAAAAAGCCTGTGTTATCACTGTGCTGCGTTACACACACATCTTTTTCAGTTATTTTATATTAAGAAAGTTTTCTGTTTTCCCTGCATTCTTTAGTACCATAAATATGTGAAATCCCTATTTTTTGTTTTTTACTCTGTTAAAGTCCAGCATCATTTGAACAGTGAGTGAATGTCACAGATAAAATTTTCCCTGAAAATAATGTAACAGTTGATTAACAGATTAAGTGGCATCTTTCTGCTAACTGTGTGATGTGTCATGTTCCAGCATGAAACCACATATCTTTACAAAATGTTGATTTTGCAGAATCTTTGGTGGAAGCAATTTTCCTTGAGTATGCTCGACAGCTCATTAATCTGGGTCACAGGAAAGCAGCTGAATATTACTGCCACCATGCCGGTGAAAAGGGAACGCAACTGATGAAAGAAGTGGATATCTTGTTTTCTTGACAAAACATGTGTTCTACCAAAAAAGGAACACATCTTATGATTTAAGTGAATATTGTCTTCTTCCACAAATGACTTTCTAGTATTATGTTGTTACCAAAGGGACATCACTCATTAAAGAATTCTCTTTTCCACTCACTTCTGCGATTGCAGTAATTATAAGAGTTACAATATGTACACATATTTATACAGCAATCAAAACTGTGATAAAGCTGAGACACTCTTTAAATAGCCAGGTGATCATCAGAAGGGTATTTCTGATTGGATATCATTGCTAAATACTGAAAGTATATTCAGTAACATAAAGATTTGTCTGGTGACTTTTGTTGCCTAACACTCCTTGTTTTGTCTCTATTGTATATCATCAGTTTTACACCTGGACTTTCTAGTCTCTGTGTATGATGCTTGTAACATGTTACCACAATGTCTGTGTTGGGATATATAAGTATAACGTGTATTGTTAGCTTTACACCTGGGCTTTGTGTAGGATGCTTGTAACATGTTACCACAATGTCTGTGTTGGGATATATACGTATAACGTGTATTGTTAGCTTTACACCTGGACTTTGTGTAGGATGCTTGTAACATGTTACCACAATGTCTGTGTTGGGATATATACGTATAACGTGTATTGTTAGCTTTACACCTGGACTTTGTGTAGGATGCTTGTAACATGTTACCACAATATCTGTGTTGGGATATATACGTATAACGTGTATTGTTAGCTTTACACCTGGACTTTGTGTAGGATGCTTGTAACATGTTACCACAATGTCTGTGTTGGGATATATACGTATAACGTGTATTGTTAGCTTTACACCTGGACTTTGTGTAGGATGCTTGTAACATGTTACCACAATGTCTGTGTTGGGATATATACGTATAACGTGTATTGTTAGCTTTACACCTGGACTTTGTGTAGGATGCTTGTAACATGTTACCACAATGTCTGTGTTGGGATATATACGTATAACGTGTATTGTTAGCTTTACACCTGGACTTTGTGTAGGATGCTTGTAACATGTTACCACAATGTCTGTGTTGGGATATATACGTATAACGTGTATTGTTAGCTTTACACCTGGACTTTGTGTAGGATGCTTGTACCATGTTACCACAATGTCTGTGTTGGGATATATACGTATAACGTGTATTGTTAGCTTTACACCTGGACTTTGTGTAGGATGCTTGTAACATGTTAATTAAGTAATGTACAATGCATTCATATATGTATATCATCAGTTTTACATCTGGACTGTTTGTGTCATCATTTATTGGGACATACTCTGATATCTGTCTGAAAAGAGGTGTATGTTTATTTATTGTTTTAAATATGTTGGAAATGTGATTAATAGGCAATCAAAGTTTAATGGGGCCATTAATGACAGAGTAATGATTTTAATTACATGTTTATGAAATATATATTGTGTATACTTATGTATTTATGTAACTTGAAAAAGAACTGTGGTTTTAGTGCAATAGTTATCACTCATCTATATTATTGTAAGATAAAAGTCACCTGTGGCAATGTCATGTCACCAGTGTTGTAATTCATTCAGATTTTGTGTGCTTAAAATTTACAATTCTTCATTAAATTTATGTTTATTATTATAGGAAATTTAGGCTTTCCAGGTAAAAACAAGCCAAATTCATTTTTGTCTCATTCCCAAATTTGTGTGTCTACCTATCCAATCCCTGTAAAATCGGCACTATTTAGTAACATGAGGGCACTTACATTCTCCAGTTTGGAACCAATTGATTGCTTCGCTATGAAGATTTAAACACTTAAATTGTCTGCTAAGTAGATGTAGGAACACAAGTTCATTATAGTCACACTGCCTATATGTGTGGCTTTTATCTTGTAATTATCAGTTATACTTAAGGTACCAGATCAGAAAGCAATGTAATGTCACATGTCATACCAATTAACTAAATTAGCTGTCATAGTCAGGTTAATGATGTAGGACATAGTTGTTAACAAGTGTTAACCCTCAACATCATATGCCCATTTACTATCCGTGATGTCTATAGTCTCTGTCACTAAATGAAATATATCAGGGTGTTTTTGTTGAAATGTTGAAATAAAAATACAGAGAATTGAAATGACAGGTTTCTAAATTGTTCATATCTCGTCTAATTGCTCTTCACCATAGTTGCTTTTAAATGAAGACAGTGATTATAATGCTTGGGACCAGAATTTACCTTCTAATTGATTTGGTATATGAAATAAACCATATGTATAAATTTAGACATAAATAAAGACAGTGAGTTTCTTAATTCCAATATTAATGGTTTTGAGTGTATATGATCTGCCTAATGGAAGTTTATAGCCAATGAGGTTTAGTGTAAAATTTGTTTACCTTAGCAGTAAGTACAACCTATAAATTATAAAGAATTATATATATATGTTATTGATAGTGCTATCTTGTTAACAAAGTTTCTCTTTTACATTAAATAATGCTGATTTATAGTTGCAGTGATATTACAATGGAGACCACTTAATGTCATGTTGGTTAATGTAACATTTCAGTTGATATCACATTTTAATGAAACTTATTTTCATCCTTATAAAGTAACATCTGATTATGTTTCATATTGGCAATACTATATATCAGTTCATTTTGGAGAATATCACATAAAGACACAGGTCACTGACATGGTTTTCACATAAAGACACAGGTCACTGACATGGTTTTCACATAAATGTGAAAAAAATAAAAGCGGTGAAAACTTTGTTTTTGATAAGTGTGTGTGTACATTGAGTTGTTTGGGTAAAGAATATTGTATAGGGATATTTAATTAGATGAAGATTGTTGAGGTGTTCTAAAGCTGTTCGAGGAGGATGGGTGTTACATGTGAAGAAAGGGTGCTTGGTGCATTACTGAAGATCAATGTAACATTTAACAGTGAATAAAATTTATTTTGAACCACATTCCATTGTCTTACTCTGTAAAGTATTCATTATATAATATACATTGTATTAACTGTTTATTGTAAAGCACTTTCCTTAAATGAAGAAGTAAAAATCAATTGTTTTAATTGTCTTCTATATGATCTTCACAAAATATAACTGATTATCTATATTGTAAAGAAAGGAGGTTTGTAAAAAGATAATGCTTCCTGTTTGATCTAGGTGATATATGTGTTACTGTTATTTATTCGTTTTTTAACTGTAGGTTTTACATCCACTATTTCAGACGTACAGCTGATACATGTAACTGAACCAGTCGTTTAATATAGATAAAAGAGCTGTTCTGTTAACTGGGTCCTGAATTCAGAATTAAATATGTACATAGCTAATGAAATATTATGAGCTGTCTGTCCTATGTCTGTGTGTAAATATTTGATAACATGAAGTAGAAGATGTAACCTGAAGAACCTGAAGTAGGTGTATTTATAGGTATTATTGTTGTTGATTCAAGCTTTCATTTGAGATGGACATGACTGACCTGTTGTGTTGACCTACTAATTACAGGTAAATCAGAAATGTACAGGTAAAGTAAACTTTATACACCTGAACAATATAGATATATCCATGTTTGCTCCAAAAGGATACTCCTCATGAAAGAATAACTTACCCTCATTAGACTTGGAAAATAATAAACACCATTATGAAAGTATTGCCAACATATTTCATCTTGAAGAAATACAAGATATTACTGGTGTAAAAGAGTTTGTTTATTGCAATTCATTGTACATGTGATTTTATTCAGGTCACAATGACACGTCTAACATGTTTGTTACTGTCTACAGCAGGTCACAATGACACATCTAACATGTTTGTTACTGTCTACAGCAGGTCACAATGACACATATAATGTTTGTTACTTTCTACAGCAGGTCACAATAACACATCTAACATGTTTGTTACTGTCTACAGCAGGTCACAATAACACATCTAACATGTTTGTTACTGTCTACAGCAGGTCATAATGACACATCTAACATGTTTGTTACTGTCTACAGCAGGTCATAATGACACATATAATATGTCTCTGTGCTTCATTCATTACCACCATCTTTCTGTAAGTTGTTTACCACATATAGTGTTTAGTATTTTATTTCTAACTTTGTTCACATTTGGTTTTATTGAATTTGTGTTTGGGTTATGATTATGGTGACGTGTTGGTATTTCTTGGGGTTTTTTTTATTTTTAGGCATCTCCAAGGAAATATATCAGTTTTGCTTTTTTGCCCTTATTTTGCCCTTATTTTGCCCTTATTTTGCCCTTATTTTGCCCTTATTTTGATATCAAGGATTAATTTGTGAAGATGTGAAGATTTGTTTTAATGAAGATTATAAAGTAATGAACAAAAAGCTGATTGCAGGTTTTTGAGATTTAATGGATACATACAGTACAGAGGAGCAATGTCCAGCATCACTGTTAATTTGGTTTTATTATACATTTATTAATGTACATAGAGCACTGATCAACATATCTCGTGAGATAATCTACATAGAAACAAAGAGATAAAATGGTCATAGAAATAAGGGGAGATAACCTGTACACAGAACATGAGAAGATATCAATTCATAGAACAAGGGGAGATAATTCATACATAGAAACAAAAAAAATAATACATGCATAGAATAAGAGGAGATAATCCATACAGAGACAAAACAATACATACATGGAACAAGCAGGGTAATCTATACAGAGTTACAAGGAATTTTTTTCTTGAAACCAAGGGTAAAAGTCCAAATATTGAAACAAAAGTGCATTATAGATAATACAATATTGAAACAAGGGCAGGTAATACCATAAGAATTAAGGGAGATGCACCACAATACACATCGAGTGTAAGAGTCATATGCACTATATTTTTACAATGTCATATCATAAATAATTTTTTTCATTATAAATAAATATGCTAGGCACTCATTGCTGATATTGAAGAAATCACTGAAGTATTTCAAATCTATTGTTTACAGTAATCACATGTTCTATCATTATCACTCTTGTTAATCATACTGTGTTTCGTCTTTCACATTTCTACATGGGGGATACTTCACTGTCACTGCCAAATCGATCGTGGGTCTGTCGATGTCTGATCATGTTCCCAGACTGGGCAAAACTCTTACCACACAAATTACAGCTGTAGGGCTTTTCTCCAGTGTGTGTGCGCTGGTGCTTGGTGAAAGTAGAATAATCAGCAAAAGACTTATTGCACATGTTACAGGTGTATGGACGCTCTCCTGTGTGAATCCGAATGTGTGTTCGCAGGGTGGAACGTTGGTTGAAGGCCTTGCTGCACCACTCACACTTGAATGGTTTCTCCCCGCTGTGTCGTCGCATGTGAACTCTCAGGTTGGCTTTAGAGGAGAAGACTTTGTGGCAGATGTCGCAGACATTCTTGGTGGTGGTTAGTTCATTATGGACAATCTTGGTGAAGGCTGGTGGTGATACCTCTGTCTGTGGTGGAGTGATGGGCTCAGGTTTGATGGGAACAAAACTGCAGAAATCAGTAGAGGAATCAGACTTTGTAGGCGTGTCATTGCTGGAAGATGAGCTGTCCATGATGAGGTCAGCGAGGTCAGGAGTGTTATCCATCACCTGGTCGATGAGCTGTGTGAGGTAGGGAGACATGGCCATGGCAGGTGAGGTGCTAGGCCGAGACAGGAGAGGGCTCAATCGATGTCCAAGGTCCTCCTCATCATCAAGATTCAGACTTGGCAGGAAAATGCCAGGTGGAGACACTGTCTCCTGGCGAGGGAGGTTGGCGAATCGGCAGTCTGGAAAATTCTCTGGAGCTGATAAGTTGGGTTTGCTGCTCTCGACTAACATTTTCTGTAACTTGGGAAATGTACCAAGGACCTTCTCAAAAATGGCTGCTCTCAGTTCATTCTTGGTGTTACGATGGAAAAAGCTGTCCCGTGTCACTAAAGGGAAACTTTGCCCAGGCATCATTGGAGGCATATACATCATTGGTGGGACTCTCTGGTCAGGGACCTGGGCCGTAAACATGGCTGGCTGCTGGAATGGATAGGTCGGAAACCAAGGATTGCCTGGCATACCAGGCATCTGAGGAGAGCCATACACATGGGGGTCAGGTCCGGAGTACGAAGGAAAAGCTGGATGTCCCATCTTCTGGAACGGTGGTGAAGTATCCAGGTCTTTAGACCTTCAAAAAATTTGGGGAAATATTAATTGAATATATGAATGTTATTCTCAATGAATAATCAAATTATTTTCTTTTGAGAAAATGTAAGGATATCTATATTTTGTATTCAAATTTAAAGTAAGGATAAAATGTGTGATTTAGAAAAAACTTTCCAGACAGAATTGGTCAGTCCTATTAATAACATCATCTATGCTTGCCATATTAATTGACTCCACAAATCAGAGTATCATATAACCATATAACCTGGTCTGATTGACATAACGGCCACATATCACGTTATCTTACATAAAGCCAACATAACCTGGGCTAACCACAACAATAATTGTGGAACGACAACAATGTGTGAGAGAAAGGACTAAACAGGACTTCTGTTACGACTTAACAATATTATGATTTTAGACTTTAAAAGGTGACTTTATACATAACATAAGGTAACGACTGAACATAACGAGAGTTGCGACTTAACACGGCAAAGGTAACGACAAAACATAACGAGAGTTACGACTTAACACGGCAAAGGTAACGACAAAACATAACGAGAGTTACGACTTAACACTGCAAAAGTAATGAGAAAATATAACGAGAGTTATGGCTTTATACGGCAAAGTAACAAGAGAAAACCTAACGAGGTAAGGGTAAGGACTAAACATAACGAGATCTACTGTCTTACACGATCAGTGTAAGGACTAAACATAACGCGATCTACTGTCTTACACGATCAAGGTAAGGACTAAACATAACGAGATCTACTGTCTTACACGATCAGTGTAAGGACTAAACATAACGAGATCTACTGTCTTACACGATCAAGGTAAGGACTAAACATAACGAGATCTACTGTCTTACACGATCAAGGTAAGGACTAAACATAACGAGATCTACTGTCTTACACGATCAAGGTAAGGACTAAACATAACGAGATCTACTGTCTTACACGATCAAGGTAAGGACTAAACATAACGAGATCTACTGTCTTACACGATCAAGGTAAGGACTAAACATAACGAGATCTACTGTCTTACACGATCAAGGTAAGGACTAAACATAACGAGATCTACTGTCTTTCAAGATCAAGGTAAGGAATAAACATAACTTGAGTTACAATCTGGCACGACAAATTTAACAACTAAAAATAAGCAGTCACTGCTTGATACAACAAAGATAAAGAATAAACATAACATCACGACTTGTAAAAAGTCGTTTGACCTTGTCAAAGGTTACGACAAAAAAAATAACAGGACGAAACACGACGGTGAATGTTATAACAAAACACGACAAAGTACTAGGACGAAACACGACGGTGAATGTTATAACAAAACACGACAAAGTACTAGGACGAAACACGACGGTGAAAGTTATAACAAAACACGACAAAATACCAGGACAAAACACGACGGTGAATGTTATGGCTAAACACGACAAAATACTAGGACTGACTAAACAAGACAGTGATTGTTATTACAAAAAACACGACAAAATATCAAGAATGACTGAACACGACGGTGATTGTTATTACAAAACACGACAAAATACCAGGACTAAACACGACAAAAACAAAAACGAAAACTTGACCCTACGGCAAAAGTTAAACACTCTGGAAATTTCAAAATATAGTTTGCGCAGACCAATAATTTGACGGTTTGCAGGATAAAACACGACGCTTAAAGATACAAGTAAACAGGACAAAACATCAGGATTTAAAAAAAAATATCAGATTAATAGGTATGGATTTAGATTATTGAATTCCAAAATAAACAGGTTACCGTTAGATGGAAGGTTAGAATAACTTTCAGAAAATTGATTTCAATATTTAGTCTACACGTTTTTGTCTAATTTTTTTTTTTTTATTAATTTCATTAAGATACCGACAAAGATGAACGATATGAAAAAACTCCACTCTCAATATATTTATTTATTATAGAATTTTAAAACTTAACATGCACGAGTCTGGTATAGAGGACTCTTCACGTTATGTGTACTACAACATGGAAACCATGGAGAAAGAAAATTGGTCCTTACCTTGAGTCAGGAGAGTGGAACCCGGGATATAGGGCGTGTGACGGTGGCACAGAGTGACCGATCTTTGTAGTACTCATGGAGGCAGCCATCTAGAGGAATGAAATGATAATATTTAACCTGGTTTTAAAGGTTATTTCGGAACATTTTTAGTTATAGTTGTGCCAAAAGATTTTTTTTTAATGGTTCTAAAGACTTTGTCATAATAGCCGCGAGAAATGATCTGTTTAACATCAACTTTATTACATTTAAAAATTCACAAAATATAGTGGTTTTCATTTCATCATATTTTATATATAAGACTCTACATGGTAGATTATGTTGCTGTTATAACGTATATCATAAAAGTAAAGGTTTCTTACCCAACCATTTTGTTAGTTTCATAGTTGAAAATAAATAATAAGTTAATGATACATAAATCTTAGTGTGGTTAATATTTAAGTGAACACAAAAATGAAATACATACCTCTCAGTAAAGTCTCTTCTTGGATTCTTCGGTATGGTTATATGGTTGCGTTTGTTGGAGTTCTTCAAGTTTATGACTTCAAAACGTAAAGGATTTCTTTTTTGAAGACATTCCTTTACAAAGTTTTTAAAAGTCGAAACCTATGATTGGTTACTCAGTTGTCATAAGTTACGCCCTCTGACATGTTAAACCATTCGGGTACCTCTATATTGTTATTAACACCAAAGGTTTAAAGACTTCCGTATGTGATTTGAAGCCATATGGTTGGTCATTGTGGGCGGGATCTGACCGACTGCTCGCGTGGCAAGTGGAGGAGAGTAGATTATGGCTTACTGAGAGGTGTTCTTTTGTTTTCACTGCATGCCGATAATCACCTATTGTGTTTTTGACTTTGATCTCTGATCAGGAGTAGCACTCTGACTAAAATCACATATAGGTGAGCAAGACATGGCGATCGTGGCTTCATGTTTGTTTAAACAAACAAGGATGGGTGTCAACAGTCTTTTAAACTGTTTTAATAACGAAGTACTCCTTTGTGAAAGACGAATTTCGGTATCGTACTAAAACCTTGATAGAAAAATAGATGGAAATGCCAACTCGTTGACATTAATTTCATTCATTCATTCATTCATTCATTCATTCATTCATTCATTCATTCATTCATTCATTTATTTATTTATTTATTTATTTATTTATTTATTTATTTATTTATTTATTTATTTATTTATTTATTTATAAATGTCAACGAGTTGGCATTTCGATCTACTGTATTTATTTATAAAGATCTCTATTTGCGTTTAAGATAGTCATTTTTTAATCATATAATTTTTTAAAATATATAATCATGAATGGTTCTACACTTTTTCGATAATTTACAATTTTGTCGATCACGCATTACAATGAAGATCTCGCTATAGCATTTATGAGGATATAAAACGTGATATAATTAGCCCTACTCGATGGCATTATATTTGTTACACAAATGTGTCAGACATAGATGGTATTGTCAAATATGTCTATTGTAAACTCATTTTGATTTGAATAACTTTATGTTTCCTAGAATGTGTATGAATGATGAATGTTTGTCAGAGTTGAAAGTTTATGTATCAAAAAATAAATATCTATATTCATAAATAAGATTCACGTATATATGGGAAAAAAAATCATCCTTTTTATAAACATAAATACTTTGATTGATGAACCTATTAAAACTGAATAATTTACGTATACCGGAGGTGTACTATACGTCCCTGGGTATATTCTTCTGTAAGTACCACAACTAGAGAAAATTGTATAGGCTAACTTGTTTTTCAGCACATTTGGGACAAATAAAATTAATAAAAAAAACTTACTGTATTGATTTAGTTAACATAACACGGGCAACACTGAAGTTATAACAACCCATGGCATTTCTGTATCCCGTTATAACAACCCATGGTATTTCTGTATCCCGTTGCGTTCATACCGCTGTAAACGCAATGAAACCTCAGTTCTTTATCAAATAACAATCCATTAGCTTCTAAATTTAAATTTTAAAAAACTTTCCACTATCTTAAATAGATTTTCAAGGTAATGCTGATTGGCTTAATTTGTCCTTTTATCCAGAGACGTGTATCTGTATGATATATGGATGTTTATATAACGTTTCCAATCGTTTTGATATTCATTTTATTTCAACAGATTTTATTGTATAAACACATACAAATGGATGCGATAACTGACATAGCTCATCTCCATTTATGGTATATATACTTACTGTTTGTCTAGATACGTGTAATACATATCTCTGTATAGTAACTTGATTTATGACAGGAGGACTTTTACAAAAGACCAATCACTAATGTTTACTATTGATATTTATTACTTAAATTGAATTTGAATTCAGACAATAAATAAAAACCGCTTGCATTTCATTATTTCTTTCTTTTGGTTTAGTCATTTCTAAAAATGAATACTTGTTCGAGGATAGATCGTATATTATTTGAAAAATGTTGCAGCACGGACGTATCTAAATGTATGTCGTATTTTAACTTCATGAAACAAATTGAAACTTTGTAAATTTGGCGGTAAATTGTCTTAACTTGAAAGAATGTTATAACAAAGGTTAGAAAATTTGTTGATATCACTGGTCAGTGAGATCAGGGATAGCCAAATCAAAGATCACCTTTGGACCGTTAACATCGATTTTACCAGTTAGAACAGGGTTGGTCGTTTATGAAAAAAAAATGTGGACATATTGATTTGATCTTGTGTTCTGACGAAGTTACTAATGTGCCCTCATTATTAAAGCGATAAAGTCCGAGAACGCTGTCTTGTTTTAAATTCCGAATGTCTGAGACAAACCGAAAGTAGAAACAGAAAAACCCGTCACTACCCCTGTGATCTCGAGAATTTAGATGAAGACGTGATTTGACACAATTATCACTTTCAGAGGAAAAAACACGCACACTTGAAATGGTCATGCTTGAATTTATTAGAAAACGGAGAATTAGAATATGGTGATCTACAGGTAAGTTGTGAATAAAAACAGAGTTGGCTTTCTACGTATACGGGACATATGATAAATACTAACTTTACTTTGTGTGTGTGTGTGTGTGTGTGTGTAGGGTTTGTATATTAAAGTAAGGATACCAAACATGGAGACACAGACCTCTAGGTATGGGATATTTATGTACGTTCACACCCTGAACACTTAAAACTACAGTGTATTCCCGTGTCCCCATTAACTCCCGATAGCAGTGTACTGAAAATGATACGGATTATTTCTATGCTTTTGGGACTGTCATCATACTATGCACATATCTGAAGGATGACGTGAATATCTACATTACTTAATAAAAAGTTTATTTTCGTTTCAGATATTCAGTTTTTATATCACCTCATACCAGCCTATATGTACTCTATGTCTCTTGTTCCCCCATACTTTACTATACATTATTATATTAGACTGAATTCCCTACAAGTGAGAATTACTTGTCAAAATACACGTACAAGAATATCTAAAGTTACATGTTAGTGTGTGGAAGATGTGTGTTTTGTATGTTATACACGGCCGTGGTGGAGAATGTGTTCTCTGCCCTATTACAAGTGTAAGTAACCCTAGTAAATACTAGTTGCAGTGTCCTGTATGGCTAGAGGGACTTTTAGTTGAATTCAACATGAGGCATTGGAACCTCAGTAACACTGGCACCCATGTAGCGACTTGGGGATAAAACTTGGTGTTACTTTAACAAGCATCGCAGTAACCCCTTGAAATCAAGGACAAGTTGAGTGTAAAATTAGTAAACCAGAGGTATTGGGTTCAAATTCTAGTGGGGGCATTGCTATTGATAATGAGCTCTGTTAAATTAGGAATAATATACATCAGCTCTGTATAGCAATTCTTGTGACAAACAAAGATGTACATTGTATAGAATAGAATAATGATAATAAAACAAAAAGAAAGAAACCCCAGAAAAAGTAAGTGTTGCTTAATTAAAAAAAGTAGCCAACTATTTCTATTACTGCAGATTATCACACAAATGCTGGGGCTATTACATATACGGATCCTATTACACAAGTTCATCAGAGGTACAGCTACTGTAAATTGGATGTCACAATATCAGACATCTACACAAAATGTCTCCTGTCAGGCGTAGGACACTGTGTTAACTATATTATATGGGTAGAAACATTGTTTCCTGGTACAACGGACAGCTACTCCCTATTTTCTAAGTCATTCAGGATTTGATTGTCCACTCAAATAGACAAAGATGTGACATTGCCTGCCCATCCACACTACAAGGTTTTGTCTTGATATTCCAGTTTCCTATTAACACTATCTGTGAGCTTCATCCCCAGAGAACAAGATTTATTTGTATAAATGCATAATAGGAGGGAGTAATGAAAACTGTGTCCCTGCACTGGGTCTCAACCCACAACCTCTCATCACTCAAAAGGTGGACACCCTACTACACTTTGTACTTGATGACTAAAGGGAAAATTAATTGAGACTAGTAAAGTGACTGGGATTCTCTACTTCTGAGCATGTGTGTTAAATGGATTTATTTCATTGTTGTAAATTTTGCATTCATCCACAGAATTCAAACCTTATAGTCACATTATATCTATTTCTTATCCCCACTACCTGTCTATTTCCATCACTTAATCAGCAGGAGATTTGGATAGGGGACACAGGAGGGGGAGGAGAAGATGAATAAGAAAATGTTCTAGGTCTTGTTTGTTGAAGATAATTATTCATTTATTCTAGGCTGGTGAACTGAGGTTAGAAAAGGATGAGTGAGAGACCAGTGAGAAGGGAATCCCCTCCAGTCAGTGGGTACCCTGGGGATAACACATCATCAGGTCCCTCACTCCAAACTGGGTACCCACCATCTTCTTTTGCAAATACACCAGGAAACCAGACACAAGGCCATACCTACTTTTACCGTCAACATCAAGTTCAAGGTGATCAACAAGGTCAGCCAGTGGACCAGCATTACATTTCACATCAAGATAATTTTGAAGGTCAGTGGCCTCAGAGTCTTCCTCAAACTGAAAATCAAGATTCAAGGCCAATGTCGAGAGGAGACAGTTGGCAGCCTCCATCATTGACAGTAGTACATGGACAATATCAGACAGGTCAAG